ATGCTTGATGATGTTCTCTAGGCTTTTTTAATTTTAAAGTTCCTTATTCTTTCTTTTCCTCTAACTGGATCATCACGATTAATCTATTTTTAAATTGATGCTTTTTCTCCTTCCAGTTCAGATCTTGTTGACCTCTGGGGAATTTTTCTTTTGATTTATTCTATGTTTCAACTCAAATTTTCCTATAATTTCTATTTATTTGGTGAGAAAGTGTTCTCATGTATATACACACATATGTACAGAGACACATTACACACATATACACACATACATTTTTTCTATTAAGTCCAATATCTGGTGTTGGAATAGGATCTATTGACAGGTGTCTGTGCACACTTAGCTGTCTCTTTGCTTTCTTTTGAAAATTAAAAATTGAAACAGTAGTGTGGCAGCTGCTCATGTCAGAGTACCCCTTCCCAGGGTTTTTCATTGCCTTTTGTTACTGTTCTTGCCTTGCCTTGTTTTGTGGGTATCCTCCACCTTGTAAAGTTCGTACTACCGCATATGGCTACTGATGTGTTGGCTAATGTAGCTCAGTGGGCAGCTAATAATTGAACAGATATGTCCTTAAATGCTTTGAACCAATAGGCCTGGCAGCCTTTGCTGAGCATATGTTGGTACGTATGTACATTCAAACTCTGCCTTGGTCTTCATGTCCTGCTTGTGGAGAGCCTCCAGGTCAGGCAAGTATGATTAGTCCTTTGATTTTCTTTTCTGAGCATCCTAACAGGTTTTATGTGAGATCCTGTAAATTCTCTGTTTTGCAGGTTATCAAAACCTTTTATGGTCATCATTTTCCTTAGTACTTCCTTTTATGGATTTTAGCCTCTGTTAGCTCCAAGTAGTAGTGCTTCTCCAGCAGCTGTGGTATTAACTGTTTTCCACCTGTTGCTGTTTTCTATAAACATCCTGACTATTGGTCTTGTGCACTATCTGAGCCAGGCTATGTAAAGAGAAGAGCGGAGACTGCAGCTTTCATGCCATCTACCAGACAGGTCAAATAGTGACAGTTTTTTGGCTGTGGAGCATTTGGAAGCTCAAAACTGATTCTAATTCCTCCCAGGGCTGCAAGGCTGCTGGTTTTCACAGTCACTGTAATTTGTGAAGCTGTGAATGTCCAAGGCTTCTGCAGAACTATACTATTATAAAGTTGCCAAAGATTCATTGTTTTTCTTGAATAAATGCTCCTTGAGTTATTTCAAGCCTTATTGAATTTTCAGAATTCTGGAAAAGCTGATTGTGAGAATTTTTGTCTCTGTTCTTATTGCTTGTGTGGATGAGTGCATAGTGAGAGCTCCTGATTTTGCCATCCTGGATGTGTTTGCAATTAATATTAACTTTGTGAACCCTCTGTTGTGGGCATTTTTAAATCTGCACAAAAGAACAGTTAATTCTACTCTGTTCTTGTGCCTTTATCCTGGCTCTGTATTAACTTATCTTTGCAAATCTCTTTTCAGCTGTCTACCTATTATTACTATTTCCCCCCGAATTATTTGAAAGCATTCCCAATAATTTTAATTTTCAAATAATTTCATTTTATCTGTACATTTCTAGGTGTAAGTAACATTATGTGAATGATGCTTTAAGTGACTGCATTGACTCATGTGACTCTGAACTGGCATCCTCGAAAACACCCCCTGCTGTGGCACCTCATCCTCCCATTTTCTCTGTGAAATTTCCAGTTTAATAGTTTGCTGTGGCTTCCTTTGGACTTCATTTGGCAAGAATGTGCCATCTATTTTTTTTTTTTTTTGGTTTCCTTTCTGCTATTTTCCCCATAACTTCTCATTTCTTTTTGCTATTGACATAACCTCAAACATAAATGTAAATGCTTGCTCTGAAATTCAGATTCTTCAGATTGTAAAGTTATTTTTACTTGTTAGAAATGAAAAGACCATATGACAAATTTAATATAAATTCTCAGGCCCTATACTATTGGCATCAGTTAAAGCATTTAAAATAATTCTCAGTTGTTGGTAAGGGTATGTGAGCTGGTGGATGTTATGAACCGGTGCAGTCTTTCAGGAGGACCATTTTACACAAAAATAAAAATTTTACACAAAAATAAAAAATTCTAAGAATGCATCCTACAAAAATTGTTTAGATCTGGAAGAGGTAATGTATACAAATGTGCTCATGAAGAGAGGTTCTGGAAATAACCTAAATGCCCATCTAGTTGTTAAATGGAAGATGTGTAAGACACTGCTAGTGAATAAAGATAAATTGCACAACAGTATGACACCATTTAAGAAAAGTTGAGTTGCTTAACCATATTGCAAACACCAATGTTTGTGAAAAATCCATTGTATTATGTGAAAAACATGGTGACACTTTGGCATTGTGTCATGCTCCTGCTCACCGACTAGAAGTAAAAGGAACTTGACCACGAGGGAAGCTTGTTTTTCTCTTGGCAGTGCTGCTCAGAGATAGGTAATCTAGGACTGTTGTATTGGCATCCTGATGTTATTGGGGACCCAGGCTTCCATTTTGGCCATCCTAACTAATGATTCCCTTTCTCACGCTGATTGAAGTCATCTGCACTAGCCTTTGAGTCTTTATTGCCCTTAGGAAGAATAAGGACAGGCAGGCCAGAAGAGAGAGGACAGGCCCCTTTCCAGCCAATCAATCCCTTTAAGCAGGCTTCCTAGAAAACCAACACATTTGTGTTTGTGTTTCATTGACTAGTAACTGGTCACATGAACACACATAGTTGTAACAAAAGGTAGAGAATGTTGGTTTTTGGTTCTGGATGGCAGTGGGTCCTGTTGAGGAGGAGGTAGTGGATATGTTGGACCAGTGCAGCCTTGTCTGTCACTGTATAGACATGCTACCATGTGCGGACACACCGTATTTCTGAAGGAATGTACAGAGCCTGTTCCAGTGGACGCCGGGGAGCAGTCGATCAGTAGTAGGGAGCGGGCAACCTTCTACCTGTATGGATAGCTGCATCCGTCTTTCATGACCACAATTTCCCTTTTTTCCCCCCCTTTTTTAAAAGATTTTATTTATTTATACGAGAACCGGGATTTAGGCCAGATGTGCGGGAGGGTGAGAGGATTCACCAGAGACAGAGCAGGGAACAAAACAGGCAGATGGATGAAATACACTGCTGAGGGGAGCAGCGGGCGAGACAGGAGAGGTCTGCTCGCCATTTGGGTTACTCAGAGGCCAGCGGGGATCGAACCAGCACTGCAGAGGTTGCAGACAGCTTCACAGTGCGGCGCTCAACTGCCTGCGCCACCAGGGAGGCCCGACCACGATTTACTTTTATAACAATAAAGAAAAGCCCAGGAACAACAAAACCCCATGATTTATTAAGAAACGTGTTAGGGTTGTTCCATACGTCTTAGAGTCAATACTGTGCCGTAGTTTAATTGTTGCTATTTTTCTTTGTGGCAGCAAAATATTATAGCAACTCTTCAAGAATACATTAGGAGTGATAATTCTCCCAGAAGGAAATGGGATGGATGTGTATGGAGATTTTTTATGACCTTGGTATTCTATGATTTTTGCATTTTTGGAGTAAGGATGGACTTGCTGTGCAAACTCAGTTGTTGGGCCCCCCACAGCAGTCATTCAACACATGTAACTGCTGATGGGCCCTGGCATCCCTGAGAAAAATGGCTCATGTCTAAGGGATAGCCGCAGTTGGAAGTTGTGACAAAATGTAATAAAAATGCGTTTTTCATTGATCATCTAAGTATTCGTATATATATATATATATATATATATATATATATATATTTTTTATATAGGGTGACAAACTAATCCTTGATAAGATTTTATTTACTTAAGAGGTGTTTTTGGAATTGCCACATAACAGCTTTGCTGGGAACTGTTTTCTCTCAGGTAACATGTTTTTACATTTCTAATAGATCCATCATTTGCTGGGGCCCCATAGTGAGTACAAGCTGTTACTATGGTTTTTCACAGTGAGGTTTTGGAAACTTAGTTCTTTATACGCTACCTGGTTTCTTGAAGACAAGCTACTTTTAGCCATTTGTTCAGTGGGGATTTAAATACATATATTGCTCAAGGGAATCAAAAATAACTGGGATCAGCTTGCTCTTCACATTGGTTGTACTTGAATAGCTATTGGTTGTACTTGAATAGTTCTTAACCTTTTTTGGGTTATCAATCCCTTTGAGAATCTGGTTAAATGTATAGACCCTTCCTAGCAAAATGAAGTATCTGTAGAAAATAATTTTGTATATGTACGTATAAGGCTTCTGGATCATTTAAACCTCTCTACAGAAGGTCCTGTTCCATAGCAGCGTCTCATTTTATAGATGAAAAAAACTTAGATCCAGAGAGATTTACTGATTTCCTTGGGTGGTGGAGCTGGCTTTCACATTTTCAAGATTTTAGCTATGGTTTAATATCTCTAAAATGGAATGTATTTTGGTCAGTGTCTTGTCCAACACTCAATACTAAAGAAACTATATCCCAGCAAAAGACCTTAATCAGTGAGAGGTATTAAAGGATTAGCAAATAGAATCAATAAAAATTCTTTCAGCTTTAAACAAAGGAACTGAGATTCCTTTCATTTTCTTCGTGCAAATTTGAGTATCCTTGTAACTTAAAAATAGGAGTCAAAGGGAGGAGAGAGAATGTTTTGTTTGCATGCGCTGAGGCTGCTCTCTTCCTGCAGGTAACTTGGGACTGGAGGGAGGTTTGCCCAGGCTGTCTCTTCAGTCTCATCATAACCCCCATTCACTCCCTGAGCATATACCTTGGCAGCTTCCCCAAGTCCATCATGCCATTGCCTTCCTCCTTGTGTAACATCTATGCAGAATCTCGTATCTGCTGCGGACTAGGTACCTTAAGCCACACCATCCAGGCTGTGCAGTGATGGAAGGTGTTGCAAAAACTGTGCACTTGCAGTCACACTCTCTATTTTGTGTTTTCTGTAAAATCCAAGTGCCCTGACTGCTGTTCCCTTTGTGCCTGTTGCGAGGGCTATGATTTGGTGCCCCTGATTTTCTTCTCTTCTCTCGCAGCATCTCCTGGACAGCCAGCAGCCATCTTCCATCCAGCTCTGGGTCTCCTTTGGCCGGAAGCCCATGCGAGCAGCCCAGTTTGTCACCAGACATCCTATTAATGTGAGTGGGGTCTGCTTGGGGGCGGGATGTGCTTTTGTGCCCTTGCAGAGGCCAGGGGATGGCCGTCTGTGGGGTGGGTGATATTAGAGGCTCCCTGAAGTCACTTTCCAGCTAGGTCTCGGGGGAGAGCTGCTGTGCTTCGGACATCTCGATCTGTTTTATCCACTTTTCCCTCTTCACTGAAGTGGAGTTGAACGGGAGCCTTGATTTGCTTCAAGTGGAAAGGAGGGTTGGCAGCGAGGCTTGGAGCCAGAGTCAATGGGCTCAGTGTGCTGTGCTGGTGGAGTAGAAGTCAGTGACAACGGCGGTTATTTAGGAAGTACCTGCTCTGTTGCCCACAGATGGCTCGGTTCCCAAAGGGGGTAAGATTTAGGTCCCCCCTTTAGAAACAGATACTGAGAACTGAGCCAATAAAGAAAGCATATACAGGGCCTCCCTGGTGGCGCAGTGGTTGAGCGCTGGGTTGCGAAGCTGCCCGCAGCCTCTGCAGCGCCGGTTCGATCCCTGGCTGCTCCCCGGCCACCGGAGGAGGGTCCCACTTGGCGCGCAGACCTCTCCTGCCGCCCGCTGCTCCCCTCAGCAGTGTACTTCGGTCCTTCTGCCTGCTCTGCTCCCCGCTCTGGCTCTGCTGAATTCTCTCACCCTCCCGCGCTTCTGACTATACCCAGTGCTTGTATAAATAAATAAAAATAAATCTTTAAAAAAAAAAAGAAAGCATATACAGCTGATCCTTGAACAATATGGATTTGAACTAAACGGGTCCACTTCGATGTGCGTTTTCTTGTAGACAGACAATGTAACCGAATTGGTCAATACAGTCCAGTACTGTGAGTTTGTTTTTTCTTCCTTATGATTTTTCTTCACACTTTCTTTTCTCTGTGCTTACTTATTGTAAGACTACAGCGTGGAATATGTACAACATGCAGCACAGGTGTTAATCGATGGTTTAGGTTATTGGTAAGGCTTGCAGTCAGCAGCAGGCTATTACTAAAGGTTTGGGGGAGATGTCTCTAGACATCTAGACATCTAGATGTCTCTAGATGTTTTAGATGACTCTAAGGGGGTTGGTGCCCGTCACCTCTGTGCTGAGCCGTGCAGTCCATGTAGAGGATCTATAGGGTGGAAATCCATACGAAAGGTTCATCTGTACTGGGGGTCACCTGAGAAGTGACTACAAGGAGGATGTGGCGTTCGATAACCTTGACTTTAGCATTTGGTGTGGGGGAGGCTGGTAGCTCCGAGTAGGGGGTGAAGAGAACACTCGTGTCAGGTTTTTGCTTTATATGCATTCTGCTGCCTTTTAATCATGAGGAGGAAATAAAAGGAAAGGAAATGCCCATTAACCTATATTGTACCTTTTACCAGTGATAGATCTCATGGGGAAAAAGAGGGAGACGTAATTAACTAAAAGGAGGTTTTTAGGTCATTTATGGAGTTCAGTGTCTCTTCTTTCGTTCCCAACTTGCCAGTTGGGAACCTCTTCTAGTACACGGCAGCCTCAGGTTCTCTAAAGGTAATTCACTCAGGCTTTTTTGCCAAGACTGGGGAGTTTTCTGTGGCCACTAAGTCTGTGTTCATGGCTGGGCACTTGGAAATCGTTGCTGTACTGTGCATAGGGGAAGCCGCTGAGTGTATATTTGTGACCCCTTTTTTGATCTTTGTTCCAAAGGAATATTACATCGCGGATGCCTCTGAAGACCAGGTGTTTGTGTGTGTCAGCCACAGTAACAACCGCACCAACCTGTACATCTCAGAGGCAGAGGGGCTGAAGTTCTCCCTGTCTCTGGAGAATGTGCTCTATTACAGTCCAGGCGGCGCTGGCAGCGACACGCTGGTGAGGTAAGGGGACCACGTGTCCCTCCCCACTGTCTTTCATCTGCACGACCCCTGACCTCTAGCTGGGACTCATCTGGAGGAGTTTTCAGAAACCCTGGTGCCCAACTCACTTTACCCAGAGGTTATAATTTAGCTGGTTGGTGTGACCTGGGTGTGAGAATCTTAAGAAAGCACTGCAGGTGCCTGTGAAACCAAGGTGAGCGCGGTGGCTCTGGGTGACAGGGCCATAAGCCACTGTGTTAACCATTCTCTTGGGGTCCTGTCATTGAGGTACCTGTTTCTGAGCCTGTGGTGAAGAGCAGTTGGAGGAAAAGCAAGTCAGTAGAGCTGGCCTATGTGGCTGTGGGGCCTGGCAGCAGAGAGGCTCGGATTAATTCATATCACTAACTCCTGCCCTTCTGGAGGATGGCAGCACGGTCTGTTGGTGTCATTGGAAAGACACCAGTGGCACTGACCCTGTATCACTGAATCACATGCTGGGAGTGGTTTTGCAGGCTCAGTGAGGGGTGGAGTTGGGAGTTTCAGAGACATTAACCCCATGATTCCCCGTGTGGCATTGTGCTCCATCAGGACTGAGTCCTGTGATTCTCATTGGTCTTGTCACAGCCAGGTGGTTGTCAGGTGACTTGGGTCATCTCTGCTCTCTGAAAGCGCCCTGTGGTGTAGCTGACTGACTGATCTGCAGTGGGGTCTGGCTCTCAGGCTCTGGCTTCAGTGAGAGGGCTGCCATTGCTGTCTGCTGTGTCTCCTCATTCTGCCACTTCATTCAGTCATCAGGTCGTTCAACAAGAAGGCTCTCCCTCCGTGCTAGATGGTATTCTGGGCACAGTAGTGAAACAGTGCATGCAGAAATGAAAACTCAGAACAAGGTCCCTGGAACCTGCTTTAGTTATGGAAAGGCAGAATATAAACAAATATGTAATCTGCCTGGTAATATGAGCACTGAGCAGAACAATAAAGCAAGATAAGAGGATTAAGAGGGTATTATTTTATACAGATTGGGCATAGAAGGCTGCTTCCTCGGGGGGCATTTGGGTAGGTGCCTGGATTACAAGAGGGAAGAGCCTGGGGAAGAGCACCTCAGGCAGTGGGAACAGCAGGCACAGTAGCTCTGTGGTGGGACTTGGTTGGTTTCTTTTAGGAGCAATGAGAAGCCCAGATACATGGCATAGAAACACGGGCTGCTTGTCCTTCAGTGTGTTCTATTGTGTCATGAGCCATTCCTGCTGCGATTAGCCTCTGGGATCCTCGTGGTCAGCAGCAGCTAGCCCCTTGGGCTGGGCCTGTGGACTTTTAGAAAAAAAAAAAAAAGCCGTTACTGGGCCTCCCCTGGTGGTGCAACGGTTGAGCGCTGGGCTGCAAAGCTGCCCGCAGCCTCTGTAGCGCCGGTTTAATCCCCGGCCACCAGCGAGGGCCCCACATGGCGCGCAGACCTCTCCTGCTGCTCCCGCTGCTCCCCTCAGCAGTGTGCTTCTGTCCTTCTGCCTGTTCTGCTCCCCACTCTGGCTCTGGTGAATTCTCTCACCCTCCTGCGCTTCTGACTGTACCCAGTGCTTGTATAAATAAATAAATAAATATATATATATATTTTTTAAAAAGCTGTTACTTCAAAGTCAGCAACTTAGTGACGTTCAGTACATTCACAATGCTGTGCAACCACCTTTATCTTACTCCAAAATATTTTCATTGTCCCCCAAAAGAAAGCTCTTTCCCATTAAGTGCTTTCTTCCTACCAACCTCTCCTCCCAGCTCCCAGTCTGTTTTTGTTTCTGTGGATTAACCTTTTCTGGATATTGCAGACACGTGGATCCGTCCCCTAAAATGTGACCTCTGTGTCTGCCTCCTTTCATTTTGCAGAATGCTTTTCAGGTTTATCCACATGTAGTTTGTGTCATTTCTTTTTATGGGTAAGTGATATTGTTTTCACTGCTTTTATAGTTAAAATCATGAGCCATTATCCCTTGGGCCTTTTGCTGACTGTTTAAAGATATTTTTTTTTTCACCTTGGAGAGCCTCTGAGGATGGGAAGGATAAGTAATCAGCTTGTCAGAGGTTTCCTGGTCTTCACATTGGTCAGATATTCAGGGTGAATGTCTCCTGGTTGGGCAGAGCAGGAGCAAGAAGCTGCAGAGAGTGTCCCCAGGAAATAGTAACTACAGTTAAGTGACTAAGGGCCACCTTAGATAGATGGTCCTTCATGTAGTTGGACCTGAGTTCACAATTTAGTTAGAACATTGAAAGTAGATTTGCTTCAAGATTCTTACACCAACATCCTGTTCAGCTGCCTTATTTTTTTTCTTCAGACTTTATCCCAGGACTGGAGATGTTGACATGTGCTCAGGGCAGTGACCTGTTGTCATCTGCCTCTCCATCTCAGCGAGCTAAAAGTGGATAAGGGTGAATTAGCAGATTACGTGATAAAGCTGGTTAAAAAAAATGACAACGACAAAACTGTGGTCTTTGAAGCGAGCTTTTCTTTGAGCTCGGTAGGAAGACCTGGTGCCAAGGAACTGCTTCTAGTTTACTTAGAGGACAAGGAAAGACTTCTTAATAGGGAATGACCCTGGCATTGGTGGGATGTGCCAAGTGGGAATCTGGTGGAGAGCCATGTGCAGAGGAACAAAGGTGCTATAAGAAGTCACATCTTCTTATAGTCACAGTCCGCATCCTGAGGAGGACTCAGCTTGACACATCAGGGGACTGAGGGAGACCCGGTGATTGCCTGGCAAGCCCTGGCCCAGGGCACTTAGGGAAGGAGGGGAGAGTGGCACAAGGCCAGGGAGAGAAAGTGGGAGAAGGTGAACTCGGAGCACTCAGGGTAAGGTGAGTTCTTACAGGGCCTGTCAAGGTGGGCTGGGTCTGAAGACAGAGGGGCATCCGAAGTACAGGAGGGCAGGCTTCTGTATGGAATTAAAAGATAAAACTCCACTAGAATGATGTGAGGCGGAAAAGTAGGGTTTGTCTAAATGAGAGAAATTCGGACCCCCTGGATATATGAAAGAAGCTAGCACACACCTGAGGGCGGCTGACTCCATGATGGAATCAAAAGCAGCAGAGCTGAGGTAAATAGGAAGCAGAGCTAATGCATATTGGGTTCATGTCTAAGGAAGCAGCTGAAAAATAACTAAAATAGACCCAAGGAAAAACCACATATCAGAATATTAGGTCTCAACTCTGATACTTTATGGAGATCTGCTCAGTCTCTCAGTGTCTCACTACTTATATTCCTTCTGCTTTCTAGCTGGAGCATGGGCCTTTCTGAGGTGGCAGAGCCAGCACCCAGCTCCAGATTTGTGTGGTGGATAATGGAAAAAAAGCAGTGTTTTGATTTTTAATGAAGCCCAGTGGCACATAAGTCCCTTAATATTTTAAAAGCCACGTGTGAACCATGATTATCACTCCTCAGAGATCTGTTACATTTGCAGCTTGTGTGCCATTTTGGGGCAAAACTGCTTTCTGGTATCATACAGCATCCTGATAGAGCAGTGAGGGCCTGGCCGGCCTTGGTCTCTGCTCTACTGTTAACAAACATATCCTTATGCTTTCTAGATGCATCCTCGCTGTAGACACTGCTTCTTAGGGAAGGGATTCTCTGCTTCTGTCAGAAACCTGGTGTGGGCTTGGTTAATTGGTTGTAAGTGCCTGGTAGCACTAGCTCCCTACAGACTGGGTGGAAGCGTCAGACCTCGCTCTATTATTAGTGTCTGCATGTCAGGATTATTGTTTCCAGTTTATCAAGGCTCCCTGCTGGATTTGGGGCCAATTGGGATGATAGAGAATCTTTCATCCACTGTCTTGTATTGTATTGTTGACTCTGAGCCCCCTGTGAGCCATTAGCCATCAGATAAGCATCTTGGCCCTCAACATTAAAAAACAGTCACTTAAAGAGAGAGCACACTCTTTAGCCATCAAAAGGAATGAAGTACCGAGACATGCTCTGAGATGGAGCATTATGCTAAGTGAAGGTAATTGGCCACAAAGTGTGGGATCCCATTTACGAAATACCCAGAATAGGCAAATCTATAGAGACAAAAAACCGATGACTTGTTGCCAGCATTGGAAGTGGGGGTGACTGCCACAGGGCACGGGATGATGACACTGTTCTGGAATTAGATGGGGGTGATGCTTGCATAACATTGTGAATGTATTTGTTGCCACTGAATTATGTACTTTTAAAAGGTTGCATTTTATGTTACTTCCAATAAAAACATACCAAGAAATCAGGTTCACAATGGTTTTTCTCTCATAGGTATTTTGCAAATGAACCATTCGCTGACTTCCATCGCGTGGAAGGGTTGCAAGGGGTCTACATTGCTACTCTGATTAATGGTTCCATGAATGAGGAGAACATGAGATCAGTCATCACCTTTGACAAAGGGGGAACCTGGGAATTTCTTCAGGCCCCAGCCTTCACGGGATATGGAGAAAAAATCAATTGTGAGGTATAGATGCCTTAATCTCATTTAGGTCTTCAATACAAATTTATCTGTTGGTCTACATGTGCGGTCCCCAAACTGCACCAGGGCACCATGGGGGTACCTTGGTCTATTTTAAGCTTTTCAGGGAAACACTGTGATACTTGACATCTGTTGGTCACCATGAGAGTTGCTAGCTTGAGGTAGGTCACAGCTTCAACTGTAGATTGGGCTCTGTTTCCTCTGATGACATCATATGAGACTGGATTTTTAGCAGTTGCTGTGCTAAAAGGCAGGTGAGAAAATCAGGGTGGAATAGGAAATGATGGTGGTGTACAATAAAATCCCAAAGTTTGAGGGCCTCCCCTGGTGGCGCAGGCAGTTAAACGCCGCGCTATGAAGCTGTCCACAGCCTCTGCAGCGTTGGTTCCATCCCGGCCAGCCAGTGAGGGTCCCACATGGCGTGGCAGACGTCTCCTGTCTCGCCTGCTGCTTCCCTCAGCAGTGTATTTCGTCAGTCTGCCTGTTCTGTACCCCGCCCTGTCTCTGCTAAATCCTCTCACCCTCCCACGCATCTGGCTTGTACCCCGGTTCTTGTATAAAATAAATAAATAAATCTTAAAAAAATTACTCCTTAAAAAAAAAAAATCCCAAAGTTTGAGAAGTTGTGCAGTGCCTGATAGATGCACCATCCCATTGTTAATTGTGGCTACTTAAGAATAAAATTAAAATTTTGTTTCTTTACACTTGATATGTGTGCTATATCAAGTTGTTACTAAGTCATTAGGATATATTTATATTTATTAAATTGTTTGATCTTAAGTATATTAAAAACAAATGTTAGTATTCTGGCTGGAGGCTGTACTAAAAAATTACTGAGACACCAGTTGTGCTGTGAACCTAGAAAGTTTGGGAATCTCTCCACAAGTTGTTATTTCTGTGGAATTTCTTTTAAAATCCCTCTCAATAGAATTTAGGACTCTGATTTTCCTTCTTTGGCCTCATCTGGAAATCTTAGTACTGATCTGTATTACTTGGTTCCGCTGGGTGTTCCCAAACCTTAGTAGCTCACTCTTTTCTCTCTGGATTAGCCCTGGATTGTGATCCTTGGCTTTATGTGATTCCCCACACTCCCACTTTTCTTTTACTTGAGCCTTCTAGAATGTGTAGCGGCACTAATTTTTGGAGAAACAGTAACAGTTTAGATAATCACCTAGTCTTTTGAGTTTTATTTTTCTGGAGTTAAATGTTGGCTCTTCTGTATGCTGAGCCTGTAGCTCTTGGGGAAATCCTTTAGGAGACTCTTGCCCCTGTATCTTCCCTATTTGGCAACCATTTTCCACTCACCACATCAAGTCTAACTTTGGAAAGAGGAAAGATATAAGTTGATAGAAACAGATCTCCAGGTGCTTCTCCTTTACTCGGCAGTGTCTCCTAGATCTTAGGAGGTCTGAGACCACTGTGATACTTAACATCTGTTGGTCAGATGTCAACGTGACAAGGGGGTCTGAGCTCTCTCCAGTGAGAACTAAAGTCTCCTGTGGTGCCTTTGTGAGTTCACTGCAGCACCCAAGACCCTTGGTGCAAAGTTTGGGGATGTAAAGTATTGTTAAAATGCAGCTGCTTATTTATGAACTGTAGAACAATTAAATGACTTTGTTTCTATTTTATGCTGAAAGAGAAGGTTGGCACATAATTTCTTTGTGGGCCAACCTGATTTGCTCAAGTTTTTATTTATTTATTGCTGTGATGCTAGCAAGATAGGGTTCCTTTGGTTATAAAAAATATCTCGAGCATGTCGTAGTCTTTGCTGTACCAGAAACACACACACGTTTACCCTGCTTAGAATGGTGGACAAGACTAAATAACATTTGATGATCACTTGGTGGAGAAGCTTGGCTCCAACCATGTAGCAAAAGGCCTTTTCTCACCTAACTGTTAAAATCTGAACATAAAAGAGATGGAGGCCAGTTGGCATAGCTTGAAGTCTTGTGGTGCACACTGTAGACTTTGTGCTTTGTGTAAATGCAGGCCACATAAAAAAATTAATGTGAATCCTTATGGTGTTTATAACACACATATTGTACATCTGGGAGCTTATCAGTGAGACTTTATAACTTCTGATTCTTGGTTTTTTGGCAGAATTGCTTAAATTGTATTTGAAATCTATCTCCACTGACTTAGAAAATATAGACCATGAAATCACTTCATTTCTCTGGTTCTGAGCCACATGAGAGACTCTAGATAATACGGAGAGGAAGTTTTCTTATCTACTTGAGTTGGCACTGACTTCTAGTTGCTGTTCTCTGAGAATCTCAGAAGGATTTTTTAGCAGTGTTTTTCTCTTTTCTTCAATGAGAGGAATTGGTGTGGCTCAGATGATCTTGACCACCCCCAGGAACGGTGGGATGGTGACTCTGGTTTCCTGTGGGCCAGGTTTATTTTCCCTTTATCTGACTGCAGTGGCCTCACACAGGCCTCAGGGTCTAGAGGGTGATCTAGGCATCGTCTCCCTGTCTCCCTGTCCTGCTGACTGTGCCTGTGTCTTTTCTAAAGCTCTCCCAAGGCTGTTCCCTCCACCTGGCCCAGCGGCTTAGCCAGCTGCTCAACCTGCAGCTGCGGAGAATGCCCATCCTGTCCAAGGAGTCAGCTCCCGGTCTGATCATTGCCACTGGTAAGTTGACTTTGCCTGCTTTCACTTTCAGGTTAAACCATTTGATTAACCAGTGACCCACACCATCTCCTGCAGTAACTACTGTTCATGACTTTGAGACATTCTAGGTGGTTAGACACCATCAGAATTTCTAGTTGGGCCAAGTGATTATCTGGCATCTTCTTGAAATTAAAAGTAATTATTCCTTTTGCATTTTAGGTTCAGTGGGAAAGAACTTGGCGAGCAAGACGAATGTCTACATTTCTAGCAGTGCCGGAGCCAGGTGGCGAGAGGTGAGGGCCCTCCTTTGATGCTGTTTTTTTGACCACATGACAGCTCAGGGACACACGGCCCATGTGGTGGCCAGCAAGCCAAGAAGTGCTATGAAATAGAAAACCTGGAGCCACACAGGGGGCTTTGCTGCCCCTTTGCCTTATAATGTGCATTTGTGATGTTGCCAAAAATGTTACTTTGAATCAAAAACAGATTTTTGCTACTGTGAATTTGACCGAGATGCTCCCAAGCTAAGTTCCGGAAGGACAGGGCAATGTCTGTTCTCCTTTTCTTCCCCTAGGGCCTAGCCTGTCTGGCAGGGAGTGGGTGCTGATTTGCTGAATCATCAGCAAAAGACCATGTATTGCTAGTGGTTTCAGGTCTGAAATTGGTTATTTGATGTAGTATTTAAGTGAGGTGAGGCCCGTCCTCACTGCACTATGCTGTGCAGGTGCTCTCATCTCTTTCTTTGCTGTGGAAGGAGCTTGTTTTGCCTAAAGGTTGTTTTACTACTTTGTATTCTTAGACACTGATCAGACTGATACTGAGGATGGGGCTGGTTTTCTGATCCTGAAATGCTAATTCAGCCTTGGACACAAGAGAATTCCTAAGCTTATTTAAAAAAAAAAAATACATACATTTTTTATCAGCTTCCCAGGACTTTCTAAGGCCAAGAGAAGCAAAACTGTCCTATTCTGTCGGGGTTGCTTTCAGTGCTGCCCCCTGTGAATGTGAAGCGGACAGCGTAGACCACCCCACAGAATTGATTGAGCTTCTGGTGTAGGCTGAGCTTGATGTGGGGAGGGATGTGGAGTTCCCAGAAGAGTGAGCAGATAGTTCCCATCCTCATGGTGCTTCTCAAGGGAGGTGTAATATGTTTACCTTCCTGAATCGACAACACTGGATTGGCTTTTTGCAATTTACAGAAACTTATCCCCTAACTTATTTGTGGTAGGGCTTCCCAGCCTTCCAGCTAGAGATTGTGTGTACGTGCACATGTGTGTGTGCGCAGGTGTGTGTGTGTGTGTGTATGCATGCATTAAGGACATACAGTATGGTAGAAGAACGTGAGTGTGTATTCTGATGAAGGAGGTGATTAAGTCCAGAGTAGCGAGGAAAGTGACCACTGGGGACTTTTGGGCACCTTTATCCTGCTTCTGTGGGAGATGAAGCCCAACATTCCTTGGAGCCGACATTCCTTTTGAAATTGGGTGTTCCCTCGCCTGTGGATGGGCTTGTGGTTTGTACCTTGTGATGTTGGTGTAATCTGGAATTTGAACACATGCAAGTGATTTCCTATGGGTCAAAAACAGGGTCGTGTTCCTCCTGCGGTGAAGTGGGATGGGCTGGCCGATGCCCTCGCCTCCTGCCAGACATGCTTCACGCCTGCCAGGAAGCGGCCACTGCACAGGGGACCTTGATTTTGGAAACAGCAGAGAGCTAACTAGGGATGGAAAGATCAAGACTATATCTATGTCCTAGTCCCCTGGGCAGGCTGCACTTGAGAGGGGTGACCTGGAGCTTGTTGAGGCAATGGATGGAGAAGGGGGTGAGGGAGGGTGGTATGTAGGGGACAGAATGCTGCCCAGAAAGTGGGTGACTCTAATTCTTGCACCCCATTTTACTCCCCACCTAGTGCTAATTAGTTGTGCAAATTCTTCCCATGCCCACAGTTCCTTTTTTGTTTTTTCTTTAATAATTTCATTGTGAATAGGAAAGTACACTTTATCTTAAAGGGTATAATTTGATCAGAATTGATCTCCATCATTACACTATCACCAACACCACAGTTAAGGCAGCAGATAATTTGTATCAACCTGCAAAATATCTATGTACCCCTTAAGAGAAGAACTACCCCTTCTCTAAAACCTCATCCTGGTCAGATTATTAACATTTTTCTAGAATTTTATTGGATGTTTTTCTACTAGTCTCTTCTGACCCATCAAGGCCCAGGGAAGACTCAGTCTCAAGACCTGGTCTCATTCTTTAGGGGTGTCATCATAGATGCTTCTGTCCTCCTGGAGTTGGGGTGTACTGCCCTCTCAGCATGTAGATACATTCACTAACCTGGAAACTCTGAGAACCCTGCAGTTAGGGGTTGGTTTTAATGGAGCCTTCATCACATAGACATTATTCGTTCATTCTCCAGTCCTGTCCTCTCTCCCCAGAAGACAGGGTTGGGGCTAAAAGAATCAATGTTTCTAATCATGCCTGGTTTTCTGGGTACCCAGCCCATAGGAACCCACAAGAGTTGCTTCATTAGAACAAGAGCTGCTCCTGTCGGCTATGAATTCCAAGGGAGAGGTAGGAGTGCTGGTGAGGGACAGAGGTCAGAGATCAAACATTAGGATAAAGCGTGTTCCTATCCCTCTTAGCACTTCCGGAATTGTTAAGTTTTAGAAGCTTGGGTCAGGAGCCTGGTATAAAGGCCAAAGTACATATTTCTTCTTCCATCACACAGCTCATATAGAATGGGGAACATGGTGTATGATGTAATTTTTGAATATTTAACCTTGAATTTCTATGCTAAGCCCTATTTAGTCATAATGTATTGATATTATCCTTTTCATAGGTTAGATTTGATTTGCTACAGTTCAGTTGATAATTTTTACATTATTCATGAGAGATACTATAATTGTAATTTTTTGAAAAATGTCAAGTGTTGGCTAGGCTGGTGTCCAAGAACGTGGTGCGTGATGGCGCCTCTTTTGTTTTCTGACAAAGTTATGTAAGGCCGGTGTTTATTTTTTTTTTTTTAAAGTTTATCATTAAACTACCTGGGCCCGGACTTTTCTTTTTGGCGATATCTATATCCTTTGACTTGAAATTCTGCCACTTTAGTATGAATGCTGGTTTCTCCACTTGGGGAAGAAAATGAGGCTATAACTTTCTTGCCCACCCCAGGATTATGTCGGGTTGATGGGATAGTAGATGTGAATGCGCTTTGGAAATGAAAGGAGTATGTTCAGGTGCTTGGCATTGCTGCTGCTGTGTATATGCACATGTGTGCATGTATGTGTGTGTGCGTGCTCGCGTGCCATGGACACGTGGTGTGTGTGGTGTCTGGCCAGCCACCCGCATGGCAGCAGCATCAGCCCTGGCCTTCTTCCTCAGGCACTTCCTGGACCTCACTACTACACCTGGGGAGACCATGGGGGCATCATCATGGCCATCGCCCAGGGCACGGAGACCAACGAGCTGAAGTAAGTGTCTCTGATGAAGCTTTTTCTTTAACCTTCTACTGTTTTCCCAGGAATTTAAGTCTGTGCATGTAAGTGTATTGCCTCTTGGCCATATTTTGTGACCTTGGGACACAGCTTAAATTTTCTTTGGCTCTAAAATGGGAGGTAAGATCTGATACCCCTTCCTATCTCAAAGGGGTCCCATGAAGAATAAAGGAAATGACTTTATTGATTTGAAAAAGTACGACTCCACAAACTGGATTACTGAAGGAGATGGTCAGCGATTCTGTCATCATCTTGTTTAATGCAGGGAAAAAAGCCTTCTTTGCCACTGTGCCTCTTGAAAACAGGGCCAGCAGCAAGAGAGAGGTGGGTGGTTGGGAAGAGATCTGAGCAGCTGGGCTCCCCTGTGGTTAAGCTGACACGTGCCAAACAGCTCATCCTCAAAGCAGCAGAGAGCAGGGAAGTACTGATGTTTGGCCTTCCACCTGGCTGTTCTCTGGTCTGGGTGGCAGCACCAGCTGCTGCTCTAGAGACAAAAGTCAGAAGAGGCCTGTGTGTAAGTGGAACTTACAGAAGGTCCCCGCATTCAGATAGGTGTTTGCTCTGATGACAAAGAGCACAGTGCTTCCCACATTTATGCACTATTTATTATATTTACTATACTATAAATTATATATGACAAATTACATTTTATTTTATAATTGATATATAATATCAATTATAACTTATACATTTTATATACAATAGAAATATAATTTTATAATATATAAACATTACATTTACATTTCATATATCATACATTATGTAGTATAGGTATTTGTCTATTATAATGCATTAATTCTCACCTCTCTGATTGTGCCAGATACTGTGTATCTAAATAGGATGTTCTCCCCCACTCTTTAAGAGTCCACAGGGAAATGATGATGTGTTTGGGACACAACTGCGGGAGATACACGGTGGGCCATGTACTTCGGCTTTGAGGAATACACATTTTTTGTGTGGCAGTCATGGTGTGTAGTCAGTTCTGGATTTTCCTTGTTGAACTTTCCTACAGATTACATTTGCATTCCAGGCTGGCTTCCGGAAGCAGTTAGCACGATCCTAGTCCTCTCACACCATCTGTCGGTGCATATGTGCCCGGGGAACGCAGCGTCATTGCTGCACTAGCTGGAGCAAAACACCATCAGGGAAACAGACCTGCTGCCCTAAACCCTAGTGCCCTCCCAGGCATTTAAATATGGCTTTGGGGTGTAGGCTTTGAGGTTATGACCCTAGAGCCTGCCTCTGTCTTTATAGGTCACCTGCAGGTGTCTGCATGTGTGTTTCCATAAAACCCTTTCCAATATGACCATAGGTACAGCCTCCTACTCACAGGTGCCGGTGTCCCAAATACCAGTCTGTGGGCAAAATCTGTGTAGCCACCTGGCATTTACTTGGTATGTTGCTCAGAGGGTTTTTTTTTTGTTTGTTTGTTTGTTTGTTTGTTTGTTTCTCATGCTGCTCTCTTCTTGACCTGTGTTATCAGCTTCAGCAGAAGAGAAGCAGAAAATGATACGGTAGTTTGTTCATATCCTCAAGCCACGGTGAGCATTTGCTGTGCTGTCCATGTGAGAGTGGAGGCTGCTTCTCATCGAACCAGATTCCAGCTGCTGGCCTAGGGCTTTGGCCTCCTAACTCTGGCTGCCCCAACCACGGAGCTTGCTGTCTCCTCGAGTCTCAGCGTTTATTGATTGTCTCATTAGTTTGGCATTGATCATTTACTGACTCCTTTTGTTAGTTACCTTTTCATTATATGCCTGAATTCCTCAACTCATTAGCGAGGTCTTTGCAGACAAAAATTTCTATTCTATACAGGCTAGGCAGGCGCTTAGTAAAAGTTTGATTATTCAATAAGTAGGTCATGCACACTTAGTCTTCTAAGATTGCTTGTTTTTTGTTTTTTGTTTTTTTTTTTTACTGATTTATAAAACTGGAAGGGGCGGAATAGGGTGATGGTTGTATAGCTCCGGAGACATCACTCCCTTGAGCTCATAAGTAAATGACAGTCCCCGGAGCTCCCATGTGAGGAAGGGTCCCTGGGTGATGCCACCTGGTGGTGCCTGGAGGAATCAGAGATGGCCAGACCCACCTTCCTTGGGAGGAAACGACGACTCATAGTAGTGAGGGCCCAAGCTGGAAATGGAGCTTATTTCTAGTGGGCATCATTTCAGGTCAATTACACGAACGTACATAGAACCTCTGTAATGAGCGAGATGTTGTTCTAGGTATGGAAGATGACATGGTGGGTGAGGAGTTACTGTTCTGGTGCTTCGGTGTCCACTGTTACTCTGTTCTAGTTCTGAGTTTCTAAGCTGGCTGAAGAGACAAGCCAGGGGAAAGGGCTTGTTTTGAAAAAGCCTTCTGACCTCATGTTTATCTAACCTGAGGGAGGCGAGAGCCAGCCTGAGTTACATCGGGAACTTTTAACAGGTTGAATGGGTACAGAGATTAGGACATTGTTGAGAGTTAGGTGTTTCGGTTTTGGGCAGTTCTTTAAAATTCCTTATGTCTTTCGCTCCCTGATTAGCACAGATAACTAAGAGATGGCTGTTATTTGTTTCAGTTTCTGCCTTGATCCTCTGCTGAGGCTGTTAACTTTGTTATTGTTAATTGAAATTGAGAGCAAGAAGTGGAATGCTTTTTTTTTGCTCTGTGTCTACATATCTGAAATGATGAAATAAGACCCCGTTTAGGATGCTTTGCCATTTTAGTTAACCAGAAAAAGTCTCAGTGATAGATAAGCTTTTCCGGGGGCCTCCCCTGGTGGTGCAGCGGTTGAGCGCTGAGCTGCGAAGCTGCTGCAGCCTCTGCAGCACTGGTTCGATCCCCGGCCACCGGCAAGGGTCCCACATGGCACGACAGACCTCTCCTGTCTCGCCCGCTGCTCCCCTCAGCAGTGTGTTTCATTGGTCTGCCTGTTCTGTTCCCCGCTCTGTCTCTGGTGAAGCCTCTCACCTCCCGCATATCTGGCCTGTACCCCGGTTCTTGTATAAAATAAATAAATCTTTAAAAAAAAATAAAAGATAAGCTTTTCTTCGATGATCAAAGTGAGGATTCAAATTTGGGAAGCAGCCCAATAGAGGTTACTCTGAGAACCCTTCCAACAACCTTGAATAGGAATTTAGTTTATATAGGTAGAAACAGCGAGTCATTGACATTAAAAGTGTGTAATTTTTCTTGGAGGAAGAGACTTCTAGTTCTAAGTTGTCCCGAGCTAAAGATACACTGTTATTAAGCACCAAGGATAGCAGTGCAGGACTTCATCTCTTCCTCTCTAAAGAGTGCCCTGCAGAGATGCAAAGCCTGGGTCCTCATTGTTAACTTTTCTGTGTCTTCTCCTTGGTCATCAGTGAGGGTGAAAGCCTGGCTTTCCCCATGGGTATCAGGTCTTACATGGCTATTTCAAACTTCACCTCTATGCAGATGGCCTGGTTTCTCACCTGCCAGTACAGGGAGGGGTCATTTTCTAGAACATTTCATAGTGTGTTCCCATGATTAACCTGCTCAGAGGAGGCAAGTTCCTCGCACATACATAAGTGCTCTTCAGAGATGTGCCTGTTACACTTTTTGCATCTTGACCAAAATACAAAAAATAAAACCCAAACCTAAACACAGGTTTGTTGGCTTGAGCATCAAGGATGAAATCAGTTTGCATTTCTTTTTGGCAGTTTGCCTATCAGCACACAGAGATCATTGGTACTGAAAATACTTTACCTTGCCCAAAAGCATCGTTCCTCATAGGAGATTCTGGCCAGTGGGGCCAGATGATCCTCCCATGCAAGGTAAAGACTGCAGGATGAATGCAGATTTGGACAAGTTGAATGAAAGGGGGTGTGGGGTGTCCCAGGTGAGAGACCCAGCAGAAACCTGGACACAGCCCGCCATCTGGTTCAGCTTCCCACTACCCCTTGAAGGAATTTTCTGTGTTGCTTGTGAAAGATGGCCATCCTGTGTTTGAACAACCTAGTGATGAGGAGTTTGCTAGATCAGAAGTAGCTTCCCTCTTAATTTGGGACAATTTGTTTGTCTCTTTTGTTCATTCACTCATTTTCCCTATTCATTTCTTTTTTTAAAAAAAGATTGATTTGTTTATTTATATAAACACTGGGTACAGTCAGAAGCACAGGAGGGTGAGAGAATTCACCAGAGCGGGAAGCAGAACAGGCAGACTGACGAAATACACTGCTGAGGGGAGCAGCGGGTGTGGCAGGAGAGGTCTGTCGCACCATGTGGGACCCTCACCAGTGGCTGGGGATCAAACCGGCGCTGCAGAGGCTGCGGGCAACTTCACAGCCCAGCGCTCAACTGCTGCGCCACCAGGGGAGGACCCCCATTCATTTCTTTATGAAAGATCTCAGGTCAGAGAGAGCCCAAATTCTCCTTATTGCAGTTTCTGCCTGTGGGCTTAGTTCTGTTCCAAGGAGACATTTGGTTTTTATGTGAAAATCTTTTAGATATTTGAAGCTCCTTCCCCCCCATCCCTGCACCATCTCCCTTCCATGGTGAAGAGCTCCAGTTCCTATCCCCACAAGCCCTAAGATCTGGAATATCCACTGGTGAGGTTTTTTTTTAGGTCTGCCTCATGGTGTCAGTGCCTTCAAATGTGGGGCTCAGATCTGACCCTCACAGTCTAAAATGCAGGATGTTGGGGTTTATATTTATGCCTCTGGACACTCAATTTCTAGTAATAAAAATATGAGACTGTTTTTACATTTTTACATTTTACACCTCAAACTGGCAGCTCCTCTTACATTTTTTCCCCTAGAAATTGAGGTATTACTACACATTACAAGATGCCCAGATGCAAAATACCCCATTTAATCAGTTCTGAAGGATGCATGTCAAGATGTAGAATATTTCATCACCCATCATCCTTCCCAGTCAATATGATTCTCCTGGCTCCACTAACTTCTCTCACCTCCCCCATGGCCAGAACTCCACAGAGGGAGCTGGTGGTCGGTAACATTTTTATTGTCATAGGTTAGTTCTGTCTACTCCAGAATTTCATGTTTGTATTTGGCTTCTTTAACTGAGCATCGTACTTTTTTAAAAGATTTATTTATTTATACAAGAACTGGGGTACAGGTCAGAGGTACGGGAGGGTGAGAGAATTCACCAGAGACAGAGCAGGGAGCAGAACAGGCAGACGGACCAAAGACACTGCTGAGGGGAGCAGTGGGCGAGGCAGAAGTCTGCCACGCCATGTGGGTTTCTCCCTGGCCGGCCGGGAATTGAACCTGCGTTGCAGAGGCTGTGGACAGCTTCACAGCATGGCACTTAACCCACTGTGCCACCAGGGAGGCCCTGAGCATCATATTTTTGAGATTTATCCATGTTGGAACAGGTATCAGTAGGTGAAATTCAATTTAACTAAAAACACAGATCTTAAAGATATCACTGAAGACAGATTTTCTCCATCCTATATTTGAGCAGATTGGTTTTTGAAATTACACGTGGAACTTTAATTCTCATTTTTACTAATTCTTTGGAGGTAAGGAAAGTCTTTTAAATCTCATTTTTGGCATTTATTGTCTTCTCCATGCAGCTAGCTTTGGACCCTTTGTAAATGCAATTAATTCACCTTCCAGATTGTTATTCAGATCACTGACAAATGGAATGAGCTCTGTAAGAATTAAAGGCCTTATTTTGGGTTGAGCTCAAACCATATATTTGTACATTTGGGATTTGTTTCACTGGCAGTAAATTTTATCATTGATCCATGAAGATCCTTATGAAAAAAAAGTTCTATTTCATTACCCTGTTTTTCAAATCGAGTATTACCATGGGAAGAGGAGGTGAGAGTTGTTTGCTGTGACTTCTCCTTTTCTAAGTTCTCAAATCTGTTGTTTCATAATCTTTTCTTTAAACCACCTTTTGTTCTCTGGGGAAATAAAACTAGTTTTCCTCCTCTAGTCTTTGAGATCTTTTTCTGTTTTCTGCTTTTTCATTGGAGATTATTAATAGGGACCGTGCAGTCCTGTCTTTATGTCTCTGTATTTTGTACTCATTTTCTGCCATTTTTTTTTTTTGCCTTGTCCAGTGTGAAAATCACTCTCCTTCATAAAGAAAAAAACAAAATAGAAATGGAATATTTCTGCCTTTTCTCTGTTACCATTTGTCTTGGCCATCAGAATGATGATTCTATTACTTTCTAGTTCTTTGTAGAACTTACTAGGTAACCAACTCACCATCCCACTGAGTCACCAATCTATCTATTATTTTGGTAATTAAGCATAATTCTTAATTCATTTTGAATTTGGGTTGTCTGGTCACTATTCCTACCAATGACTAGCTTGAAGGATGACAGCTAGAATGAACTAGAAGATTCCTGCTGCTCTTCTAAGTTTTTGCCTTTGGTTATGACTTCTCATCTTTAATATATTCTTAAAACTCTGGACCATACAGGGCCTTTGTGTACACATAACTATCTTAAATTGGGTACCGACCACTGCTTCCTTTATTTAGAGTATCTGGTTATAGTATACATCTTCTATGCTATGTCTGTATTTTTATCTGAGCATTGTGAGTCCTCCATTCCCCAGGCAAGGACCCTTGTCCTCTTTTGTGACTGTTAGGAAATCAAAGATAACTTGGTTTGTTTTCTTGCAAGATTCTTGTCACTTAAATTTTATCAGCATAAGTTCTTCTTGTAGAATTTGGTCCAGAAAAGAGGTTCCCTATACTGTTGTTTTTGGTAATGTTTCTGTTCCTTCCCCCCAATTCTGAAAATATACCAATTTATTCTTAGATGCAAGGCTGTGCCTGGTCTTGTACTGGCTTATTACTGCCATTAATGTGTTACTGAGAACCTCTTAAGAAAGGGGATGATGCATTTCCTGAGGTTCTTGGGTTTAAGGAGCTCTTAAATGGAATTAATGAGCCAATGAGCAAATAGATAAACTTCCAGAATCATCACAGACCAGACAGATAGCTCCCTTCATGTCTGGTTAATGGGCCAGTATTGCTGGTTTAGTTTGCTTTAAAAATGGTATTAGCTTATCACACTGGTACAGAAGGGGCTTGAGTAAACATATCTCTTTCAAAATAAGCTTAAACCCAAAGCATATATCAGTCAGGTGAGACTCTTTTTTCTTTAGCACATGTGTAAAGGAGATATTTAGTCTCCTACTGACATTCACTGTGGTACCTTGAAATCCTACCACTTGGTTTACCCCATAGTGTTTCTGTAGAAGTATTAATTTTTTGTAATCTCAATGGCAGAAAGTCTTTGGATTCAGTGATGTTGTGAAAAGATTTGTCAGTTATTAAGATTCTGAGTAAAAGTGAAAATTCAAAAACTTGTAATGGTGAAGGAAAAGCTTAGATGTAATTAGGGTTGAAGAGCGTTCTAATAACCCTGTCGAGCATCTCACCATCCTACTAGGTGATGAAGTATCAGGTGGGTTTTCCCCCCTTTCTCTGCCACCTGCCCTTCCTCCTCCACCACTTCCTTCTCAGTATAAAAGATATTTTTAAATCCATACAATTCAAAATTTTTTAAGAGGTTTCTTTTATTGTTCTGATGTGGGCTGCCTGGTGGATTTTTCTCAGGACATATTTTTCCTCTAACTTTTAATATTTAAAGCCACAGGAAAAGTTGTAAGACGTAAAAGATCACTCCATACAATCTTCACCTAGAATCACCAATTGTTAATATTTTGCCACTTAGCTTTACTCCGTTATCTGTCTCGGTATCCTGTCTGTCTAGCTGTTGTCCAGCTGCCTTATTTATAACCTATCTTTTCCTGAATCATTTGCAAGAAACTTACCAACATCATGTCCCTTCACAGCAAAATAATTAAACATGCATCTCCATTATTAAGGATATTTTCCACCAGATAGAATGACATCACTCCTAAGAAAAGTAACATAATTTCAATATTATGGGCTACAATTATTTTTCTCAGTTGTCTTGTATTTATAACTGGGTTTTTTTTTTCAATCCAGGGTTCAGTGAAGTTTCACACATTGAATTTGGTTGTTACATCTCTTTAGTCTCTCTTAATATATAATATTCCTTCTGCCTTTTTTGCTTGTTTTTCTATTCTTAGCCTTAATTTTTGTTAAGACTCCATACCCTTTGCCCATGCAGAATGTCTCACATTCTGGATTTATCCACTTGGATAGGGTAGTGTGTCGATGGTGTGTTATCCTCAATGCTTTATACGGCAGGCACATAATGTCAGGTTATCCTACTTTGGTGATGCTGAGCTTGGTGAAGGCTGAGCTTCTCCTTCACCCACTGTAAGATTAGTGCAGGGATTGCCTCGGGCTTGATAGCTTTAGCTCCTGTGCATGTTCTGATCCTCCAGCACGCTTGTACCCAGTGGCTTTAGCAAACAGTGTTGATCCTGGATGATTTAGTTATTATAGCAGAGGTTATAGAATGCTCACTTTTCTCATTTTGTCCTCAACGTTTATTAGGTAGCTTTGTAAAAGAAGAAAGCCTTCCCTCCCTGCCTTCTCTCTTCCTATTACTGTCGTTTAGAGACCTGTGCTTTATTATCATGCAGTGGATAATCACCTGCCACCATCATTTTTCCTCTTCATGGTCAAGTTTTCCTGACTTTGGCCACTGGGAGCCCCATTAGGCTCCTGTGCCCTCTGAGATGACTGCTGTCTTCCCTGAGCGCTTTCTTGCTTTTGTCTACAACCTGAAACTTCCCCTGCGCAAGCTTAGGATCTACCATTTCTCCACAGAGTCCAGGTTCCCATTTCCTGTACATGTGACTGGAAACCATGCCCTTGCCCTGGAGACTTTAACTGCAAGATGTTCTGAATTGCTTTTGCACAGATACAGTACCAACGAAGGGGAGACCTGGAAATCATTTGTCTTCTCCGAGAAGCCGGTGTTTGTGTATGGACTCCTCACGGAGCCTGGGGAGAAGAGTACCGTCTTCACCATCTTTGGTTCCAACAAAGAAAATGTGCACAGCTGGCTGATCCTCCAGGTGAACGCCACCGATGCCTTGGGTAAGCTCCTCCGCCATGTTCATGGAAATATTTATTGAACACAGTATCAGTGTAGGTACTCTGTACTTAGAGTATGTCATCCATGGTTAGAGATGGGCAGATAAGCAGCGAGTCAGTGAGAAATAGAGGCAGTTACCCAGGCAGTCCTTGTGTTCTCTTCCATGTCCTCATTTTCTTTTCTTTTTTTCTTTTCTTTTCTTTTTTTTAAGATTTATTTATTTATTTATTTATACAAGCACTGGGTACAGTCAGAAGCGTGGGAGGGTGAGAGAATTCACCAGAGCGGGGAGCAGAGCAGTCAGAAGGACCGAAATACACTGCTGAGGGAGCAGCAGGCAGCAGGAGAGGTCTGCGCGCCATGTGGGACCCTCACCCAGTGGCCAGGGATCGAACTGGCACTGCAGAGGCTGCGGGCAGCTTCGCAACCCAGTGCTCAACCGCTGCGCCACCAGGGAGGTCCCTTCTTTTCTTTTTTTAAAGATTTATTTATTTGTGCATACAAGAGCTGGGGTACAGGCCAGCGATGCGGGGGTGAGAGGATCCACCAGAGACAGAGTGGGGAACAGAAAAGGCAGACTGACTGAAACAGGGAAGCAGCTGGGAGGGAAGCAGCAGGCGAGACAGGAGAGGGCTGCTGTGCCATGTGAATTGCTCCCTGGCCGGCTGGGGCTTGAACTTGTGATGCAGAAGCTGCGATTGCTTCATAGTGTGGTGCTTTACCCCTTGCGCCACCAGGGAGGCACCCTGTGTCCTCATTTTCTGAGTAATCATTGGTACATTGTAGGTCTGTTCCATGTCCTCATTTCCTGTGTAGTCATTGCCACATAGTAGGTTTAGGTATATGTGTGTTGAACATGTGAATGAATGAATGAAAGCATTCTTTGCCAAATTCCACATTAACTCCCACATGAGAGGCAGCAGCCAGAGGGTACAGTGTCCTCTCAAAGCAAAGAACACAACTCACTAGTGTAGGTACGGGACGTGTGCCTGAGCAGGCAGAGTGAAACTTCTCAGTATTCTCCCTCCTCCTCTGGCCCAGTGTAGCTGGCTTTTGTCCTCTACATCATTCCAGACCCCTGGATGCTCCCTGTGCTATGCATTCAATTTCCACCCTTGACATACCTTTTCACGTTTCAGGATCACGTTTAAGGCACTGGATGGGAATGTCCCTTCAAGAAGACCCCTCCTTCCCTGTTGTGTGTTCAGAGCAAAAGCACGTCACCTATAGAGTCGTCACACTCTTGGACCCATGTCCCAGCACCTAGATTATATTATAAGGTCTTTAGGAACACAGACTTGCCCTCTGTGTAGTTACGTTCCACCCACCGACAGCCGGATGACCTTAGTCAGAAGTTTTGATAAGTTCTTGCTGGTTGAATGGTGCCGAGTTGGCAGTTGTTCATCAGTTTTGGGCAGCATTTAAAGAGAAGGTGCACATATTAGAAAAGGTCACAGTATCAGTATAGATATAGGTGTTCTTTGGAATTCCTATAGAAACTGCTCGACTTAACTTTGAAGTGTAGGTGGCTAGGTGAGTGATCTCAACCTCCCTCCATGAAGATCCTGTACCTTCGAGCAGTGACAGCAAATGTCTTTCACTCCCGGGCCACCTGTGCCCACACCACCACAGGAGGCGCGTGGGAGCAGTGCTCCTGAGTGATTCCTCTCCAGGATTCAGCCGCCACCAGACTCTCTCGCCATAAGCACCCCTGGATGCCTATTTCTAAAAGAAACTGTGGTATCTGCTAAAATATTTCAGAGAAGCAGATGGTGCCAGTGGTGACTTGCTTCTCCCCAACCTTCTCAGTCTAATGTCTGTTTTGGGGGGGAGGTGCCATTTTTGTGGGTGTGGGCGCTGCTCAGCCTCATGCAAGCCACTGAAGACTTGGGACAGCTGCTGGGACCTGTGCTTGCTGAGCAGGGTGGCAGGAAGCGAGTGCTGGGCTGGGGACAGGGCTGGGCCAGTACACCCCACATGGGCTTGCCTCAATGCTGCCTTGCTTTTCCTCAGGGGTTCCCTGCACAGAAAACGACTATAAGCTGTGGTCACCATCTGATGAGCGGGGCAACGAGTGTTTGTTGGGACACAAGACTGTCTTCAAACGGAGGACACCCCACGCGACGTGCTTCAATGGCGAAGACTTCGACCGGCCAGTGGTCGTGTCCAACTGCTCCTGCACCCGTGAGGACTATGAATGGTTGGTTGTGCTTCGAAGCCCGGGGATGGAATTGTTTTGCTTACTCTGCAGTGTGAGGAAATTAGCTCGGGCATAATCCCTTCCCCCGAGGAAAGGCGGGAAATGAAAGGAAGCACGTGTTTACTCAGTCTCTGCCATGTTCCAGGGACCTTGCTGGCACTTGCTACAGAGGTGCTTCCATCCAGGCCTTCCAGCAGTGTAACTGGGTAGACACGTTGGCACCTCGGGAAGCTGCAGTGATTTATTCAGGTTTAGGTTGCTCTGGCATTCATTTCTGAGAGGACAACCCCAAGAAGGAACATATGGAACGTCCCACTGTGGGTCACTTTTTCCTTTGGAGTCCTATTCCATAGGGAATTTAGTTCTTAATCTCAAACAGAGGCTGTTAGTGTGTATTTGCATGTATGTTGGTCCTTAAGTGAGGTTGTCCAGGGCACTGCTGAGAACGGTGAGAGGAGAAGCAGGTGCACGAACAGCTGTTGCAGGAGATGGAGGCTGTGTCACCTCAGAGCCACACCACGGGCAGGAAGGTGGGACTGGTGGCTGTGGGGACATCAGGAAGTTTCTGGAGGAGACACTGTTGCACCTGAGCTTGTGTGTCATGGCAGCAGTGTGAGGGTGTGGAGGCAGAGAAGGGAACATTTGGTTGGGTGTGGGTAGGGGCTAGGAAATGGAGAAGACACTGAAAAGAGAACACGATAAGGTAGACATGGAGAGTATGGACCTTATTCTGGAAGCAGAAGGGCAGCGCTGAGGCTGTGGAGGAGAGCTGATGGTCATTTGAGAGCTTAGCTTTAGGGGGTTGGTGTAGCACAGAACACACAGGGTTTCAGAGCCCTGGAGCGTGTAATCCAGCTTGAAATCATCTCGCATTAGGCAGGGGTGCGGATAGAGCCTAGTCAGTGAACATGAACATGTAACTCCTTTTGAGCAGCGGCTGAGACACAAACTGAAGTTTGCTGTGGGAAGTCACACTTATCTTAACTAAAGCCAGGCACTTCTGATGTGCCCTCGTCCAGAGCTTGGAACAGGGCCATGGGTAAATGTTGCTAGCTTTGCAGGCCAAGTGGGCTCCGTTGCAGTCCTACATGAACGGCATGGCTGTGATCCTGTCAAGTTGTGTTTACACACCCAGCCAACCAGATTTGGCCCATCCTGTTTCTAGACCTATGTTTGTGAACCTGAACGTTCTCAGAAGTCTCACAGGATCCTGCCACAATGAGGGTTCTGACTTGGTAGTTGGAGGGAGCTGTGGTTCTGCTAGGATCCACCAGTGCCTGACGGGCTTAGCCTCGGACCACCTGCTGGGAGGCATCATTCTTCCCCTAGGGAATCTGCCTGGTCTTGAGTTAATGGCATGGACGCTTTCCTCAAGGCCAAGCACAGAACTGTATGGTGTTCCGGTACCATCCATGCCCTGCCCCTTTGCTCCCTTCTGCTCTCCCATAGGTGCCCTGAAATGGCAATTTTAATCATGAAAAAGATTTTAGTGCGTTCTTTTTGTTTAATTAAACAGAATTTTAATTCTTTTTATTGTGAGCTATAACACATTTTCCAGATAAGTACATTTAACATGCAGTTTAATGTTTTCTTTTTTTCTTGAAGTGTCTTTCTTCTCTTATCCTATCAATCACGACAGAATGAAATGAAATCAAGAAGATGTAAGAAGATGTAATGAATGTTTGATTTTTTTCCTCAGGGACCCACTTACATTTTTGCTCTAAAATCTTCCAATTTCCGGGCCTCCCTGGTGGCGCAGCAGTTGAGCGCTGGGTTGTAAAGCTGCCCGCAGCTTCTGCAGCACCGGTTCGATCCCCGGCCGTAGGGCGAGGGTCCCACATGGCGCACAGACCTCTCCTGCCACCCGCTGCTCCCCTCAGCAGTGTACTTCGTCAGTCTGCCTGCTCTGCTCTCCCCTCTGGCTCTAGTGAATTCTCTCACCCTCCCGTACTTCTGACTGTACCCGTGCTTGTATAAATAAATAAATAAATAAATAAATAAATCTTTAAAATCTTCCAATTTCCCCACCTATGCCCAGACCAGGGGCTGATGTGCCTTCCTTATAAAAGGGTCTGGCTCCCCAACTGTCCACCCCACTCATAAGAAAAGGTGTTGAGTCTTAATATGATAGAACAGGGAAGCCACCCACTCTGCCCTGCACGAGTTGGGCTTCCTGCCAGATGAGACTGTGGGGGTGACAGCCCTGTGAAAATGGTAACATGAGGGGTGTGTTGCCTTCAGACCACCCTGCTGCTCCTCTGCTTATGGTGGCTGCTGGGATTGGGAATGTCTAGTGGTATCAGATGGTGGCAGAGGAAGGAAGTGGTCTGAAGATGGATAGCAGGAGAGCAAACTAGAATGAGAGACCTTGTAGTGCCCATTACTAGTTCAGCTCCTGAGTGCTGACTATTTGCAATTCAGTCACTTCTGACAGTCCTCCCAGATCTCAATGGGAAGCCCAGCTATTTGTCTTGTATGTTGCCTTATCTCAGGGGTAGTTTCTGTCCTTTCTTTACATGGTCCCACATTGCCAGGAAGTGTAGCTTTCGATGTCTTGACTGCAGCCCCTAGTAAACAGTGCATTTTGTGGTGACCCTGTACCTAACCATTTGTATGTGTATGCAAAGGCACATAAATGAAGCAAAAGTTTTAGGAGGCAGTGCTTACTCATAAGTGATGAATTTTGCAATCTCTTGTTCTGTGTCGGGAAGGGAAGAATCTGCTCTTGACCCTCCAACATACTTACATAGTCCACCAGGTTGTGGCCTACAGCTGGGAGAAACCTGCCTAACATGGGAACTTTGCCATTGAAGCCTAATTGTTAGCTAATGGTCCAGTTACTCCAAAAAATTCAAAGCAGCCATTCAGTAAAAACTGACTTAATGAGATCTGTTTGATACAGCAATAAAACTGCTTCCTTTTGAACTCTACAAGTTGCTAAATGTGGATTATGACATAATATACACACAAACCACCTTGCCTTGTCCCTGTTAATACTTTTCCTGTAGAAGATAGTCAATAAACAACACCTTGAACTGAATACAGTAAACGAAACCTTTCAGGGAAAGCACATCAACATGGAAAATCCCTTTGAATTTTGAATTTCTGGTTCGGCTAGCCCAGGAGACTTATAGCATGCAGCTGCCTCCTAATGGAGCTGTCAGATGTGGGGCAGTGAAGGCACACAGCTAAAGGCAGAGCCAAGTCCAGAGCTTGGACCCCTGCTTCTTAATCCAGGATACTGCCCATTGAGTGGGGAAGCTTGGAAGAGATGTGACCCCATATCCAGAAGGCCCCTTGGCTGGAGCCCTGTGTCTTACTGTGCAGGATGAGTCCTAGTGGTGAATTTAGGTGCTGTGTGGACAGTCTTAAATAACACTGAATCCTGGTTAAAAAAAAAGTATTTTGAATTGCTCTTTTAATTTTTCTGACCATATCAAGGGGAAAAAAAAAAGCCCTACTGGGTGCTATTAACTATTTAGCATTTGCAAATTCATTTCCACAAAGAAAGGACAGGCAGACTCAGGCTTTGGATAGGGCACTGGCTCTAGCTGAAATTTAGAATTATGTTTTTGGCATGATGATTGGTATCGCTTTTGTCTCTTTATGGTCCAGCATAGTGGATTTTCAATTATGGTTTTGATGTCTGACTTCTTTGGAAAATGTATTTATTTCTGTATAAATGAGTATTCTTTCAAGGGGCATGTCAAGTAACTTCCAGCACAAATGTGGGCAGTGAGGCGTCTGAACAGCCTAACAAAGTCCTTTGCCTTTTCAGTGACTTTGGCTTCAAGATGAGTGAAGACTTGTCACTGGAGGTTTGTGTGCCGGATCCTGAGTTTTCTGGGAAGTCCTACTCCCCACCTGTGCCTTGTCCTGTGGGTTCGACTTACAGAAGAACCAGAGGGTACGTCTCTCAGGGTTATCATGTTGAGGATGTGGGGGCAGGATCTGCACGTGACTTGAGAGGGCATGGAGGACACTTGGGTGCCTCCAAGGCTCTAAGTGCTAGAATGCAAGTTGGCAGGTTCAGGTAGCTTGGATGATGCTTAAAATTACAATATTTATAAACTCTCTTATCCCTATTGAGGAAAAAAATGCAAGTCTGGAAGCTGTTCCACAGCTCTAGTTGTGTCTTTTTTTTTTTTTTAATTGTATTTTCTTAAATTGAAATAACATTCCATTACAAGTAACCTATGTGCATTACAACACTGCATATGATTTAGGGATATAGGTTCACCCCTCTTCAGGAGTATAGGTGCCATACCACACCCACACCAAAGCACCAGTAATCCTCCACTGGGCCCCCCTCTAGTTGTCTCTTGAGTCATAACCTTCAGAACAGACATATCTTCAGAGACATTTGTTGAAGATATATATGTAAAACCTTGCCCAGGACAGCACCCCAACTTGTCTGGGCTGCCTGATTACCAGCAGAACCAATTCAGAATTACCAGTTTCCCTCGAGGGAAGCGAGTAGTGAGCTATTTCCATGAATAGGAAATACGTTTCCAATTATGATGCCTTTGTGGCTATTCATGTTTCTGACTTCTTGCTCTTGGGGTGGGGGGTGACAGGTACCGGAAGATCTCTGGGGACACCTGTAGCGGAGGAGATGTGGAAGCACGACTAGAAGGAGAGCTGGTTCCATGTCCCCTGGCAGGTAAGAGAGGTGGCTTCTTCCCTTTGATGTCTCGAGACATCGGAAAACATCATGCTCCCACCCAGGTCCAGTCTGTGGCTCTGCTCACTTAGTAGAGAAAAAGAATGTGCTTTACAAGCAACACAGAGCCTCCTCTCGCCCTTAAGCTTAGTCTCCAGACTAAATGACCTTACAGGCTTATGCCTTTATAGGGACAGAAAATACCTTTCAGGGTATACCTTTATTGCATTGAAAAATGTATATCTGTTGTGTGGCAGACATGGGGGCCTGAGGGCGACAGATCTTGAGTGTCCTTAATCTTTGTGTCAGAGTTGAATAAAGAGAACTACTGCTGCTTGGCAAGCAGTGAGGTATTCTATCTGTATATAATAATAACTAATATTTGAAAGGAACTTCACACATTTTGATGTACTTTTCCATGTGTTGTGACTTTAATCTTTTTAACTAGCCAGTGAAACAGATATTATCAGCTCCATTCTTTTTACATATATCAAGCATGTTCAGGGGAGAGGGTTCGGGAGAGGGTTAGGTCATGCATCTGGTAAGTGACAGCTTAAATTCAGGCTCTGAGCCCCATGTTCTTATGTCACCTGCATGTCATATAGGTGTCATTATTTTAGATGATCATTATGCTTCTTATTAAGAAAATCTTCAGAGTGACTGTACCTACTATAAAAGCATATTATGTTTCAAACATTTGAAATTGATTCTCGGTACACGCTGAGCTATTTATAATTTAGAAATGAAATGACAGTGCTTAAAGTAGTTAATGTTTGTGTATCTTTTCTTCACTTTGTTTTGAGCTCTTGCTCATTTAGAGTTTCCTTTTTCCCTCTGAGCTCTCCCTCCTGCTCACACTTCTCAATGAAGGTGAAGTTGGAGCTGATTTCCCCCCTCAGAGGTGCTGTTTAAGCACCAAATGATCCTGAAGCAAGCACGTTGGCCTCGCAGGCAGGCCAGAGTGCCGGCTCCCTCCCTCACTGCTTGCCAGCTTGCCCTGGTATTTCTCATGCTAAGCTCATTAGTCCCTTAATTTAATCTTCCATCATTACTACAGTAATTAACATACCTCACTGTGGAGACTTCAAAAAAACACAGCTTCAGCAGGTCCCCACAAACGAGCAGATCATATTTGGATACGTCCCTCGCAAGAACTGTTAATTGTTAGAATTCAACCTTGTTAGCAAGGTTTGAGTGATTGTCCTAAAGGAGCTAAAGTACATACTTTGGTTATAAATATTTCTGAAGGTAATTCAGCAGGGGACAAAACAGTTTGTTTAAAGCCATTTCAGGGCCTCCCTGGTGGTGCAAGGGGTTAAGACACAACCTATGAAGCTGTCGCAGCCACTCCTGTACAAGTTCGATCCCCGGCCAGAGAGCTGCCCACATGGTGCAGCAGACCTCTCCTGTCTCACCCGCTGCTCCCCTCAGCAGTGTATTTCATCCGTCTGTCTGTTCTGTTCCCTGCTCTGTCTCTGGTGAATCCTCTCACCCCCCACGCCCCTGGCCTGTACCCCAGTTCTTCTATGCATAAATAAATAAATATTTTAAAAAAATAAAGCCATTTCAACTTTGGTAGGAAAGCTATTTTCTCTTCTGATTGGAGAAGATGAAACAGAATGAAGTGGAAAAAACTCATTTGCAATATAGACCACTTCCTAAATGTTTAAAAACCCAAATGTTGAACAAGAGGGATGTACCAAGAAAGGAAGAGGGTTTTGTGGGACTGATGGAAACATAACATCGTTGCAAAGATGAGGTCATCTAGACATCTGGAAGGATTTTTAAAAGTGAAGTCATTTTTCTTCCATTATGATCACTCTAGTAGTGTAGATGCCTCAGCTGTGCTTGTGGATGACAGGGCTTGGCCGCGGGTCCCGTCCATTTTCTGTTAAGTACTGCACGGCAGACATTGCATGTTACACTCCAAGCCAAATATTTCTGGACTCAGACTCTGTTGTAAAGGCTAGTTTGTTAGAAGAAACCAAAGCAGCAGGGTGAAGTATGAAGACATTAGACGAGGGGTGAGAGGCTGCAGTGAATGTATCCTCCCTGACTGCTCCGCTTTTATCTTGACTGCCCCCTTCTCTCTGAATGACAGTGGGAAGGTTTTCTTGAACCAAAAGGTGATATCAGATACTATGTGGTAGCAGCTTAGTAATTTTAATGTTAGCCCAAAGCGGGGGAAAAAGTGGGGAAATGGTAGGTGGAATTAATTTTCAGGTGTGTTATCTTTATGGAGGCCTTTATAAGGCAGGAGGCTGGTACATGTTTATTTGTTGAGGAATGGAAGAGAGAATAAGAAACAGGTATGCAGGCAGCAAAGGGATTCAGATTTGCATCTTGGTCCCATTACCAACATATTGTCAAAATGAATCTGATTTGTTGCTCATCTATGGTTCCTGGGAAGAACTGTCTATTTTCCAGACTGTTTCTAAGTGGTGGGGAGAGAACTAGCTGTCTGATCTTTTCCGTAAATCTCATAAGTGCTCTGGGCCTCTATTTCTACATCCTAAAAAACAGCAATCTTAGTATCCGTATCACAAAAGGCAGAGGAACATAATGGTTAAGACACACACTCTGGCTCCAGTCAGAATCTAGGTTCTGCCACTTAATAGTCATATATCCTGAGTTAGTTCACCTCTGCTCTCACTTCACTCCTGAGTAAAATTGAGTTAAGAGTAGTTCTTCCATTATACCATTATTACTCAGATTAAGCAATGCTGCGAGGTCATGAGTACAGTGTTTAAGTAGAAATAGAATCTTTGTGATGATTATGTTGAAAACATTTTGTAAGAAGCCAAGAATAAATGTATTATTCTGAAAATATAGCTTGATGTCATCACCATATGTCATTGTGAACAATACTGAGTGGGTGAGTGAAGAGATTAGAAAATTTAGTTACAAGTCTTTGGGGGACTAGTAGTTTCTAGTTATCAAGATTATGGTGCATGATAAAGGGCCATGACAAGGTACCACAAACTGGCTGCTGTAATTATTTTTTAAGTTTGACCGAAGACTTTTTGCCTAAGCTCAGAAGTATGGCTATTAGAGCCCCCTCGCCCCCCACCCCCCCAAAAAAAATGAAAGAGTAAGAAAGACATTGCATACAAGAAAACTAAGATTCCCAGGAGCTTACCTCACCCATGGTGGGAGTGTGATTCCCTTAGACACCTTCTAGGTCTTGATTCTTATTTGATTCTCGATCCTCCCTAATATCAATGACTCTGACGTTTGTGTGAGACAGAAACAGGTCAGCCATGCCGGGGCCTCTTTGGCATCCCTAACCCCCAGGTCCTCCTTTCCTGTTGTTTTGTGTGCCGTGCAGAGGAGAATGAGTTCATCCTGTACGCCATGCGGAAGTCCATCCACCGCTACGACCTGGCATCAGGGGCCACCGAGCAGCTGCCTCTCACCGGCCTGCGGGCGGCGGTGGCCTTGGATTTTGACTATGAGCACAACTGCTTGTATTGGTCTGACCTGGCCTTGGACATCATCCAGGTGAGTCATGGCTTGGTCTGGTTCTGGGGCTGTACCTTGTGACTCCCCAATCCTGAGAGCTGCTTTTAGAATAGCGTGAGGGAGTAGATGTTTGAGTTTTCAAGTCATCCCTCATCTCAGGGCCAACTGATGAAACTGTTCAGTTTTATGGTTTAGTATTTTCTTTCACTGCCCATATTTGTTCTTGGAGGATGGACCAAGGAACCCCAAGTCTGAGGCTTGCTCATAAGCAAGGTCTCATATTGGGTCTAGCATTATGGATGATTCATAATACTCATCATTATACCAACTGCCTCTGTGGGGCTCTTCCTCCCAGTCCCCATGGCATAGTGACACCTGTGACGATCCCTGGACAGGCCAGGTGGATAGCTCTGTACTGAAACCCACACATTTAAAGGGGAGAGTGTTTTGATTTTCATTTTCTATAAATCATTTTGGAAAAGCAGTTACATCAAGTTGTATCTGGGCTTCTAACCCAACAGAATTTTTCCCAGGGCCTGAGGGGCTGGGGATGGCAGGACTGAGTGTAGCTGTCCCAGCAGTAGCACCTGATGACTCAGTGCCTCCTCGGGGAGGAGAGGCTCTGGGAAGCAGAAGGGAGGTCAGGCAAGAACTTGAAAATAATGACAATTTGGCTTCACTTATTTTAGAAACAAACAGACTCATGCATCTCCCTGATCTGTGAACTTGTTACCATGATGCAGTGTGGTTTAGCAACCAGCGTTCTTCACAACCATGCAGAGGGATAGAAAAACTTACGTTTGGTTTCATTAGTCTACTTAAACCAAAAAGCCATCCTGTATCTTAGAATTGTTTTAGTAAAAATCTGCTTCATTCATCTGGAGAGTTTATTTCTATAAAATGTCTCATCGCTGGCCAGTCAAGCCAGTTGACTTGTGGGATTAGAAAATAGGCAGGATGTCACTTGAGGATTTAATGTTCTTTTTTTCTCTCTTCAGCGCCTCTGTCTGAATGGGAGTACAGGGCAAGAGGTGATCATCAATTCTGGCCTGGAGACAGTAGAAGCATTGGCCTTTGAGCCCCTCAGCCAGCTACTTTACTGGGTGGATGCTGGCCTCAAGAAGATTGAGGTAAGCGTGTCCCCATGCTGACCCGAGGCCAGCACGTAGGGGAGCATCGGGCTGCAGGCCAGATTTGACACAGTGGTTGGAGCCAGTGTTAGATGTCTCTGGAAACTGTGAAGATTCCAGAGAATGGACCAGCCGAGCCTCTTGAGAAGAAAGAAAAGGGGGATAGTCTTAGAATTATTGCTCAATGCCATCAAGGTCCCATGTGAGAACAGGGTACCTGAATCTCTCAGACAGATTCATGAAGATACCTGAACGTTTATATTCTGCCAGCAGATGCAAAGAGGAGAGGCAGTGATCAAAATGGCAGTGCCATGGTGCTGTTATAATGAATGCTCAGCTGTTCTAGTTGATTAGGGTAATAATGCCAAGGTCATCATGGTGACCATCGGTGATGGTGATAATGAGCACTTATTCTGTGCTGAGCTCTATGGGAGCCACTGCATAGGGATTACTTGATTCATCTCTCACAATAACCCTTAGGGCAGGTTCTCCTATTACGCCCTCATTACCTACCTGCAGCTTAGCTACCCAAGGCAATGTGAAGGGTATAAATGGTTTCCAAATCATCCCAACCACTGTCTCTGGGAATATAGGTATACACTCACCTCCTGCAGGTTACAGATGAGGCTGGGTGGGCACTGCCTTACCGCCTCCTTATACTCACTCTACATAGGGCCTGGTGACCATAAGCACGCAGAAACAGAAGTTGCAAGACAACAGACATGAGCTTGTGAGACAGACCCAGGGTCAGTCCTTACATGGATTGGGCATTCCCTTTCTTCATGTGTAAGATGAACATTCATTTTATGTGCTCAGTGGCTTGAGAAGTGCTGAGTGGAGAGTGAGATCCACATCAGGTGTGGTTTTAATGTTGCAGCATTACCTCAGTAGCAGACTTTCTTGTTCTGATAGAGATTAGATTTCAGTGCAGAAAGCAAAGCAATGGAGAAATGAGTACCTCAGTTCTGCTGGTGATAAGTGCTACAAAGAATGAAAACAGGCCACATGCTCAAGTGGGAGTGGGGACGGCGCTGGAAAGCGGGTGTCTCAGCAGCTGACATCGGAGTTGAGCCCTGCTGGAGGAGAGGATAATTGGGGTGCTCACCTCTTAGGGAGGTCGAGAAAGGGGACTGAAGGCACACAGTAGTTGTCTCCTGCTGTGTGTGGGATGATGGTCGTCTGTTTCTGTTTCTCTCCTTTCGATAATTGTGTGTGGCTAGCACTTTGCCAGATTCTAGAGAGATGCAGCACAGTTGCCAACATACTGGAAGACAGTTTGGAAAGAGGATTTGATTAGAGAGCTGCAGACAGGCCCCACAGGGGATGTGGCAGGTGCAGATGGGAATAAGGGTGTGTCAGGCTTGAAGACCCATCTTAAGGAAATCGCAAGAGCTGAAGTGGGCCAGAGACCGGGGCTCCCATCTATGGCAACTCCCCCTCAGGGCTGTGACATGAGAAATTGTTCGGTTGACAACGTGGAGCCTTCAGTGACTTTGGAGCATGGAGGAGCATAGGCAGGTTAAATGAATAAACATGTATAGAAATCTGGGTGCAGGTCATCAACTCTGGGAACGAGGGGTGCTGGCTCATTAGTTATAGCCTGCAAGGATTGTCACATAAGCCTGAGGAGGAAGCTGCTCACTGACTGGAAAGGGGGGCAGGTTCCCAGAAAAGTCTGCAGGGGAATCTGGCAGCCACAGAGGCCGTGACTGTGGGCAGTTGCTGAGTAGGAGACCGCAGTGTGGGCCTTTTAAGGGGCTCACATCTATTTTGCACCCTCTCCCCATTTTTTTTTTTTGTCAGGTGGCTAGTCCAGATGGTGATTTCCGACTCACGATTGTCAATTCCTCTGTGCTGGACCGGCCCAGGGCTCTGGTCCTCCTGCCCCAGGAGGGGTAAGTAAAATCCCAGTGGGAGTCTAGGTGTCAGATGCCACACTTTCCTGTGGAAATGCAAACTGCTGGACAAAACCCGATTCTTGTGATTGTGGCCGAAATGAATCTATTAAGTTGAGAGTTTTGACACCATAGTCTGGGCCAGTTAGTCCTGTTCCCTTTTCTTTCTTTAGCAAGCATCAGGATCTCTGTTGGCATCCAGATGTCTCACAGCTATGGGGCATCATTTAACTAAAGGTAATACTAAGAGTCTCGATGACAGAGTTGGGCCTGGTTGGTCAGATGGCGTGAGGATTCTTCACGTTCAAGCATGCCACAAACATTTCATCCCATCTTTTCCACACCTCCCAGTACCTGTAGATTCCCACCAGGATTCATATGCAACTCGGACATATAAAATGCTCTTTATTACCTAATGAGCTTAACCCAAAGGGAAGTTCTAGACTAACTTTTCTTCCTGGTCAAATTGATAATTGACAATTTGATCTATTTCTTAAAGGAAAATTCTCACAGAGATATATGTACTTGCTAAAAAACATTAAAAGAACAGAAGTTGATGAAGTGAAAAGTGTATATTCCCTCTTTTCTCACTCTTTTCTCACACCTGACCCTTCATACGTGACACTTCCTAGGGGTGATCATGATGATTAAAGGTTACGTGTCTTTGAGAATTTAAAAAATATTCATGTGCAAGCATATATTAAAACAAGGACACAGGCCGAATAGTATCATAAGTTATTTATTATTCATATTTTAAACAATTCAATGTTTAATGTTAATCTAATGTTAGCTTCATATGAGCCCTTCTATATGTGCCATATGTGTTATTTTCTCTATAGATTTACATTTTGGGGAGATGTTTGTATGCATATATATGTTTGTGTGTGTGTGTATTTGTCTAGACTGAGTAATGCTGTTATGCACATTTTTGTACATTTGCAAATTCTGATTCTTTCTCTAAAGAAATTCCAGTACAGGAATTCCTGCATCCGGGAATTAAATGGTTTCGAGTATTAGAATTACAGAGTGTAACAGTAATGCTGAAGTAGCCAGCCTGGTTGTTCTGGAGGGACGTCTTACCTGTTTGGAGCAGTATGTGAGCGCCTATTTCCTTAGTTCCGATGTCTTGTGTTTTCTGTCCCAATTTGGACCAGGGTCATGTTCTGGACCGACTGGGGAGACCTGAAGCCTGGCATTTATCGGAGCAACATGGATGGCTCTGCTGTCCATCGCCTTGTGTCAGAGGATGTGAAATGGCCCAATGGCATCTCTGTGGACGACCAGTGGATTTACTGGACAGATGCCTACCTGGACTGCATTGAACGTGTCAGTTTCAGTGGCCAGCAGCGCTCTGTCATCCTGGACAACCTCCCCCACCCCTATGCCATTGCCGTCTTCAAGGTGAGGGGAAGAGCCTCCTGTCCCTGGGATTTGGCAGAGAGATTTGACCAAGTTCTAGAACATCAACTTATTTCTGAAATGAAGCCAGTTTATTTCAGCCCATATGGAATGCTCACCGTTAGCATTTCAAAACTTTCAAGGTTGAGGTTCACCCGTGGGCTCCCTGCTGGCTTCAGATGAGCTTCCCATCACCTGTGTTGCCTTTCATCTCCACTTTGAGTCTAGAGGACAAAATGGTTCTTCCCAACAGTGGAAAGCAGGGTGGCAATTGGGGTCAGGTGTGAGTGGTCATCAGTAGTTCCTTCAGTGTGGATGCTTGGTGTCTGGACACTAACTCTTGCCTTTAAATGGAAGGTCAGTCAGGCTGACCATCAAAATAAGAGGTCCGTGTGCCTGATGGGCAGGCCTGTAGAACTGAACTAACGAGCCAAACTTCTCTTTTTAGAATGAAATCTACTGGGACGATTGGTCACAGCTCAGCATATTCCGAGCTTCCAAACACAGCGGGTCCCGGGTGACAAGCCTGGCAAGTCAGCTCACGGGACTGATGGACATGAAGATTTTCTACAAGGGAAAGACAACCGGTAAGGCAGAGTCTCCTCCTTCATCTCCATCTTGAAGTTGATCTAGAAAGGGGCTGGGTGTGGGCAACCTCCACTCAGAGTGGGATCTGGCAGCCTGCATCTTTGTTGTCACGACAACATGCACATTATTTAATTTCTTCCTAATGACATCTTAATTTCTTTTCTAATGATACACAAACAGCTGGAAGACGGCATGTTTTTGCCTGCCTGGAGTGTTGGTGCTTGGTGGGTAATTACACCCTCCTCCTGCCTTTGGCCCCTTACTGATTGGTGGCGTGGCTTCTGTTGCAGCTGGAGAGGCCCAGCGTGCGCTTAATCCCTGTTTGGCTCCCTGACAGGGAGCAACTCTGAGCCGGGTATGCAGGCAGCTGTGCTTCCTGACAAGTGTCAGTCTACCTCATTCTCTTGTTGTCCTGATGACCCATTCCTCACTGAACACCCACCTCCTGGTAAAACTCAGTGTAGTTAGAGGATGATTTAACCGCCCCCACCAGGAAACTATAAATAAGGAGATTGCTTTTTCTTTTTTTCCCCAACAATGTTGCTACTGCTCAGCACTCAGTATATGCTCAATTTTAGTGGAACGGAGGAGGGTTGAGGAGAGAAGGGCAGCATTGCCAGGGTGTAGACAGCCACAGTCCCAAAGATTATTGACGGAGACTTCAGGTGCAATACCCTGAGCGGCTGGTCCTGGAGTCTCTGCATCCTCAATAGAAAGCCTCTGCCTTACTTGGCTGGTTTATCTTTATCTTACTGGTTATTCTAGTGGAGAGAGATCAGGGTACTCCGAAGAAGAGTAGAACCTTTAAGAAGTGCCCTCTGTATCTCAACTGTGTTAAGTAGCATCTGGGGCTGCTGACTCTCATTTATTGACTAACTGCTAAGATCCCTGTTTTGGCCTAGAATGCTGATATTGTTGTGGCTTTTGGCTGGGCCTGTGCTAAGAGAATATTGACAAAGGGAAATAAGATAGTTATAGATATGCTTGTTATCCTCATGGGACCAATGAAACCAGCCTGAGAACACCCTTTCAAAACAAAGTATCTTAGAAATGAAAGTCTGTTATACTGTCTTCACCACTTAGGAAGCAGGGCTTGGTATTATGATCCTTGATTTATAGATTAGGGAACAAGATCTTTGATACAAATTAGCTTTCCCAAAGGTCCCTTGACTAGATCAGGAGCTGGACTTTTGTCCCATCCTGCTACTAAGTAGAGGGGTCACATTCCTTCTTAGAGGAGGTGCCTGTTTTCTAAGAGCAAGGGATGAAGGAGCTGTGCCTCTCAGCCTCGCTGGCCGGGATCACAGGCCCTTGACAGAGACCACCCTCCCCTATTGACCGCCTCGCCAGCAAGCTGATGGAATCTCCAGCATTTCTCTAAGTTACAGGCAGTGTGGATGACAGGGCTTAGTGTTGACAAGAACTTGTGAGCCTGTGCTTGGTGAACATACAACAGGTCCCAAAACACCATCCCGAAAAAGCTGGTGATCCCTGGGCTCTCCACTCCCTAGTCATGGGCGACCATGTCATTCTAGCTAAAGCGTAACCATAGCCCGCACCTGGGGAGTGGTGAGGTAGGGGGGCTGCGATCAGAGCGTGCTTGCATGGCCTCCTGGTGCTATACATTCCCCCTTAATGCCTCCTGGTGATTTCCCCTTTATGCCTCCAAGAGTCACCTCTGATTAAAGTAGTGAGAGCGATCCTTGGGCTCTGGGAGAGCGTGGGTGGGTGGAGTCGATGTACCAGCGCAGATAACCCAGACAGCAGCCCTTGCAGGGCCAGGTCCATTAGTGGCTTCTGCTGCTCCTTTCTCCATTTGTCCTTGGGGATCTTTTCTCTGTGTGGGCAGGAAACTTCCAGGAGCTCTGCTCATAGACACAGGAGCAGCAAGTTTGTATTCTCTAATGGGCCAGTTTGGATGAAATCGAAATTTTTGCAAAAGGTGCCTCCCAGCCTTGATCTCATTTGCTCAACCTGCTGGCTTTCTCGGGCTCTGAGAGAATGTTACAAACTAGCCGTGAGTACTGGCAGCTCCTGGTGCCAGGAAGTTTTGAAAATTACACATAGGAACTTGCTGTTAGGCAGGAGTGATGTGATAGCAGGGGCAGTAACTCTACTTCTTAGGGAACTGCTGTGTCATCATCTCCCTAAGGCTTTGTGGGTTTGTAGAATCTGTTAATCTCTCCCAAATCTCTGTGTTCTGTAAATATCCCCATCTGATGAGAATGTGAAAGTTGGGTTCCGCAACTAAGTATATTTCAAAGCACAGACTTCAATGAAAGCTTCAGGCTCGTTTCCTCTAGTGTTGTTGGACTAGCCCTGGGGCTAGGACCACAATTTAGAAGTGCTATGCTTTGATTAATTTTTGTTTATGATACAAACTGTTCATTTGAAATATCAGTCAGTTTGGAGTGTTTGGTTATAAATGGGTGTATTTATACTTGATTAGTTTCTACATAGCATTACTGGGTTCAATTCTTCATGTTTTTCCTTTACAGAGGTTACTCTGCAAGGCCATTGATGTATTGAGTTGATACTGTAATGGGTTAAATATTTTGGAGTTTTTGACGTTCTCCTTCCGTGTCTGCAGTAAGCACATATTTTTAAAAATCTGTAATGAGACAAATATTTATTTTGTGGTATGCATTTGATTTTGATAATTGTCAAGTGTATAGATAATTAAGCATGTTAATTGCATTTTTGGCTTCTAAACTGGTTCTGGAGCAATTTTCCAAGGAGGAAATCTGAAAATGTCCTAAACATGCTCAGTGAAGACATCCTATGAGTGTATGAGTGGGTGGTAGTCTTCTGAGGGGACATCTGCGGAGGTGACAGCTGTCACTTGGCCACCCTTCACACTGGGATGATGCTTTCCCCATTGCTGCCTTGCCACACAGGACTGTGGTGTGGACACAGGGTGGGTGGCTATGTTCCACTGGCCCTGGGCACTCTGCTGAATCTCCTTCCCTGCTCTTTGGCTAATGATGTACTCCCCTCTTCTGGACGGCGGCTTTGTACCAGTCTGCACGCTCCTGGCCTGCCCACCTCAGGGGTCAATAACTCTGCTGCACAAGCTTGGGGTTTGCCCTTGGAGCTGACTCCCACTCTGCAGTGTCAGTGTTTTGCCTTGTCCACCCTCCTGAAATACTGTGCCTCTGGCTTTGATGATCAGCTGGGACACTGGCTCTGTGTGCAACATTGTTAGTAAATTACACTCGATAGATATGACACACATGAAAATGTCCTCGAATGAGTATTTTCCCAAATATTCTGTTGTTCAATTTCTGGAAAGATTGAATAATGTGTTGCCCTTTGAGTACAACGAACATGTTCTAGATCTTTTTAGAGTGGCTTTTCATTGGTGACAGCTCCCCTTTAACCTGGGGCTTTTGTGTTTGAAATCTGTGGATAGTTTTAGCCCATGGAACAGATAAGGTGAACTGACTTCTGACATTTTAGCTGATTAGTTGACTACCGTAACTCAACCTGTAGGGCTGATCAAGTTATTTGCTAGACCCTTCTGCATGGGCCATCATATGGTTTTCTTTCTGTGGGTGTCTATTTTATACGATAACTTGGTCCTATCATCAAAAGAACATTGTTACTATATCATTGGGATTTTTTGTGTGTGTCTTTTAAAAAGGTTTTTAAAAGATCCTTATAGAGCAGTATCACACTCCAGATCCAGCTCCAGATCCTGTTAGGCTGTTGGTACTGGCTGGGATATGACAGGCGTCTCCAGCTTCTCCCCCTTCTGCTCCCAGACGGGAGTGAGCAGCAGTGTCTCCCCTCTGGGTTGGACAACACTCACATGGTCAACCAGGACCTTTTAGCTCTTGGGTCCTGAGCCTGCACAATGCTCACTTTGATGCCTGGGGCGTCTACAAGACACTGTAGCTAGTGGTTTCACTGGCCCCCACTATACATAGGAAAGGGAGAGAACAGTAGGTAAAAATGCCTCTGGTTCTGGCCCCTTCTCAGTGTATCATTGGGCTCTTAAATCTAGTGTGTGGATGCCAGTCAAATGCTGACAAGGGGCCAGCAGACCCAGAGCTCCCCAGCATATCTTTACTCCTATCAGCACTGATCTTTACTCTGTCACTCACTGTCTTGTTTCCCACACTGCAGGGGTGGGCATGGCTCGGCTAAAATCTCAGCTGGATGGAACATTCTCAGCTAAAAGCAAAAAATGTATATTTCACAATTTACTGGCTTTTTTGGTTGCTTAATGACCATACCATGTTTCTAGATGTTACAAAATGGTTTGTGTGGCCTCTCCCCTACTTCCCAGAAGATGGGCAAGGGGAGTAGAAAACACCTTTTCCATTGTGTTCATCCACTTGGTTCTTTCCCAAGAGTGCAGTGTAGGATTTTATGGATTCTCTTCTGGTACTGTCTTGGGAAGGTTGAGTCAGAGAAAAGTTTGGAAATAGGGACAGGTCAACATGAGCTAGTCCTGACGTGGATTGCTTACATTCTTGTGCCCAATGGCTGCAATGGTTGGCACTTCCTTTAGCTCTGCAGCTGTGCTCTTGCACAAAGGAATTGAGCAGAGGAGACCCAGATTTTTCTGAGCCCTGTCACTGCACAGGTATGTGTTTTAATTAAGGACTTTTAGGTCCTAGGGACTGGAAGTCCACTCACGCTAACTCTAGTAAAAGTGCTATTGAAAGAATAAAGGGGAGGGCCTCCCCTGGTGGCTCAGGCAGTTGAGTGCAGCGCCGTGAAGCTGTCCGCAACCTCTGCAGCGCTGCTTCGATCCCAGACGGCCGGCGAGGGTCCCACATGGCGCCGTGGACCTTTTCTGTCTCGCCCGCTGCTCCCCTCAGCAGTGTGTTTTGGTCAGTCTGCCTGTTCTGTTTCCCACCCTGTCTCTGGTGAATCCTCTCACCCTCCTGAAAATCTGGCCTGTACCCCAGTTCTTGTATAAATAAATGGATAAATCTTAAAAAAAAAAAGAATAAAGAGGAAGTGTAAAGAAGCTGAAGGTAGAATCTGGTGAGCCTTACGGGGACTGGAGCTGGGCATGTACCTCCTTTCTCTCCTCTTCTCTCCCCCTGGAGCCCACCTGTTGTCCTTTCTTCTCTCCATAAATTGGTTTCACTCTCCCTAGAATGCCCACTGGTCTCAGCAGCAACCGTAAGTCTCCCTGACGCTGGATGCCCACGTATGTGACTTTCTTCCAGCAGCCCCAGCCTCCCAGATGACTTTGTCTTCTCTCAGTGTCTTGATTCCAGATTCCCAGGAGGAGTAGCCGATGCCTGGTGTTGTTCTGGACAGTCTGGTCAGCTGAGGTCCCCACCCCTGGGTCAGCCCTGCTCAGGGCTCTGAGCAGAGATAGGTGGCACAGCAGGTGCCCAGAGCTGGCCACGTCACCTTGGTCTTTCTCAGCTCTGCACCAAGCCCGTACGTGAAGACACCACATCAGCCGCCTGTGTTTGTTAACCTGCTGGTGTTTATCTCCTCTGTAGGAAGCAATGCCTGTGTGTCCAGGCCCTGCAGCCTGCTGTGCCTGCCCAAGGCAAACAACAGTAAAAGCTGCAGGTGTCCAGAGGGTGTGTCCAGCAGCATCCTCCCATCTGGGGACCTAATGTGCGAGTGCCCACAGGGCTACCAGCTGAAGAACAACACCTGTGTCAAAGAAGGTGCGTCCATTTCTGTTCCCCGCCCATGCAAGGCCTTTTTCCCTTCCTGCCTTCTCTCTCCCAAAGCTCTATTCCCTCATGTTTTGGGCTATTGAAAATATCCAAGCTGAAAATAAACTCCACTAGGTCCTTGTAGACTTCCTGGTTCAGGTCCGAGCCTGTGGTCCTTCAGTCCTCATCCAGGGCAGGCGAAGCTGCTTGTTTAAAAATAACAGCTGTGTCTCTAGCTTCCTGTCAGGTGACACAGCATTTCTCAGAAGCCTCTTCTTTTTTTCTTTTTCTTCCCCCTTTTTCTCTCTTCTTCTCCACCCTCTTCTTCCCCCTCCTGCCTCTTATCTGTAACCACCCCCCACATGTCGGTTCTCCAGCCTCTTCTGCTTCTCGTACATGGAGCCAGCCTGACTTGGCAGAGGGGCTGGTTTGACTCCCTCATAGTCCACTGGGTCCATCCTAGCTGTGTCCTCCTCATCTTCCCTCAGTCCAGAAATCTCTGGAACCCCAAGACCCGTGTTGCAAAGGGCTCAGGTCTTGGCTTCTGAGCTGTGCTCGAGGCTGTGGCAACCTCTCCCCTCTCCTGCTTTAATTTGAAAACACAGATGCTAAAATTCTCTCTGCAAACCTGTTTAATCTTTCTTCTCTGTCTCATTTTCACCTTCCCACCTCCCCAAGCCCAGTCTCATGTGTCACCGGGTGAGCCCCAGGAAGGGACCTTGCCACTCCGTGCCTGATGGGTGGCTAGAATTCCCGCTTTCCACCTTATTCTCAAGGTTGTATTTGCTCTGTAATGTCAACCTCCCTCCACGGCGGCGTGGCGTCCCTGCAGTGAGATGCAAAGGAGTCTTCTGCTCTCCCTTCCTTACAAAATACACATGGAGAAAGCCGAGCTGCTTTCCTCTCTCAGACACGGGAGACTGTCTTTCAGGCTTTGGACATCATATCTTAAAGCTATTTGGAGAGAAACAGAGTTAACACTAAATTCCAGGAGGCGGGGAGAGAGCTCTTCTTTTGTTCCCATTGGCATGCCTTTGATGAGCCAAACAAGAGGCCCGCATCACGTGTTCTTGACCCAATACACAAGCAAGGTGCCGTACCTGTGTGAGGAACTATAACTGCTTGCTTTCAAGAAGTCTTGGGGGAGAAAAAAAAAGTCCACCAAGTACGTAAAGAAAAGCTTCATAACCTACTTGGTTGGTAAATTGGAATATTCATGAACTTATCTGCGCACATACTGAATGTATGTTTGAATACTCTGCACACAGTCCATTACGGAGTTCCTTGTGTCATTAGCATTTTATAACATCGATGTATGCTACCTCTACCCACTAGACCCAGCAGGCACCACCACGCTCCTTTTTCATCACTATAACTACCTCTAGTCCGCCTCTTCTCCCTTAATTTTGATAAAAAGAGACAGAAAGCCGCTCTCGATGCTTCCTGCCTATGTGCATGTCTGTGTGGGCGTCCCTCTTCTCTTTGCCATCGAAGGCCATTTATTTAAGGAAAAGAGATGAAAGACAAGGACCTGGGGTCCAGAGCAAGACTAACACTGGTATCATCTCCCTTTTTCCCCTTGGCCAGAGAACACCTGTCTCCGCAACCAGTATCGCTGCAGCAACGGGAACTGTATCAACAGCATCTGGTGGTGTGACTTTGACAACGACTGTGGGGACATGAGCGATGAGAGAGACTGCCGTGAGTCCTCTGACTTGGTTTTGGGGGTGTCAAGCATTGACCATGGAGGCTGGTCAACCTCGCCTGAGGGGCAGGCACAGTGAAGGCTGGTGGGCCTCTCAGGATCAGTGGTGCCCATTTTAGCTGTTGGGGCTTGGAGCACAGAGAACATATTTTCCCACCCATTTAGATATTTTATTTTAAAAACTTCCAGGTATTATCTATTCATTACAAGCTTGACAAATAAGCACCCCAGAGGTAAAGCTGTGCTGATTTGGGAGTTAGGCATTTGCACTCTGATGACCAGCAGGTGACCCTGCTGCTGTCTGAGGCTGGTGACCCACGCCAGGTGGCCAGGAGACTTCTCTTGATTTGTAAATTCAGCCTTTTCAGAGATGGAGACAGGTTTTACCTTGGATGCCTGCCTGGCTCAAGAGAGATTGTTCTCATTGAATGGCAATGCCGACTTTGACCTGGAATGTTGGTGTGTGTATGTGTAAATGCCATCTTTGGAGACTATAATATGTAAGGTCTAACTGCTAAAGTATAGGACCTGGTTTATCAGTGTTCAAAGACAACTATTTGTAATGGCTGATTCATTAACCACCTGTCTTTTCAGTTTTGTTTTTTTTTTTTTTAAAGATTTATTTATTTATTTATACTCGCACTGGGTACAGTCAGAAGCGTGAGCGGATGAGAGAATTCACCTGAGCCAGAGCAGGGAACAGAACAGGCAGACTGATGAAACACACTGATGAGGGGAGCAGCAGGCGTGGCAGGAGAGTCTGTGCGCCATGTGGGACCCTCACCAGAGGCCAGGGATCGAACCGGCGCTGCAGAGGCTGTGGGCAGCTTCGCAGCCCAGCACTCAACCCCTGCACCACCAGGGGAGGCCCTCTTTTCAGTTATTTTAACAGCTTCAACATCTTATTAGGAGGTGCCCTGCTTGGTCAGTTTCTACCTTCACTCAGCAAGTATTTGAGTTCCACCTCTGCGCTGGCCTGGACAGAGACTGGGACTGAGGTGGGACAGGTTTTCAGTCTGAAGGAGGAGTCAGAAAAGCAAATAGGTGGTTGCAGCAGAGAGATGAGGGGAAAGCGCCACGTGCAGACAGGAAGGGCTCCCAAATCGAATGTGGGTCGGCACCTCTGAACAGCCCTTGCTGTCTGCTCTACTCTGAGGGTGAGTAGAGGTGTACCAAGCAGGGTACTGGGCCAGAGAGCAGCATGTTGAAAGCCCAGAGGTCAGCGTGGATGTGGCATGGTCAGGAAGCTAGTGTGGGTGTCCAGACCTGCAGTGGGAGCAGTGGGGCAGGTGGGCAAGGCCAGAGCCACAAGGGCCTGTGTGCTTTATCAGAAAAACAGTTTGGAAGCCTTTGAAATGACATGAAATTTTGCCTTTGGAAAGATAGCAGTGGGCAGAATGCCTGAGATGCGAGAAAGCCTAGAGCCACAGGTCAAAACCAGTCTTAAGTCTCCTCCACATTTTACGTGTGGGAGTCAGAAGCTCGTTAACCATTTTGTGCTTTGAGAATCTATTAGTACGTGGCCCTCACGCTCTTCTGGTGGGTCTGTTGAATCGGTTAGCTGCTGCTTGTGCTAGGTCCCCATGCCACTCCCCCCAGAAAGCAACTTCCAAAGCAATCAACTTCCTCACCTCCTCTAGGCCCTGTAGACCTTGTGCTGCCCTGTCTGTCTGATAGGCGGTTACTTGCCAAACCTTAATAATGTTGCCTTCTTTTCAGTGGTGGCCTTTCCAGGCCAGGGAGAAGAGTGTACCGAATGGGCCGATTTGGGAATGCGTGGCCTGTATGGTTTCCCCTTTTTGCAAAAGGTTCACTGAGAAACCTTTAGTTCCTCAAAGAAGGTGTGATGTTGGGGGTTGGCGGATAACCAGAGCTCCTTAAGCACTTTAATATATAAATATTAATAGCGTTGCAGTACATTGTAGAAAGGAGGGGAAAGGCTTCTTAGAATTGACACGTTAGAACAAAAGTGCTCAGGCATAACTGGGCAGAGTGGAAGCAGAGAGAGATAAACTAGATGACCTCACGCTCAGCCGCTAGGAGGTCCGCCTTTGATCTCGGTGCTTTGGTGTCTACTGGAAGGACTGGGAACTTGTGTTGTTTCAGCTTTTGGAGAGAAAGATCCCCCTCCGTCCTCAGGGAGTGTGCCTTCCCACCCGGTTCCCAGGCTCTGCTGCCAGCTTCTCAGCTGTCTACACAGAGTTTAAGCCGCTTTTGGCATAAAGTGTGGATCTGCCTGACCTCCTCTGGGTTTGGCGTGAATGTCAGCTGGGATTGACCTTTCTGAGACTCTGAACTTGCTGTCTGCTCTGCTCTGCCCTCACAATTCTACATGGCTCAGATGGGCCAGAGGTGAGGGATGCAGGGTGAAAACGTGGAGTCTGGGAACCAGGAGTGTGATGCTCATCTCTGCCTTCCAGGGCAGTGTTGCCCTGACCCAGGAGAGCTGTGCTTGGCATGATAGTGGTGCTGAGCTGCAGGAGAGGGCCTGTCAGGCTGTGCCTGGGCACTGCTGTTGGGAAGTTACGTGAGGCATCCTGTCAGCTACCAGGGAAGAGGAAAGCGAGGGGTGGTGATGTTGTCAGCAGATCTCCCTTCCTGTTAAACAGAATCCTGTGCTGGGTAGCTGTCAGGCACTCAGGATTTTGACATGAATCCCCTGCAGTATTGTCATTTCTGCATTTATCCCCTGCCTCCCACCACGAGCTCAATTACATGGAAGAAACAGAGCCTCAAATAAGGGTTGCCGGGGCTGTGTAACCACAGTGTTGCCAACGGCTTTTCCTTCTACAGCACACCCCTCCCTCCTTCCCAGGATTCTGTTCTGCCACATCCTACCTTAGGCATCAGCTGCCCTGGAGAGCAGCCTTTATTCCGGAATCCTTTCCTGGAGGGTCTTTAGCTGGCTTCTCGGAAGGGTGCTTCAGCCTAACCAGTCTGTACCTGGAAGAGGGAGAGAAATCTCATTCTGAGTACATCGTGCTGCCAGAAGGGCAGGGAGAATGATGAGGAAGAGAAGTGAGGTTTGTTCTGAGCCTGTTATAGTCACCTCGATTTTATAGGCCCCACACTTGTTTTATTTACCTCGATGATGTTCAGGGAGGACACTGATGGTTGGGTTAAGCAGACATAGAGTCCGGATCCAAATCTTGGTAGTTCAGTCATTGCAAGCACCTGGCCACATTACCTTATCCCCTTTTTATGGTGGAGAAACAGCCTGGGGTGGTAAAACTAACTGCTCAGGGTTGAGGCAGAGCCAGAATTTGCAGCCCCGTCTCTCTGAGTGCAGGTTCCAGCTGCAGAGTTCTGCCTGCACACTCGTGGATGAGTGCTGGCTCCTGTGTGCAGCTGGGCTCGCTGACGGAAGTTTTCTAGGTGAAGGTATTCCTGCCACTTATTTAGGAAGACACTTTGGTGTCTAAGGAAATCTTAGGGGGTGAGTGCTCCCATTTCTCTCCCTTCCTTCCTGCCCTCCTCACAGAGGACAGAGTCTCACTTTTCCTAGCCGGCCCTGACTCCCATCTGGAAACTCCACGGAGAGACAGGTCCGATCTCTTGTTGTAAATTTCAGGTTTTCATGCATTTTTTTCTACAAGTTTGTTGCATTCTTGTTGCCACAATTAAAACCTGCTTCCTTCCAATGGATGTTTATGTTTGGGGTGTTAATGATACCTAGTGACTATGCTGTCTCTCTCTTCCATTTTAGCTACTACCATTTGTGATCTGGACACGCAGTTCCGTTGCCAGGAGTCTGGGACTTGTATCCCTCTCTCCTACAAGTGTGACCTTGAGGATGACTGTGGAGATAACAGTGATGAAAGCCACTGTGGTAAGGGGACCCCATGTCCAGGAGCCCTGTTCCAGAGGGGGGCAGCACCCTTGTACTGGGCCCATACATGAGGTGGGTTGGAAGTGGAGGCTATCTGTTCATTCACAAAGCAGTGGGCCCTGCTGTGCTTTGCAGAGGTATTGCAAGCATGAGTTACAGAATTTCTAAGTGAATCCAGGCGATGATTAACAGCAGCATGGATGTGGCACGGGCTCTGGTGGCTTTTAGTCTCCTGAAAACATGGATCTCTTATACCTTTATGAACTGTTGTTTTTTTTTTTTTTTATGACCAATGTAATTCAATAAACTCTGTTAGAAGTCGGCAGATGGCACAAGCATGGATTAAGCCTCTGTTTTCTCAATGGAATGTTTTATACTTAGAAAAATAGTGGGTTGGAATTGCAAGGAGTGGCAGGGGTTCTCTGGTTCAGTCCTTTGACTTTCCAGATGCATTGATGGAGGTAGGTTCCGGGACCTTGTTCAGGGTGACATAGTTTGTGTCCCAAGGGAACTGGAGCCCCTGTTTCTGGTGACCCTTTGGTTGCACAATCCTGCCCCGACAGTTTTGTGTTGTCTGCTGATCCCAAGCACAGCGCTGCTGACCACCAAAAGAGGAAACGCATGCAGTGCACCAGTGGAGGGATCCCAGGCCTGAACAGGAAGTGAGAGTAGAGGCCAGACGCTGACCCAGACATTGTGATCTATCTGGACCCCTGCCTGTCCAGGGGGCAGGTCCTGTTGAGCTGATGTGGATGCAAAGGACCTGCTTGACATGAGCTGGGGCTGAGATAAGGGAGCAGAGGAAATGCTGGCTCTCGGGGGAATTTTTTCAGGGGGAGTTAGATACTTTTCCTTCATTGTCTAAAAAAAAGGAGGTTCCTAGAAATGAACCCTTGGGATTCATAACTCTTTTCCCTTCATTCCGCCCACTCCCTGCCCAGCACACAGAAGGTTAAAGTACGCAGCTACTTTTGCTTTAGTAGGAAGGACAAGGCACAGAATGACATGTTTCTGGTGTCAGTTTGCTCAACTGTGCCTCCCCCTCACTTTCTGCCCGTGACCCCATCGCGACAGTGTATTCCAAATACATCCCAAGGACTCAGTGCCCCTTCCCTGATCCAGATCCTCCTTAGAAGTCCTCAGACTGTTTGTCCTTAATTACCTGAATCACCAACATCCCCATTGGCCTGGCTCTTGGGTGAGGCAGCCACATGGGCTGTAGGCTTAGCTGCTTCTGTGTTTACAGAAGCTTAAAAATTCCATGCGGAAGTTCTGTTTTAATGATATCCCCAGGGCCCACAAAAGATCTTGCCAGCATCACCTCTTTAAACCTCTTAGACTACACTGGCTCCTTTGCTCCAGGTCTCCACCCTTCCAGGTGCAGCCCACAGCCCTGTACCTGGCTCTCCACATGCAGGAAGTCCCCAGCTTACACAGCTCCTGTTGCAGAAACTCAGCACGCATGGGTCTGCACACTGTGGGTTCATATGACTCCTTCTCTGAAACCACAGACTCTGTCTCTGTCTAAGTCTTCTGTTTCTTGCAAATTTAATTTCCTGGGCTCCTCAAGCATTGCTTCTCAACCTTCTTCCCATCATAGTAAGCACAGGCAATGATGGCATTTGAAAAGCACACCCATTTAAATGAACAAGACTGCTCTTGCCTAGAGGCAGCCAGTTGGGAGAGACGAGGGTGTCATGTCATGTCCCAGCTCACCTGTCACCTGTTGCAGCACACTACCTAGAACTTCCTCAATGACTGGGCCTCCCCTGTTAGGAGCTCTTCAGCCACACTATCTGTGGACAGTCAGTGGTAATGGGGATTGTGGATGCATCTCCAACCCTCATGAGATTGACACCAGGGACAGAATTCTGAGTAAGTTGTTGTCCTCACAGCTGTTTGTGGTCTCACCTGCAGAAATGCACCAGTGCCGCAGCGATGAATACAACTGCAGCTCTGGCATGTGCATCCGCTCCTCCTGGGTATGTGACGGGGACAATGACTGCAGGGACTGGTCTGACGAAGCCAACTGCACGGGTCAGTATTTCGTGGCCTCAGTTTGTAGCACTTTTCTGTTCATGTGCTGGGTAGCATTGAAGTTTGTAGGAGTGTGGACTCTAGGCTCTAGGAATTAGCTTGGACTTTAGAAATGCACTAGTTTCATCTAAAAAGCAGGTTTATGCTAAGCTCGTGGTGCCAGAATGAAAGGCAATATCCTGCTTCCTTCCTTGTGAATGTCTGACACTGAAAAATTGTTAACTGAACTAAATAGTGTCCTGAGTGATACTTGATTGACATTCTGGCTCAGGACCAGGAATAAACAGTTTACAGATTCACCCTAATCTGGGACCATACTTAGAGCAGCACGGAACTAGCTCATGTTTTTAAATGGAACATCAGGGGTTCTCTGAACAATGAAAACTTAAACTGTGCTGGCATCTGTCTGGGGGCTGCTTTCGTTAAGAATAAAGCTGAAAACACGAGCATATGCGAGGAAGGCTGCATGGCGTAAGATAGAGGCAACTTTCTATTTCTTCTCTCAGGCTTTAAGTTTACTCATGTTCATTACATTGTTTTTTTCCTCACATAAATGAAAGAAAGAATGGGGGGTCATGTACCTGTAGTGGAATGTGGGAGAGCAAGGAGTTTGGGGATATTGCAGAGGAATGAAAAATTTCTTCAATGTGATAAGTACATTTTCTCTGTAAACTTAGCTCTACCTTAAATCATCCCAGCGATGGACATAAAGCTGTTTCCTTTGACCATGTGATGATCTGGGCAGATCTGCTTTCACACCCTCATCCGTCACCTTTCCTGCAACTCATCTTTCATGAGTCAAACTCCTCAATTATCTAGTGTGGGTCATTATCCTTGTGAATTAATGGAGTGACTTTTAAATCCCATGTCTCATGATGGAAAACTACAGTTACTATGTTATCCGCTTTATTTGCTACTTTCTCTGGTCTTGTCTTTAGCAACTGCGTGCAGCCATTTGTTGGACTGGCTCATTCTATTCATACCTCTTGTTACTTTTGTGGTCTGCATGACTCTGCTAGAATCTGAGTTACTTCCTCAGGCTTCTCATCCAGTTCAACACATCTCTTTTCAGCTGACTTTAGTCTCCTGTTTCACATATCCACTGAGCTATTTTATTTCCATGGCTGTGTTTTTTAAGTCTAGGTTTCCTGTTTTGTTCTTTCAAATCTGCCATTTTTTGTTCATACTGTGTTTTATTAGCATTTTGTCTCCTTTATGCATTTCTTAGTAGTTCAGTGCTTTGCAACAGAGGCAGTGCTGTCCTCGTCATTGTAATTAATTCATCTTTTCTTCCCCATTTTTATTTAAGGTTTTTGATCAGGTTTACAAAGGGTCTTGCTGAGTCAGAAAAGATCTGTCTTAGTCAGAGTTAGTTGTAAGATGATAGCCTCTGTTAGAAACCCTGATATTCTAATTTCATGACCATTTACTCCATTAGAACTGCCATTCTTAGAAGTCACAGTGACTCATGCCATGCTTCACATTCGTTTACTTCCCCAAGTCATTTCGTCTCAATTGAAATTAACCTCTTCCATCTTTGTAATTAAAACCCTTAAAAAATTTATTGAGCATGTATTTACCACTGTCAGAGAGCTAATAAGTTACTCAGAAGACAGCAAAATCCAGAAAGAGAATGTGTTAAGTATTCCCATCACACCTGGCCCTTGAAGGAACTTCTGAAAACTGATTAGTCTTTCAGGGGTAGAGTCTGGAGCTCTCCTACATACCTCCCAGAATTACCATTTGGAAATCCATTAGCACTCTGAAATTGCTTTCAATTAAAAATCATATGCATAGGTTGAATAATAAGTAGATCACTATGGCAGTAAATTTAAGCAATATTGCATTTTATGAAAGTGAGCAAGGCTTTGGTGAAGAATTTTTAAAGGACTATCAGCCTTGGGGAGCCAATAAATCGTAAGTATTCTAGGCAACTACTGTTTACTGGAGCAAAAGCTCATGTAACATGCATGATACTTATTCCTCTTTTTCAGAGGTGAGTATTTTATGAAAGATATTTAATGGATTCCAAAAGCCAGGGATTGTAAAATGTTGAAACTTCCTGCAGGCTTGTTTGTATGCTACCAAATACAGTTTTGGTCTTTGGAGAGATAAGACATAATGACCCACCACTTGTTTTAAAGTGGTTTGAAAAATCAGGTTCTTTGTATTTCAGACTTTTGCAGAAAATAGCCTCCAATTCAGTAAGAATTCCAGAGGGCATTGTAGCCAATTTTCCCAGCCTTTGAGTAGCTTATTTCCAACTATCTCGATTGAATAAATAACTATAGTTTGCACTCAACTACCCAAGTTTGTTTGTTTAGCCTCCTTTGTTGTGAAGGCAGCCTAGCCACACAGTTAAACCAACAGAGTCCATCTATCATGGTTATATTATTTTATGCTGGTTGTAAACAAGGCTGGTCCTGGCTTTCATTCAGCAGCAAACAGACACAGATAGCTTTCTGTTTTGGAGCAGGGAGGTGGAAATCTGATGGATAAGATGGTTGGTAATGTTGGCTGGGTTTGAGGCAGATATGCAACTGAACTCATCTTTAACTGCAGTTTTGAGATGTTTCTAAATGATTTCCAAGCAGTCCTGGCCCAGATGTGCAAATGAGGCCATTCATTTATAACAATGCCTTTCTGTTTCACCAGCCTCTCTTTCCAGTAATAGACACTGAGTGCTGTTAGCTGCTAGTGGCTACTCTTAACTGTCCAGAAAACTGGACACTTCCAGATTTTGCTTTCTTTGCCATATTGGGTAAGTCTTTTGTGCTCTTGTGGGCCTGATATATTCCACACTTGAAACTGGGTAGTTCATTGGAAACTACAAAGCCATGGTCTTTCAGAACTCCCAAAGGTCCTAAATATCGGTGAGTAGATGATGAAATAGAGGACCCCAAACAGTTGCTCCACCTCCTGAGCATTGGGATGAGTGAGAGGATTTATGTGAGCAGATAAAGAAGCAAGATAGAGTAGAGAATCATGGACACCCTGGTGCTAATATTTATCTTTGTGAATGTGACCAACTTTATCTTGAAGTTTGTTTCTCATCTGTAAACCCCTACCTCGTAGGTTTTGTGAAAAGTGAATGAATTTTTAAACATGTCCATCTGTGCTTGTGTGGCTTTTCTCTCAGACTCCAGTCATTGCCCTTCCAGGGGCTGCCCCATACTCTTAGATCAGCCCATAGTGCTGGCCTGCTGATGGAGGAGAAACTGTGGCCTCCAGCTCAGGGCCTATTCCCCTGCAGCATCTGCTTTCAGTCAGCACCTTGCTGGCTGCCGACTCGGGGAGGTGAGGGGGCTGACGTCTCTCTCTTCTGCTTTGCCGCAGCCATCTATCACACCTGTGAGGCCTCAAACTTCCAGTGCCGCAACGGGCACTGCATCCCCCAGCGGTGGGCGTGTGATGGTGACATGGACTGCCAAGATGGCTCTGATGAAGATCCCGTCAACTGTGGTAAGTACAGATGCTTCGCCCACCCGAGCAGCAGTGTCTGCTGTTCAGGAAAGAGGCCATCCGAAGCCAGGAAATGAAGTTCTGTTCTGCAGAACCCGCGTCCCCACTGACAACTCAGCAAGCCCCCCACCTTCTGTTGTGACATTGCCAGAAGGCACAATGGGGGGTGTTACTTAGTGTCCACTCTCAGACCAGCCGTTTGCCTCACTGCTTTTCCGTAACAACTTTGAAGAAAAGAAATGGAGTGCGTGGAAGGCAGCCATGCTACCAGTGTGCTGCGAGCCACCAGTCCTAGTAGAAATAGTAGGTCTTAAGTCTAAGTTCTCTGTCCTTTGTGAAAATGGCTCAATGTTCCTAAAGAAAAAATTTTTCAGTATAATGAGTTTAAATATTGGAGCTCATTAATGATCCTTAGAATAGAAATTAAGCAGCCACAAAATAGCTCGCACACGAACTCTGTGTAAAATGTTTTTTTACAGGCCAGTATTTTGAAGGTTCTCTGTTATCTTTTTGCCAAATGTCTGAAGGGAAAACTCCACCTGTGTATTTCCTCTGTTGTTTAAACTTCATCTTATTGAATACTTGTGATATTTCTGGTCACTCAATGTGTGTTTTCTACCCCAAGCAATTCTCTGATGCCTGCTGTCTGTCTTACAATTTTGTTCAACACCTGGAGAGTGTGTCTCCCACAAGTTAAGGGCTCAATATTACAAGATTCCACTCCCTCACCCCATCCTACTTCATCTGCCAGTCCCAATTTGTTGCCTGTACTTATGACAGAAAGGCTATAAATTGGGATTCCCGTGACCCTTGGTTTTGATGATTTGCTGGAATTGTCCACAGAACTCGGAAACACATTGCTGTTTTTATCCTAAAGGATAGGATAGAGATGGGCGTCCAGGGAAAAGAGACATGTGGGGCAGAGTATGTATGGGTAAGGGTGTGGGACTTCCCAAGCCCTCTCCAGGCTTGCCACCCTCCCAGCAACTCGCCGTGTTCAGCAACTTGAAAGTTCTTGGAATCCTGCACTTTAGGGGTTCCTATGAAGGTTTCATCTGCTTGGCTTGACCGATCATTAACTCGGTCTCCTCCCCTCCTGGAGGATGAGGGGCTGGTAAGTTCCAAGCATCTGTTGTGTCTTGATATTTTTGGGGGACCAGCCCCCATCCTGAAGCTCTTTAGGAACCCAGCAAGAATGAGATCCCTCTGAGATCCTTCCCGATGTTGATATGTTCCCCAGAGGAACTGGTAGGTCAAAGCTTCTGATCAGTCTCCGCGATTCTTGTTGAGTGTTTTGACTGTATTGCCAGTGATGGTACCAAGAGCATCTCACTCTCTGGTCTGTAGTATGTTTCTCCTGAGTCTCCCTTGATAATATATTTTATCTTTTTAGCTGTTTCCCTCTTCAATGAGTTGGAATTTGTCTCATGTAATTTTGATCCATTCTTTTTTTAACAACCTTTCCTGCTTAGTGACATGGGTGATTTCCCCACACTGCGGTGCTTGTTTTGTTTTCTGTCCTTCAAATCATTTCCTCAGAACAGTGTCTTTTTACAGGGGTACAACATGTTCCCTCACCCTCCATCTGGTCCTTAAGGAGCTCTGCCACTGACATTGGGGTTTTCCCAGGCCCTAGGTGCCTGACGTCTTGCAGCAGCTCTGTGTTCAAGAGAAAGGAGACGCCCTAGCCCCGAGAATGTGGCTCTAAGCATTCAGATACCTTAGTCAGTCGTAGTTTAATTTCCCCTGGAACTAATTGTGAAACCTCAGGCACTTAACATTTCTAGGACACTTTTTCCAAGGGAGCTTTGGTTTAGATTGCTTTAGATTAATCCCAATTCCTAGAAAATTAAGATGGTGAGTGATTTAGGAGACAGCTTTAAAAAAACAATGTTTCATAATGATGAGTCATGTCTTGATTTTTTACATTCATTGAAGCTTTCCTTAAAAAAAACCAATTTTTTTGAGTAGGTAACACATTCACATGGTTAAAAATGGAAAAAGTATACAAAAGCATACAGTAAAAGATGCAAAAGCATCCTCCCACCCGCCCAGTTCCTAGCCTGTGTCCACAGAAAACCATAGTCGTATAATCTTTCCAGAAGAGTTTTGTGCATGTATGTACGGATTTCATTTTGTTTTTTATTTGTAGCATTTAGTGAACAGATGGCACAGCACCTCCCCCCTCCCCTCTACACATACCTCCTTAATCTTCTTGGCTTTCACAGTCACATGCTGTGTAGGGAGTTTTACCTTCCCCAGAGCTCTGGAGAATTCTGATTGCACCATATCAATGCTAAGAGAGCTTCAGACTTGCTTTTGGCAGTTTTTACCTGAGTCTGCTCACTGACAAAAGCCCATCATTTGCCAGAGTTGACAGGTGGGCAGAAGCTCCGATTCCTCTGTACAAGCTAATGCCTCCTACCATCTCTCTGAGTTAGCTGGGCGATATCTGTGGATGTTGACCCTGCCAGCAGCATTACCAGGGTTCCCTGGGCGCTTTCCCTCCTAAACCATGTGGCCGTGGCCATGGCTCACGTGGCCCCAAGTCTCCAGATCATGCTCTGCCTGGAGAGTGTGTTGGTGGCTGAGATGAAAGAGTCAAATTTTAATGCATTGTGTGTTCTCGTCCTGTTTTGCACAAATAGTTTGCTAAGCATGTTGTTTTTAACCTTTTTTTCAGTCTCTATCTAGGACATTTTTAGAGTGCTGCTTCTACCTCGCTGTGGTGTTCCAGTGTGCAATGTCCACTAGAAAATCCTCCCTTGGTGGGAGGTTTTCAATCTGTTACCAACAGGATGCAATGAATAACCTTATTCTTAATTTTCACATGTGTAACTTGGTACATTTCTAGAAGTTGCACTGCTGGGTCAACTTCCATTTCTGTTTGTGATCTTGTGAGAGCTGTGCCAGGAGGTCTCCCTGGGAGTTTACACCCAGTAGCCACCTGCAGGGCCTGCGCCCTCTGGGTCATCGTCCTGTCTCTGAATTGCATTTCAGAGAAGAAGTGCAATGGCTTCCGCTGCCCGAATGGCACCTGCATCCCGTCCAGCAAGCACTGCGATGGTCTGCGGGACTGCTCGGACGGCTCGGACGAACAGCACTGCGGTGAGTCCCCTCCTGCCCCAGGGAGCATCAGGTGCTCGCGCTAGAAGGGCACAGTGTGGACGAAGTCCTTTTACATCCTCACTCCCTTTGTGGTTTGCTTTTGACCAAGTTGGCCCTGAGTGCTGGACCAGGACTCTTAAAGGCAGATCATGGCAGGGAGCCAGGTTTTGGATGAAGAAGAGTAAGAGCAGGGAGTGGAGCAGGGATGGGGTGACTGTGGAATTATGTCATACTTCCGGTGACGTTATTGTTTACAGTATGTTCTATGAATTAGCCAATTGTTTTGAATCAGACAGTAATTTCTCCTACTTTATTGATATTATTGGTGTTGTGGATTAACAGGTGTTTACCTTTTTACCCCCTTTTGATCCCCACTGTTCTTTACACCCAGAAACATTATCTTGGTCAGTGGAGCTCTTCCTTGGATTCACTTGGGGAACTTTAAAAGGCGGGCCTCATTGTGTGTTCTCGTCCTGTTTTGCACAAATAGTTTGCTAAGCATGTTGTTAGATATGCAGATTTACCCGCCAGATATGCAGATTTAGTCTAGAGTGTGACTTGGGCTTGAGGCTGGAAAGTTCCTTGAGATGATCCTAATGTGCAGTCCAGGCTGAGGATTGGGGGGAGAAAGGGGCTGTGGGGAGCAGCCCATCCATGCAGTTGACTCGAGCAGCCACTGCCTTCGCCTAACACCTGTCTCCTGCTCTCAGTGCTGGAGGGGCAGAGTCGAGGAGTCATGCGAGAGGCTGGGAGAATTTGCACGCTCACCATATTCATCTCTGTGCTCTCTGTGCGCATGTGTGCATATAGCGATTTAGTCTAAGGAGTTGGACCCTGTGGTCACACCGGCTGGCAAATCCAAAATGTGCAAGTTGACCAGCAGACTGGAAAGCCAGGATGAGCCGATTTTTGCAATTCAGGCTCTGCCACCTTCTCGCTCTGTCCCCAAGTAGTCCTCTCTCTGTACTGTATCTCTGGTGTATCTTCCTCTTCTTAGAGGGACACTAATCCTGTTGGCTCAGGGCCCCACCAGTGCGACTCATTTAACTGTAATCCTCTCTAAAGGCCTCATCTCCAAAGGGGAATTAGGGCATCATCATCTGACTTTGGGGACAGGGTATAATTGAGTCCATAACACTGGGCCTTTTTTTTTTTAAGATTTTTATTTTTATTTATTTATGCATAAGGTACTGGGGTACAGGCCAGAGGTGCGGGGTGAGAGAGTTCACCAGAGACAGCAGGGAGCAGAACAGGAGGATCTACTGAAATACACTGCTGAGGGAGTGGAGGGTGGGACAGGAGAGATCTGCTGTTCCATGTGGGTAGCTCCCTGGCCAGGGATTGAACTTATGTTGCAGTGGCTGGCAATAGCTTGATGGTGCTGACACTTAACCCCTTGCGCGACCAAGGATGCCCCAATACAGGGCCTTGATAGGAGGCTTGCCAGCCCTGTATTAGTGATTCAGTGCTATTAATAGTATTGAAGACCACGGGCTTCGATGTCAGACTCATGGATTTCAGTTTTTGGCTACACCCTCATCGCTGTGTGCGCTCAGCTGAATCTCATGCTGCCACCCCATTATTTCATGTTGACGCGTGACCATAAAATCAGCATTCTCTTGAGCGCTTAATGATGTTCCTTTATGGCAATTGCTTTTACCTTGGTTTGCAAACACATGCCTGTCCCTGGCACAGGGCCTGGCCCAGCAGCCCTGAATGCTCAGTTCCTTCTCTCTGCACCCCTTACAGAGCCCCTGTGCACACGCTTCATGGATTTTGTGTGCAAGAACCGCCAGCAGTGCCTGTTCCACACCATGGTATGTGATGGGATTGTCCAGTGCCGGGACGGATCTGACGAAGACCCTGCGTTCGCGGGATGCTGTGAGTGGATGGGGGTGGAGGGTATCCCTGTTACTGAGGAAGCCACTAGGGGGTGGAATGGGCCCCCTGGGGATGCACCCCCTCCCTCTAGTTTACAGATCTTGACTGAGTTAATGATCTCGCCTTGTTTTTTTTAAAAAAAATTTTTTAAGATTTATTTATGCATACAAGAGCTGGGGTACAGGCCAGAGATGCAGGGGTTCAGGGGGTGAGAGGATTCACCAGAGACAAGAGTGGGGAGCAGAACAGGCAGATGTACTGAAATACACTGCTGAGGGGAGTGGGCCAGACAGGAGAGGTCTGCTGAGCCATGTGGATTACTCCCTGGCAGGCCGGGGATTGAACTCGTGCTGCAGAGGCTGCGGATTGCTTCATAGTGCTGTGCTTAATTAACCCCTTGAGCCACTAGGGATGCCCGATCTCGCCTTGTTTGAGAAGGACATATCTTTGCTTCAGAAGTACCACTCTTTAGCCATTGGCATGTGTGCAAAGCAAGGATGGAGAAGGGCTAACGACTTCGCTCAAATGTCACCTACGGCAGGACTTTCTTGCCTCCAATCTCGCTGTAGCCCCCCAGCATTGCTCCAGAGGTTTTCACAGCAAGAGTCCCCACTTTGCACACTATGTATATATTGACTGTCTGTGTCTCCCCTATGGGATGGGAGCTCAGTGACAGCCAGGCTCTGTCCTGTTGGCTGCTTGGCCCCTGTCCTGAAGCAGCGCCCTGTGTGTGGTAGGCGCTGAATTAGCCTCCAGGGCTGCCACAGCAGAGGACCACAGGCCGGACGGTTTAAGCAACAGAAGTGGATCTTCTCAAAGACGTGGCAGCTGCAGGGCCGAGGTCAGGGTGTCAGCAGGGGCGGATTCCTCTGAGGCTTCTCTCCTTGGCTAGCAGATGGCCATCTGCTGCTCCTCACTGTCCTCGACAACATGGTCATTGGGTCCGGACCTCCTCTGCCCTCCCTGGCACTCAGCTACTTCTCTGAAACCCCTAGTGTACAGGCTTCTTCGGAGGTGCTGGAGGTTAGGGTTTCCATTTTGACTTCCAAGGAATCCTCCTGCCAGACAGGTGGGGGCGCTAGCTCACGGCATGGCCACCCTGGAGGCTTCGGTGAGAAGTGGCCTGGGGCTTAGGCACTTTGTTCTTTCTTTAGCCCAAGACCCGGAGTTCCACAAGGTTTGTGACGAGCTCAGCTTCCAGTGTCAGAATGGCGTGTGCATCAGTTTGATCTGGAAGTGTGACGGGATGGATGATTGTGGTGATTACTCTGATGAAGCCAACTGTGGTAAGACGGCTCCGGCTCCTATCCCCCCTCATCTTCAGGGTCAGTCACATCTGTAGTTGGGGTGCTCACCAGCACACTCACACGCAGACTTTGCTTCCCATCTGTAATGAGCCCAGTTCTAGAATCTCCATGGAAGGATCATCTGGAAGTGGGAAACTTGGGCCCCCAGCAAGAGTCAGAGGGGTTCATTCCTTGTGCCCCAGCTGAGAAGTTCACATGTATCAGGAATATAAGTTTACATGTATAAGGAATTATGGTAAATACTTTGGAGTGTGCCCCTCTCTCCCCTAAAAGTTAATGGTGAAGTGTCAGAATGAACACTCAGGTATGATTCACAAGGTGTAGAAGTCTAGGTCACAAGCGTGGAATGGGACCTGGGGAAGATGGGTTTTATGTGAATCCCAGAAGCTTACCTTTCTCTGCTAGGGCCATGAGGCTGCCCTGGGATTTGGGCGTTGAGGAGGCTTGCAGAATGGAGCTTTATGTTCACACTGGTGCAGGCAAGACAACTGATAGTGTGCTTGGTCTCCCCAGAAAACCCCACAGAAGCCCCAAACTGTTCCCGCTACTTCCAGTTCCAGTGTGAGAATGGCCACTGCATCCCCAACCGGTGGAAATGTGACAGGGAAAATGACTGTGGGGACTGGTCTGATGAGAAGGACTGTGGAGGTAAGACCCTGGGGTCTGGGGTCAGCGCATCGGGACACCAGTGCTCCCCCACTCCTGGCTGCACAGAACTTTCTCTTCTGTCTTATCAATGATTTGGGGGAGGATAATTCTGAGTTCTGTCCCTCTCCCATCTAAAAATTAGTGTGTTGGATCTCTCCTATGTCTGGGGTTATGCAGTTTGTATTTTGCAAAGCACAGTCAAAACTCGGGGCCTCGCTGCCCCCTGTGTGATCTGCAGGCCAGCAGTATCCACATCTCCTCAGAGTGTGAGACCTGCCCTCTGGGTGCTGCCTTGGGCCTCCCTCCTGTGTCTGAATCTACTTTGTAAGAAGCTCTATGTACCACATACTTCTGGGAAGCTCTGTGCAGAATGCATGTCTGCTTCCTTTTTGGCATTCTCATCTCTGAATGGGGTCCTTGTGTTGCTGTGGGTTGTGTTAACCTGAGCAGCTTTTAGCCTCAACAGCTTTTAGCCTTTTTAGCCTCCCTCCCACACCCGCACCCCCATGCAGTCTGAGTCCCTTTCCTTCTATTGACCAACGCTAGCCCCCCAGACAGCAGACTCATCACAATATTAGCCAGGTCAAATAGGACATGGGAACTAAATCTGCTCCAGAAGGGGAAAGAATACAGTCCATCTGAAACCTGGTTATAAGTAGCATTTAGCTGAACTGCTGTTCCTGACTGGGCCTAGGGGGCTGGTCGCCCTGGGTTGGGGTGGCTGAACCAAGACATCTGCAGGAGGGTTGATGCACACTCTGGGCCGAGCTCAAACCACATGTGACTTTTGGGGTTTCTTGCTTGCCGTTCTCTGCAGATTCACATCTTCTACCCTCCCCGACTCCGGGGCCCTCCACATGCCTGCCCAATTACTACCGCTGCAGCAGCGGCGCCTGTGTGATGGACAGCTGGGTGTGCGACGGCTACCGGGACTGCGCTGACGGCTCGGACGAGGAAGCCTGCCCCTCTCCGCGTGAGTTGGGCCCTGCTTGCCTGCGGCACCTGCCTTTGTGGAGAGGGCTCCCTGGGCACAGCATCGCCAGGCTCAGTGCCTGCAGCCAGACTGCCTCTCACCACTCCTCTGCCCCTCACCCCCACCCAGCAGGGAGACCCAGGGCCACTGGGAACTGCACTGTCTCATCTTCTATAACCGCCTTCTGAGCTTCCTGCAAAGTAGGCTAGCCTCCCTGCTTTCCACCCTGACCGAGGTCGGGCCACCTTTGCTTCCTTCTCCACAGGAAATTACAGTGGGGATTATAGTGAGGTGTTTGTGTGTGTATTAAAAGCTCAGGGGAAAATGCCCAGTTTTTCAGTTTACTAGTTGGTGGGCAGCCTTCTGAAAGCAGGTAAGCACTGCCATCTAGTGGCTGAACATGGAGTGGCACCTGAAGGTGTAAGATTGTCAGAGGCAGGGTATAGACCCCAAGGACCCCTCCTAGCACACGTGCTTAACTGCAGCCTGAAAGAGGTAAGAAAGTGGCGCCCTTTCCTGAACAGAATTCTCTTTCCAACTTGGTTATCGTAAGTGATTAGGTCATTGTTTGCTCAGTCCTTTTTCTAGTTGGTCCATAGTCTGCATTTCCTCTTGTTGCTATTTTCATCCTGTCACTTCCCTGTTTAAAATGATCTATGGTTTCCTCTTGTCTTAACATCCAGAAGCTAGATCCTGATCTTTGAGTCCTATTTTCAAGGCCCTGTGTGGGCTGATGCCTCTTGCCTGCCATTCCGTCTTCCATCTGCCACGCTGGCTCTTCATCTGCTCTGCACGGAACTTCCGCTTCTCTGCCTGTATTCCTGTAGCAGGGGTTTTGCCTTTATTGGAGACGTGTTTTTCTCATTCTTGTCCTGCTTTCTAAGAAGCCCACTGTCCATCCTAGCAAACAGAAGCATGGATTTCATAGCTAAAATAGACCTTGCTCTGGCACCAGTATTTTTCAAAGTATGGCACAAAGATCCCCTGTAATGGGATCAACTTTGGGTATTTATGAAAAATAGAGAATGGGCATTTCTGGATGGAGCCCAGGAACTCCCCATGTGATTTGTAGTTTCACTGAAGTTCACTGCTTTGAACAAGTAGAGCATTCTCCTCTCAGCCCCAGCTCCTTGGAACGTCCATTAAGTGTTTTAACTGATGTTGATTTGTTTTCCACTCTCATTGAACTTATCAATTGTCCTTTTGATTCTCAACTGTGACCCGCCATATCTTCCTAATCATCCCATGGGTGTCAGCGTTTCCTTCCCATCGTAATTGTGTGGACTTCTTGTTCTGGGAGGGTGCTGCGGGCGGCGTAGACTCCACCACTATGCTTAGCCCAGTAACAGGCAAATAGATGGTGTCCCAGATTAAACCATAAGAAAGAAATTAGCCTTTTAATATCTTTCTTCCCCCCAACCTCAGACTCACCTATCTCCTTAGTATCTTCATTGCCTGCTCCTAAATTGTTTTTGGACTATTGAAGCTCTGGCCAGGAGATTAATAAAGTAAGAAAATTTTGATGACTCCGGTAAGCAGATGCCTATTTAGATAGTTGGTTCAACTTCTGTGATTTCTTTTTTTATGTACATTTTTCGTACAAATGTACATTGTGTTGTTTCCGGCTCTCAGATATTATTTCTTAAGTGTAAAAGTCTCCTAAGTGGTTTCTCCTTCTCCTGTCTTGCCCTTTGCTGGTTTACCTCCCAGTGGGCGACACACTGATGCAAGAGCCTGCCCCGCTCCGTGTACTGGAATTTCCTGACCCTTGTTGCCTGAGCACACGCACTAGGATTCACATTGGCCTGGTGCTCTAGTCTAATTGTTTACCTCCCTTTTCCATGCACTTTGTTTTAGCAGCGTATTTCTAGGTGTTTCTGCATCAGCCTGTTTGAAAATCCAGTTAAAACTACAGGACACACACACTACCCCTAAGTTAATGATTGCTTTTTGTTTGTTAGCTCAGGTTACTTTCTACCGGCTGCCCGTAGCCTCTCAGAGTAACTTCCCACGAGATTATGTATCAGGCCATCTGTTAACTCCAGTACTTCTCTTGGAGCCTGCTCTCTCTGGGCTCAGGACTTCACCACTCACCTTGGAATTCTCTTTGCCTTTTTACTGAATTGGATTCCTTGTTTCCTGGATCTTGTGTCTTTCTCTTGGTTGACTGCTTTGTTTTGGCGGAGCACATGCTCCAGTAGCTTTGCAGGGTGAATGTGATGGCACAGCGGTGGGGGGCACAGCCATGATAGCCTCCCGCAGGCTGTCTCCGGGTTTTTCTGCTCTGGGTCGGGCTGTTGCCCTCATGCCTGGGCACTGGTGTCAGCTGCCACCCTAGGGACTTGCTTTCCCACTCTCCTACGTTGGAGCTATTTTCTACATCCCAAGTTTCCCCATTTTTTAGTTTGATCCCATGTTTGGGTTGAACACATTTTCCAGAAAGTTCCTAAGGAAGAGTAGGTGGGAAGGATGTTGGAGATGTCTTGCTTGTCTATAAGTTGCTTTTGATCCTTTAGCTGGGTTTGTAATTCTGCATTGTAAATAACATTCTCTCAGAATTTTGAAGACATTGCTCCACTGTCTAAGAACAGGTTTTGGGAAATCTCAAACCGTTTTGATATTGATCTTTTTTGTGTGTAGCCCGTTTTTACTTCCTGAAAACTGGTAGAATAATCTTCCCTTTGGCCCCAGTGTTTTGAAATCTCATGGTGACGTGGTAGGAGCCTTTCCATGCAATAGGATGGACACTGACCATCTTTCCTTCCAGAAATTGAAATATTTTAGTTTCATGAACTTTCCTCGAAATATTTCATTCATGATTTGGTTCTTTTCCCCCTGGAAATTTTGTCATACATACAATAGACCTCCTAATCTGGTCCTCTTAATATTTCATTTCTTAATCTTTTCTATTTTTAAAATTTTTTCTACTTTCTAGAAGATTTACTCTATCTGCCACCTCTTCTGAGTTTTTCAGTTCTGTTAACATGGCTTTAAGTTTTTAAAACTGTCTAAAATTTTTAGATCTTTTTTAGTGTTGTCCTTTTTTGTGGCATTCTGTCCTGTTTTCATAGATATGTATTTTTCTTTCAGAGTATAATAAGCATGTTTATTTTTGAAATAAGCCTTGTTTTTACCCTCTCCAAATAACAGTCCTCAGTCTTTTATGGGTGAGGTTTTATTAGGGACTGGGGATAATAGATGCAGGGGATCCAGTTGCTGTTTAAGTAGCATTCAGCCAGCTGCCTTATTGTGCTTTCACCCTTTTCTTTCAGTTAAGACAGGCCATATTCCTGCTTCTTGTGGACTTCGTGATGTTGCTCTTGTTGGTTCTTAGCTTTCTCCCCCGACAGCTTAGAATACAGTCTGTTCTGGTCTCTTTAGTCACTTACCACCATCTGCCTGCGTCCCTGCGTCCTCATTGGTGTTGCCTTTGTCTCCTCTGTGGGGTCCTGCGAGCATAAGATGAGATCCCTGTGCTTCATCCATCTGCTGTCCTTCCCCAGCGTTCCCATTTGCGACTCTTCAACCGCTGGCATCCCCCAACTTGTGGAACTGGTGGATGCTGCTGGCCAGCTCCCTCAAGACCAACGAGTGATTTTTAAAAATGTTGTTTTTCTAGCAAATGTCACTGCTGCCTCCACTCCTACCCAGCTTGGGCAGTGTGACCGATTTGAGTTCGAGTGTCACCAACCCAAGAAGTGCATCCCCAACTGGAAGCGCTGTGATGGCCATCGAGATTGCCGGGACGGCCGGGATGAGGAAAACTGCCGTGAGTAGTCGGGACCATCACCCCGGGAAGGCTGCTGGGCCTCGAGTTACGAACTTGTGGTTCGGGTATTATCTTCGTGTTAGAGATAGGAATGTTAAGGTTCAAAGAGAATCATCTGGTCAGTGACATCCTGGGGCGTTTATATCCTTTGTGCAAATTTGAGATCTTTTGATCTCACCATATTGAAAGTCCTTCTTGAGCATGGAATATATCCAAGTAACAGAACTGAAATAGCAGTTAGTGTACAACTTTACACTTAATGCAAAGAATGAACAGAGTGGACTCTGGATGTTAAAATAATCCAACAGATTGACCTTCGCACACATCGAAAATAACAGCAGGAACATCTGAGCCAAATAAGCAAGGATGTGCTAAGATGAACACTGAAAGTAATTAACAAAGAGGAAATGAGATAGGACTTTCCTCCTGGGTGAGATTGATTCATTAATTGGTATTTTTTAATTTTTTTATAGCTTGTTTCAAATTGGACTCATTCACAAAGACGTTACTTACTAAGGGTCTTAAAATCTAGATGTGCTGTATCCACAACTTTCCTAGATCCATTAATCTGATGACCTTATCAAAGAAGGAAAGGCGAAGAGCATAGAAGGATCCTCCTGGCAGAAGCTGGCCCTGAAGGCCACTGCCTGCTGTTAAGTGCCCATTAATCCTCTGTTGAATAATCAGTTTTAAGAATGTTCAAACATTAATGACAGCCTTATTCCCAATTGCGAATACCTTGGTTTTCCCATTTTTAAAATACTGAGACATATTTTATAAAGACACCTCAAACAATCGTCAGCTTTGCTACTTAAGTATTATTTGGTTAGATTTTACTATATTCTTACCAAGGAGGATAATTCTGTGATGGGGAGCTTGGTATTTTCTAGAACTACCCCCTTCTGAGCACAGTCTCTCCCTGACTACTTGGTGCAAAGTGATAAGCCCCCTCACTTTCTTAAAGCCCTCTTTATATTCCTTTGTGATGCTTATCACCGTCTAAAATGGCACATTTGTTTACTTGTTTGCTGCTTCTCTCAGCGGAAGGTAATCTGCACGAGGTTAGAGCCTTTGTCTGCTTCCCACCATGTTCTTAGCATCTGGAGTAGTACCTACTTCAGAAGATCTCTGAAAATGTTCCTTGGATGCATGCATGGGTGGAAGGGCTTGGCTGGCTGCTTTGATGGATGGAGGGATGGATGAATTCCATCTTGGGCTTCTGGGACTTTTAGAGTAATAGTTCTCAAACCTTTTCTAGATACTCTAATGCACTTTATCTGTAACTGAGCCCCCCTTCCAACCTCCTGAAGGCAATCCCATTTCAGCTGATCATAGACTAGAACTCTGTAAAACAACGATTTTCCTGGAGATGAGGAATTATAGCTTGCAAAAGCCTAACGAGTGGTTTTGATATTTCCCTCCTCCCACTGAGAATTACTATATTAGTCCTTTAAGAAATATATTGGGGCCTCCCTGGTGGCGCAAGGGGCTAAGACATAAGCTGTCCGCAGCCACTGCAGCACGAGTTCGATCCCAGGCTGGGGAGCTGACCCACATGGAGCAGCAGACCTCTCCTGTCTCGCCCGCTGCTCCCCTCAGCAGTGTATTTCAGTCGATCCACCTGTTCTGTACCCCACTCTGTCCCTGGTGTCCTCTCACCCCACCAAACCTCTGGCCTGTACCCCAGTTCTTGTATGTATAAATAAATCTTAAAAAAAAAGAGAGATATGTTGAATTGGAATCTGAATCTCTACCCTAGAGACTCATGCAAAGAAGTCTTAATTGTTCTTTCACATGAAAAGTTACCAGTTGAGGACACTCTCCCACCCCAACCCTCTATATCTTTCCTCTCTAGGAAAATATCCCTGAATCCTTTATTCCTCTGCACTATCTGGTTGCTCTCGTGTGAGCATTATCCAGTTCCTCCCTGCATTTCAAGTTTCTAGAAGGAGATACAGTGCTTCAGACAGATATCAGGACTAGCTGCTCTTGTCTCGGAACAGAAGTTCTCGCCAATTCCAGTGTATCACTGGGGAGCTCGTCAATTCTGAACATGCTTAGCTCCCTCTTGCTGCTTCACTAGGTTTGGGGCAGGTTGAAGGAATCTGATTTGTGCAAGTTCCCCACGAGACTCTTAAGATCCACTATTGTGGGTGTTTTACTCTCAGTGGCTTCAGTGGTCTCTTTGCTAATTTCTTCTAGTGTCAATACCTGGGATGGAGTTTGAAGGTCTGGTTAGCCCACTTTAGAGAAAGGATTTTTTTTAATAAACCTGGGGTTCTGCATGATTCATAATATTAATAAGAGATTGTAGAGGTAGTGCCTGGAATATTATATTTACATTTGCTTGGGGGTGGGAAGCAAGAGCTAGCTATAAGGTTTTATTTTTTTATTATTATTATTATTTATTTATTTATTTATACAAGCACTGGGTACAGTCAGAAGCGCGGGAGGGTGAGAGAATTCACCAGAGCCAGAGCGGGGAGCAGAGCAGGCAGAAGGACCGAAGTACATTGCTGAGGGGAGCAGCGGGCGGCAGGAGAGGTCTGCGCGCCATGTGGGACCCTCCTCCGGTGGTCCAGGAGCAGCCGGGGATCGAACTGGTGCCGCAGAGGCAGCGGGGAGCTTCGCAACCCTCCAACCGTTGCGCCACCAGGGAGGCCCTAGCTATAAGGTTTTAATCCTGAGAAATCAAGAGACCAAGGAAGAATCCCCAGTGTAAGCTCTGACAAATACAGAGGTTCAGTGTGTTTTAGTTTCCCACGGCCTGGTAACAGATTGCCACAAACTTTCTGTCTTACAACACCCCTGTTTATTATCTTTCCGTTCTGTAGGTCAGGTGTGTGACGCAGAGGACTCACTGACCGAAACCAAGATACAGGCAGACCTAGTTCTCTGAATCTATTTCTTACTTTTTCTGGTTTTTAGAGTATGTCCACGTGTCTTGGCTCCTGGCTCCCTCCTTCCATTTTCAAAGCCAACAGTCTTCCATCTCTGACTTTCCTTCTGTCTTCACATTTTCCTCTCTAACCACAGCCAAAAGGGTCTCTGCTTTTAAGGATAAGAATGCATGTGATTAGATTGGGTCTGCCTGGACAACTGAGACTAAGCTCCATAGTCAGAGTCTTAATCCTTTAGTCACACCTGCAAAGTCCCTTTAGCTTTGCAGGGTAACACTGACAGTTTCTAGGGATTAGGAAGCCAATATCTTTCACTTTTAGCCCCTGCTCTCTGGTTGGGTGGGGTCTGGTGTAGCTGGGCCTACAGGCACTTAGGACTCTCTGTAGTGGAGGCCTGAAGTGCTGCCCTGGGCCTGGCCTAGACAGTCAGGGGCAGCAGATTTGGTTTCTACAGCCAGTCTCTCCTCCTCCTAGAACCACGTGCAATTGTCATTGCTTCCATTCTGAGCTTTTCTTGCAGTTTAAATCTCTCAGAACTAGAGAGAAGATTATGGTTCATGGCTGTGGAGCTGCGGACCTCTTCAGTTACCGGTGCTCTTTACTTTATTTCACATTCTGGTAAAATACTTTGAAACCATATTGAATCATTACACTGTACACCTGAAATGAATATAATCGTTTACCCTTCAGTTACCCTTCTGTATATTAGTTACCCTTTAATGACAGTAAATAATTTTAAAACCTATACAATGAAAATACTACACAGAGCGGGCATGCTCTTAAGATTGTCATTCATTTTGTTGCTGCTAGTATTAACTGAAATGAGAAATCAGTGTCGTTTTGGGCAGCAAATTAACAATAGTAACAGAATACTTAGTAGTACCTGGCAGCCCCCAGCAGATCATAGCTCTTACTCTAGCAGCCAGGCCATCTTCTAGGCGCTTGATCTTACCTGGTCCTTGTGGATACGGCAGGAGTGGAAGTGTTACTTCAGGAGGATGTAGGGGTAAGGGCCTGAGTGCAACCAGTCTCACAGTCACACATAGCCAGGATTTATTTATTTACTTATTTTAATATTTATTTATGTATATAAGAGCTGAGATATAAGCCAGAGGTACAGAGAGGTGAGAGGATTCACCAGAGACAGAGCAGGGAGAAGAACAGGTGGATCACCTGAAATTCACTGCTGAGGGGAGCAGCTGGGCAAGACAGGATTTGCTGCTGCTCCATGTGGGTTGGCTCCCTGGCTGGGTATTGAACTCGTGCTGCAGTGACTGTGGATAGCTTCATAGTGCTGAGACTTAACCCCTTGCTCCACTAGGGAGGCCCATACACATCTAGGATTTAAATCCCAATTTGTTTGATGCCCCAAAGCTCTTGCCCCTCGTGAGGGCAGAGTCGAACTGTTAAAGTGAAACAGGGAGGCATCCCAGTGCTTCATGGAGCCCACCACTCCTTCCAGAGGTGGATTTTGAAGCAGAAGCTTCAGAGACTGCAAACTGCTTTTCCTTAATCTGAGAACACCTGGCTGTCCCATCTCCCTTGGGTTTAAGAAGGCTTTTTGTGTTTCAGCCACACACAGCACCCTGACCTGCATGAGCAGGGAGTTCAGGTGCACAGACGGTGAGGCCTGCATCGTGCTGTCCGAGCGCTGCGACGGCTTCCTGGACTGCTCGGATGAGAGCGATGAGAACGGCTGCAGCGGTGAGTCCGGTCTCTGGGGCTCAGCTCCGGCGTGGCCCTCTGGCCAGAAAGCTAGCAAGCTTCTCTCCCATTGGAAAAGAAAAGATTTCTGCCTAACTGTCAAGCCCCAAGTGAGGTGAGACTTGGCTCACCGCTGCTAGGAGCAAGGTTAGCTGGAATTCTGCTAGGAAACGCTGGTCTCATCTCAGGTGCGTCTCCCCAGCGTGCATGTGCTTGGCTGCAGGTGGGTTAACATGGCCTTTCTGTCTGGGACGCATCTAGTAACTGTCTTAGTCCTTTTGGGCTGCTGGAAGTGAGTGTTCCGCAGATGGGGCAGCAGGTGGCTTATACACAGTGGAAATTTATTTCTGACGGTTCTGGGTCCTGGGAAGTCCAAAGTCAAGGTGCCAGCAGACTCTGGGTCTGGCGGAGGCCCACTTCCTGCCTCACTGTGCCTACCTTCTCACTGTCTCCTCACATGGCGAGCGGAGCCAGGGGTCCCTTTGGGGTCTCCTTTATGAGGAACCCCATACTGCTCATCAGGGCTCTTCCTTGACCTAATTATCTCCCGAAGGCCTTTGCCTCCTAATACCGTCATGTTGGGAGTTGGGCTGCAGCATGTGAATTTTAGGATTCACAGATAGTCGATCGAGAGCAGAAATAAATCCTCTTATGACATCAACCTTGGAGTTGTAGCATTCTCGCTTGAGAAGCAGGTTTCTGTCCCTGCAGAAGGAAAGGAGGTGAAATGAGAGGGAAAATGTGATGGAAATTGAGACCTGAGGAAAGGGTGCAGAGAAAGGGGACCCCTCTACCTGCCGCGTGTGTTGTCAGGTGATGCAGGTGCTATCACCCTGTAGATCGTAAGTTTGCCTAAAATCAAGGCAGCTCTTGGGTCCTTTGAAATCCAAGGATTTGTAACACATCGCTTTCTCTTCTCCTCCCCCCTCCCATCTCTCTAGATGAATTGACTGTATACAAAGTACAGAACCTTCAGTGGACAGCCGACTTCTCCGGGGATGTCACTTTGACCTGGATGCGGCCCAAGAAAATGCCCTCTGCTTCTTGCGTCTATAACGTCTACTATAGGTGGGTCCCGTCTCACCCAGAAGAAGACAGTGACGCCCTCATAGTCCCAGGGTGCTCCTTTAACTCCCCAGTGCATGCAGGGTGGCCCTGTGCCTGGGTCACTCATCTCCAACCCCCATGTGGCTTTGATGTGATGGTATCTTTATTCTGTTGGTCAGAGTGGTTGGAGAAAGTATATGGAAGGCTCTGGAGACCCACAGCAATAAAACCAACACGATCTTGAAAGTCCTGAAGCCGGATACCACGTATCAGGTTAAAGTTCAGGTCCAATGTCTGAGCAAGGTGCACAGCACCAATGACTTCGTGACCCTGAGGACTCCGGAAGGTTGTAAGTGTTAGACTTTATTTTCATGGTTTGTTCTAGACCTTACATGGGATGATCGGGGTACTCGGAGCACGGGGACATAATTGCCTGTGCTGTGTACATCCCGAGGATTGTGGTTGCGTTTTATGGCCTTGTCTGAACTGCTGAACATTTATTTTCTTATCAGGTGATGTTCTTCTGCCTTAAGTTAATTTCAGCTCCTGTCCACTGTTATCATCTCTTATGGTTCTTATTTAGTGTCTGCCTCTGCCTTCTGTAGGTGTCCCCCAGTGCTTGGTACTTGGTGAGCTCCATCTATTCCTCGTATTTTTTTAAACTAGGCCATGTCCCTAATTTAGTATTGTGACCAAGTAGAAAAGAAGTTTAGCAAAGTTGTGTGTCCAGGAGAGTTCCCTGCTGCCTCCCCGCTTGGTGACTGTGTGCTTATCCCAGAGAGTGAACTTTGTTCCCAAAGTTTTGTGGACGCTTCACTTGCATCTGCTGTCAGAACCATGTGTTTGGATTTTGTTAAATTATCATTTGTTCAGTAGAGGCCCCCAGAGTGTTGACTGTCAACCCAAAAGCCTGAGGGAAATTTAAATAGAGATATTACAGGCCCTGGAGGAAGTACACAGCAAGCCTCAGGGGGCCTCACAGGGAGGCCAAGGTGGGTGAGGGCAGAGAGGACAGGACCCGGGGTACATGAGTTCCTCAGAGTCCTGGGGGGGGTGTGCTTTAGGGTTCCAGACTTAAGCCAAATCAGTCAATTCAAACAGAAAAGAAAGAAGGTTTTAGTAAATTTACAGTTCTGGAGCCTGGAAGTCCAAGATCAAGGTGGCCACAGGCTGGCTTTTTCTGAGGCCTCTGTCCTTGGCCTTGGAGAAAATGAACATCTCCCCTGTGTCTGTGTGCTGCTCCTCCTTCTAAGCACACAGGTCCTATTGGCCCATGGTTCCCACCTCATGACTCCTTTTAATTTAATTACCTTTTTACTGACCTTACCTAAGGTTGTTCTGAGGTTCTGAGTTTAGGACTTTAGCTCAACCCATAATATTCATCTCCTGGGGGTTATCCTTGTGAGTGGAAGGCTCTGGAGCTTGGTCAGAAAAGTATCACTGGTTTTGTTTGTGACTTCCAACCTGGTTCTGGATGCAGTCTCAAAAAAGAGTCAGAAATGTCTTGACTATGCCAGCTCTGGTCTGCAAGGAGCCTGCTCTTTGTTCATTTGAATACCGTTTGGTGCTGTGACAGCGACCTACTCCTCTGTGGTCACACCCACGGTATTGTGGTTCAGGCTCAGTCCTGGACAATTAAGGTCTCTGGTTGAGGGCCCAGGGCCAGAGGGGACTCAACCTGCCCAGGCGGCTCATCCTGCAGCCCTAGTGAGTCTCAAAGTGTTCAGACTCCTCTAAGCCATGACCTTGTGGGCACAGCACAGCTTGTATTCTGGAGAAAGGAAAGGGTTTCTGTCAATGTGAAGACCAAGCTAACCGCCATTTCTAGTGGCTAAGTTCTGTGCTGGCTCTCGATGCTTTCTCCTTGTTTTAAGCTCAAGGGGTTCACTCCAGCCAACCAGTATGCAGATGGTTTTAACACTGAGTTGACTCTTTTCTAGTGCCCGATGCCCCTGGAAATCTCCAGCTGTCACTCCACAGGGAGATGGAAGGCGTGATTGTTGGCCACTGGACTCCTCCTGTCCATACCCATGGCCTCATTCGAGAGTACATTGTAAGTACCTGCCAGGACTGGCCGTGTATGTCGGGTACATAGTAGATTTCTTGCCTGTCAGAGCCAATGGGTATTGTGACATAGTGTCTCCTCGTCAGTGATCTCTCCATTAGAGTATCATGCTCCTCCCTTCCGCCTCTCCTCCAGCTCGTCTGGTGAGGTATTAGGATGCCAGTGGTCTTCGGTTATCTTTTACTAATGTTTTTTTGGTCCCACTTCAGGTAGAATACAGCAGGAGTGGTTCCAAGGTGTGGGCCTCCCAGAGGGCTGCTAGTAATGTCACCGAAATCAGGAACTTAGCTGTCAACACCCCATACACTGTCAGAGTAAGTACCACCTCATTTCAGCCGAGCCCAGAGTGGTGGTGGCTGTTTCCTGGGGGTTCACTCTGCTCCCCTTCATGAGATGCTCTGGGGTGGTCTGCTGACTACCCAGCCTTGGCCTGGGGTGGAGGTCGGGGTCATTGTTTCTTTTGTTCGTTAAAGCCAGTTCGTTGAAGCCAGACTCTTGCCCTCAGATAACCAAGAATTTATGTGATGCAGCTCTGCCTGCTTTTAGCCGGATATTCTGCTGCCTTGTGGCTTCAGCAGAAAAAGATTTGTACAAAATCTGTTGGCCGAGACCATTAATTGTACACACAGACTCCATTACGTCGATGATGACCTCAATGCCCTTTTTTATATGTGTGTGTATGGACAGGCATACATCCTCTATCTCTCCCATCCCAGCCCTTTAGAAAGACCTTGACATTGTCCATCAATAGCAATTTCACCACCCCAGCTTCTCAGTTCCCTTAACCTAGCTTCCCTCTCACACTCTCTCCCCCTCTTATTTCAGTTGTTGGGGCCTCTGAATATCCTGGATTCCTCTGTAGATAATTTTTTTCCACCCTTCTGGCCAAAGTCTCACCCTGTTAGCTCATCCAGAGTTCTTGCTGGATGGTCTGCTGCCTTTATTTCATACTAATTCACACTCTGCTTTGAAAAGGTGGCTGCGGTGACTAGTCGTGGAATAGGAAACTGGAGCGATTCGAAATCCATTACCACCATCCAAGGAAAAGGTAAATGAGTCCAGCATTTGCAGGTCTAGAGGAGGCAGAAACTCTTTTGGAAATAACTGCGAAGGCGGGGAAGCACAGACTAGAGAACTGCACATGCCGCCTTCCCCCCAGCTCAGCACATCTCTGGGTGTCTCCACCGTGCTGGGGATGCAAAGTCTTTTTGGGTGATTGTTGCATGTGTTCCTCCTGGAGCTGAGCATTTATTATAACACAGTCATGCAAAGAGATTTCTAAAAGCCCCCAGGCAGGCCCGAGGGCCAGCTCATGTGTGATATCCCCAGGAGAAGGACTTTCTTTCTGCTATGGTAGAGGTGACTGTGTATTCATTTCAACGTTTCTGAATGAGCATGAGGCCCACGCCTACTGCTTCTCCAAATGGCACCGACTCACAATGTGTAGGTGGTGTCTTCGGCGCTGGAGCTGGTATTGATGGTGGCTGACACTTGCCAAGGGCTGGTACTAGAACCCGCTCTGCCTGACTCCAAGGCCTGTGCCCTTAATCACTGTGCTGTATGCCTCTTCTGCCCCCATGGGCTGTGGCATGTACTGCGTGTGTATTTCGCGAGGGCAGAGATGAGCATGCTCTGGCTTCGTCCATTGTATAACTGGGGGCAAGTGGGAACTTATAAAATAGTTGATGAATGAGTGAACTGAAGCAATTGAGACGAAGGTTCTGACACTTTTGGAGACAGACTGCCACTTGTCTCCACAAGTGGTTTCCCTGCTTTCAGCCTTGGGGCTTTTCTGGACCTTGGGTATTCCTGCCAGCAGAGTGGCAAGGCTGTGACTTGGGGAGATTTGACTTGCCCCCATTACTCTGGGCTTTTCAAGAACCCAGCGACTCCAGGGATCTTCAGTCATAGCTGGGGCTTTACTGCCAAGATGGCGAAGGGGAACATCATTTGAGTGCTAGACACTTGATGTACTTTGCTACAGTGCATTTTGCCAGCTCTGTCAAGTGCAGGTCTTATCCTCAGGCTCAATCTGGGTAATGAACCTGCCCCAGTCACACAGATGAGCGTGAGGAATTTGAACTCCGGTCTGCCTGCTTGTGTTTTTAATTTATGATTTAGGGCTTCTACTGCTGTTAGCTTTCAGAAAGGACTCGAGGCTGCTGGGAGTTTGTTAGCACCAATAAAGGTGCATTCATCATGATCCCTGTGGCTTTCAGGCCAGGCTGGAACTGGGCTATTTGGAGTCATTGACATAATGGAACTTTTCTGCTCCACCTACTTGCCAGGATGGCCAACCTTGCCAAGATACTCATGTGGCTCATCTGGCCAAGGTGACCCTAATCTCGGCTTCAGAAAGACAGTGGTATGAGATAGACAAGTGAAAACAGAAATGTCCTTTCATCCCTCACTCAAGGATGGCTTTGTCTATGGAGCTGAAACCTGCTAAGTCCTGCCTTCCTCACTTTTCATCACATGCTTTCTCTCTTTGAATTCCTTTTTGTTTTAGTGATTCCACCGCCAGATATCCACATTGACAGCTATAGTGAAAATTCTTTAAGCTTCACCCTGACCACAGAGAGTGACATCAAGGTAACGTCGGAATTTCAGACTAGCCGTTGGGTGGGGCTGTGCTTTGTGTGGGAGCTGAGACAGCATAGTACAGGGAGAGGAAGAAAAACAGGTGACTGGACCCAGTGAAGTAAAAAGACCACAACTAGGTAGGTTCCTTCCCCCACCAAGAACAACTTGAGTCTTCACATGTAATTATTCTGCCTGGTGCCTTTTTTTTAAAACCATATAATTAAATGGTTCACAGCTACAGTGCAAATAAAGAGTTGGTGTTAACAGAATATGTATGCCCTGTAATTTTCAGCTTTATTGGATTTCCTGGTGCTGAGCACTAATGCAGAGATTCCCACAGTGGGACAGAGTTAGTCTTGTGAGAGAGGCAATACCTTGGAAACATACCCGCGTATACCCACCCAACAGCCACCTCTCCTAGCACCACCGTACCCTCCGTGTGGCTGGTCACAGCCACCTGTCCCATCGTGACCTGTTCCCCGTGGTTTTTCAAGTTGAGACCCACTCTCCAGAGTGTTCTCATCTGTCCCTCTTATATCCTTCCCCATCTGTGAGGTCCACCTCACAGTCCTTGTGACCTTCCGTGAACTACAATTTGGAGTCCTGCCCTTGGCTTCAGAAATAGTCAGTGCAAGTCACTGGATCTCGTGTGCACGGTCTTTGGACCTCGTGTGCACGAGTCATGGACCTCGTGTGCACGGTCTTTGACATGTCTTTTACACATGTTTATTACCTTTTGATTGTTGTCTCAAGATCTTTAGATCAAACCCCCTCCTATGAGCTCAGGGCTTGGGAAGCAATACACCCGCACAGGTGTATTGCTCTGTCAGACCGTGCGGTCTAAGTCCCCTTTGTACAGTCCTCCTGACCTTGCCGGCAAGGACCACCCGAGTTAAGTTTTTCCTTAATTAGCATATCTAAGTTATCTTGGCTGCGTCTCCTCTTTCTGCCTTTAATAATTGGATCTTGTCCCTTTTTTTCCTGCATTATTTCATTAAGTGTGTATTTTAGATGGCTTCATGTTTGTTTTTTGGAAGTAGGTAGAGAGTCACTAACCAGTAAATGATAGCACAGATAGTTCTAGTTCAAAGATCAAAGAAAACAGCCTGCCTATTGCTGTAGTCACTAAATGTGCAATAGTAGCACAAATTAAACTGGTTTAAAGATCAAGGGAACAACCTGTCCATTGTAAGGAATGAGAAACACCCAAGGAAATCAGAGGCGCCTTTTACGCTTGGTCTGCTCGCTGTTCAGTAACGTGGCTCTTGGTTCTTGGTAGGTGAATGGCTATGTGGTGAACCTTTTCTGGGCCTTTGACACCCACAAACAAGAGAAGAGAACATTGAGCTTCCGAGGAAGCACATTGTCACACAAAGGTAACACCTTGGAGGCTGTGGGTGTGTGAGCAGGAAGGAGGGGCCAGGTGGGCACATTGCTGACAGTAGAACCTGGGGGATGGTGGGGGGCATCCTGGGGAAGGGGGGAGGACTTCTCTGGGTGGGCAGGTTCCTATCCATTGGGTATACTATATGAAGGGCTCCTGACTTTAGGTGAGGGATCTCCTTGGTGGTTCCTCAAGCCTATTTCTAAACTGACAGCTTGTGATAGAAGTTGAAAGAACTGGAAGGAAGCCAGATGAACCCTCTCAGCTGTGTTTTTGAGTCCCAAACAAACACATTCCTAGATTGAGCTACCTGTCTCTCTCTTCTGACCCGGGTCACTAAGAGGTAGCACAGAGCACACCGCATTACTGGTGTTCAGTAAATATTTGTTGAGTGAGTGGTCAAACTAAGGACATGGCTCGTACCTTTAACCTGTGCTAATAATGAGCCTCAATCAAAATATCTGAAAGTGAGCTAAAGGTAGGATTTTCGTTTGTCTCCAAGATAAAACTGTCAGTGGCCAAGCCTGCCGAGAGTGTGAGCATGACATGAGAACACCTTCCTTTCCCCTTCTCGCCTGTCTCAAAGTGCTTCCAGTCATGCTTATATTCCTACAAGTGCTCTATTATCGTCATCTTTTTCTGGAAGCTGGAGGTTTCCCCAAAGAGTCTGTGCAGGAGTAAAATGGCATCGAGCACACACTGAGTGCCGGCATCAACCTGGGCATCCATGTCTGACATTTTTATGCAACTCCAGTAATAACTGTGGGATGCACTTGCCTTACAGAGGAGAGCCTGAGGTTCAGAGATTAAGTGTCCCTCTGAAGGTGGCAGAGCCAGGATGACAGCCCCCCTCTTATGTGTGATCCCATTGTCTCTGTCACTGAGGAGAAATGGGCAGCATCTGGAACAAAAGGCTTATTAGCTATTGCGTGAAATATGAAAAAGCCAGCTCACTGCTAGGCCTCATGCCAAGCGCTTTACAAGAATTTTCTTTTTTAATCCCTCCAAGGACCAACTGCTCTAAGTATACTGTTATTTTTCTTCATCTCACAACAGGGAAATGGATACAGAGACTCTGAATGCTCTACCCTAAGCTTTGCTACACACATAGAGGCTGGCCTCGAACTTAGGTTCTTCAGTTTCTAAGACCCTCCTTCACTGCACCACTCTGTTCATTTTCATAACATCCCCCCCCCTTTTTTTTTTTAAATAAAATGGGAATAATATTACATATAGTTTTGGAGTCTGTCTGCCCTTTTAGCATGAATTTGTGAGAATTTTCCTGGGTCATGAAATAGATTAGTGGTTGGTGGTGTGCCCATAAATGCCTTGTAGTTCATGGAGTGCATACAGTTTAATTAACTGTTGCTCCCTTGTTAGGCAGTCAGATTATGTACAGTTTTTTTCCACTGTGAAAAGCCCTGTGATGGACACCCTCCATATACAAAGCTTTGAGTCCCCCCCCTAATTGCATGGGGTAAATGGATTGAAGGGTATGAAGAATTGAAGGGTATGAGACCGTTACACAAAGCCACGTGGTTCTCCAGGCATGTTGCACCAATTTCTATCCCAGTTGGTCCCCTTTAAAAGAAATGACCCAGTGACCTGTAGTTGCCATCAATGAGTAACTGAACAAATTTATAGAACAGTTACTATCCCAACATGCAAGCTGCACTTAAATTGAAAGAGTCCATCAAACAGGGTATGTATACCAGGCACACACATTCTGGACAAACACCCCTGGCCTGCCTGGCATCACCTTATCCCTGTTTTCACAGTTGGCAATCTGACCGCGCACACGGCCTATGAGATTTCTGCCTGGGCAAAGACTGACTTGGGGGATAGTCCTCTGGCCTTTGAGCATGTCATGACAAAAGGAGTCCGCCCACCTGCTCCCAGCCTCAAAGCCAAGGCCGTCAATCAGACTGCAGTGGAATGCACCTGGACTGGCCCCAGGAATGTGGTAAGTTGGCCAGAATGACCTTTTTAGCCAGTGTGGACATTCTCTCCCTGATGCCAACAGCCCCAGGGCTTTCTCTTCTGTTGCTGCGTCCTCCTTTCTCACCCCAAATGCAAGCTACCCGCTTGGTCAGTCCTGGATTACCTTCTAGAGGCACCTGACATCCCAGCCCCAGAATCCCATTCTACACCTTGCTCCCTGAAAGAAAGTGCCCCCTCTTGCTTGCTGTCAGTAGATCTAGAGTAGGAAAAGGGGGACATACCTTGGGTGGTGGGTGTGGGGAGAGGGCAGAGGCAGTGACAGTGAGTGTTGCAGTTAAGTGTCTTGCCCCCACTCCAGCCCCTTACCCTAATGTGATTCCCTAATCCACAGATTGCTTTCTGGGACCAGTTCTTCTAAAGGTGCCCCACCCCCTCCATTGTCCCCGCCACACTTGCATATATGTCTTTATTTTTGTTTTCGTGTATGCATTTTGACTGCTGTGATTAGACTTGTGGTTCTTTTTCAGTCTGGTTTTTCTTTCCTACTCCTTCCCGCTGTGTGCTTTGCTTTGAGGTTGACTTCCAGGGTGCTCGCCACCCCTTCCTGCCTCTGTACCTCGGCTTGTGCTCTTTCTCCTCCCTGATGTCCTTCCCTCCTTCTCTGTGCAGATCTCTTTTTTTTTTTTTTTTTTTATTTTTTTATTTTTTTATTTTTTTAAATATTAAATTTTATTTTTATATTCCCCCATACAATTGCAAACGCCCCATTCTGACCCCAATCCTTCCCCTCCCGCCCCCCACCCCCCAAAAAGTGTCTCTGGTTCATAGTTTTTTGTTGATTTTGATTTTCACTTTCTTATATTCATTTTCCTGGTCCCTTATTTAAGTTTTCTAGATTCCTGCTATGAGTGAGACCATCCGGTATTTTTCTTTTTCTTTTTGGCTTATTTCGCTGAGCATGATCCCTTCCAGTGCCATCCATGTTGCTGCAAATTGCATGTGTTTATCTTTTTTGAATGCTGAGTAATATTCCATGGTATATATGTACCACATCTTCTTGATCCAGTCATCTATTTTTGGGCATTTGGGCTGTTTCCAAAGCTTAGCTATTGTAAACAGTGCTGCTATAAACATAGGAGTGCAGGTGCTCTTTGGAATTGATGTTTCTGTGTCCTTTGGGTAAATACCTAGGAGTGGAATTGCTGGATCATATGGAAGCTCTATGTTTAGTAGGTCCAGAAATCTCCACACAGCTCTCCATAGTGGTTGGACCAGTTTGCACTCCCACCAACAGTTCTGTGCAGATCTCTTGATCTCTTTCCCTTCTGAACTCCTGACATATTCATAGTTGGGGCCACACAGCCTATTTCACTAGATTCTGCTTGCTCCTATTTGACATCTTCTGTCTGACTCTTTTCCTCCCTGATTTAGTTTGTAGGTTCCTTGAACGGAAGTAGTGTTTTCCAGATGGAAAGCCGTCTAGATCTTTCAGTGACTCCTCAGTGACAGGCGAGGGGGGAACGGACCTTTGTTTTTTCTTCTGAGGGTGTTTCCAGGGCTCATGTGGTATGGGACTGACTCCTGGGCAGGTACCAAGGTTTGCAAACAATTGTAAGATCAGCAGTGAGGAAAGGAGATGTCAGATTTACTGCACTGTGTGCAGCCACCCTACACAGCCCTTTACACACATTATCCCACTTAATTGTTTCATCAGTTCCATGGGGCACATGTTTCCATGTTACAGGAGCCAGGGGTTGGAGAGAAGTTGCTAGCTGGAGTTGAAGCTTAGTAAGCAGTAGAGTGAATTTGAGGTCAAGTCTGGCTGGTTTAACAGCTTTTGCTCTTCTTTTGCTCCAGAACCAATTTGGAGGCAGGGTCAGAGAGGAGCAGGCCCTGAGTCTATCCTGGGCTTGTACCTCTTGTACCTCCAAGTGGACTCTCTTTACAAAGGACATTTCAACTTCAATACTACTAAGAACCAGGATTCCATTAAGGACAAAGGGGAGAAGCAGGGTGTCTGCTGAGCAGCTAGCAGTGTGCACCATCTTGCCCTCCTTCTGTGCATTCAGCTCCCCATTTCTCCAATGACCCCGGGAGAGCACCCACTCTTCTTTGTTGATCCTGCTTTTCTCCCCTGGCTCATGGTGCGGTCTAGTATAACCCCAAATATCCTCTGTGTGCAAGTTGTGATTTATAAATTTGTTTTGTTTTTCTTCTCTGCCCATCTCTTCCCCCCAAAATGAACTCTTTGTAGACAGAGCCCATACCATATTTATCTTTGTAGGAGCAAATATGGTGCCTGGGCCAATTTGTGTAAATGCTGATGAAATAGATGTCGAATGATGACTTCTCACTGAGCTCATTTGAAGTGGTTCCCAGGATTTTAAATTAAGGGTTTCAAGAGAGTGAGGTCACTGGCCACTGAGTTAATGTCCTTCCCTGTTCTCTCTTTTTGCCAGGTTTATGGCATTTTCTACGCTACGTCCTTTCTTGACCTCTATCGAAACCCAAAGAGCTTGACTACTCCCCTCCACAACAAAACGGTCATTGTCAGCGGGGACGAGCAGTATTTGTTTCTGGTAAGTTTCCTGCACCAGAGAGTCCAGAGGCATTTCTGCTTTGCGAGGATGTCTTTTATTCCTGGGCACCTCACTCAAATCCAGGACATGGAGATGCAGATTCCAGGATTTGTGTGTGTGATGCAAAGATAGCTCCTCTTCACAAGCATCAGGTTCTTACCTGAAGCAGCCTGAATGGCCACTCAGCACCTACAGCTCCACTGTGGAGGGTGGAGATCTGGCCAGTGGATCACAGGAATAGATATGAGCTTTTATCAGATTCCCCTTCTTGGGACCAAGCCTACATGCCTTCACTTATGTGCCAAGGTATATGGAAAAAGGTGTTCGGTTTGCTATGGCTTGTGATTGTGAAAGATTTGAAACAAATGCCTATTAAGAGAAGGCTGGTTAAAAATATTATGGTTTACCCTTTGTGGCAATGGAATACGGGGCAACCCTCCAAAAGAAATATAGCAACCCTAAATATACTGCGATGGAAAAATCTCTAAGCTATATTATGAAGTGAACGAAGTAAAAAGCATATAAATGCATGTTTTCTCATTCGTATAAGAAAATTTAAGGAAATCAGGCCATACATACATATAAATCTGTATCTGAAATGTCTGCTTATATATGCATGGGGCATTTCTGGAAGGAAGTACAAAAAAATGTTAGCAGTGGTAGCTCTGAATTGGAGACCTGGGGTAGGTAGGGAATTATTTTTTACATTTTCTATCTTTTGGTACTGATGGGATTTTAACTGTGTGCATATGTCACTATTTTGTGGGAAAGCGGCTTGGGGAAGACTCCCTGAGTGTGTGGTACTTGTTTCAGGTCCGGGTGGTGGTGCCCTACCAGGGCCCGTCCTCCGACTACGTCGTGGTGAGGATGATCCCAGACAGCAGGCTTCCCCCCCGCCACCTGCATGTGGTCCACACCAGCAAAACCTCGGTTGTCATCAAGTGGGAATCCCCGTATGATTCTCCTGACCAGGACTTGGTGAGCGGGCTGGGCACCCCAGCAGCCTTGCTAATTACTTGGTATGGTTTGGGAGGAGGACTCTATCATGGGACAAGAAACTTAGGTGTGGGGGTTGAAGCTCAATAGGCCTCCCCACTTTTTTTTTTTTAGAGATTGAGATTGATTTATTTATGCATACAAGAACTGGAGTGCAGGCTAGAGTTATAGGGGGTGGAGGCGGGGAGTGGTGAGAGGATTCACCAGAGACAGAGTGGGGAACAGAACAGGCAGATTGACTGAAATACACTGCTGAGGGGAGCAGCGGGCGAGACAGGAGAGGTCTGCTGGGCCATGTCGTGCTGGCTGGGGATCAAACTCGTGCTGCAGAGGCTGCAGATAGCTTCATAGTGCTGTGCTTAACCCCTTGCACCTCCAGGGAGGCCTGGTCTCACCCCTTTCTGACTGACCAAAGATAGGGTCCTTACAGGTGCCTCTTCTCAGTGGTCACTTCACTTTCTTACTCCCAGCTGCCATCTTGCTTTGTCTCTCCTTCTCTGCTTTCTCACATGCCCTCCTTGACCCCCTAGAATGGGTTAACAGACAAAGGCCTGCAGGCTAGGTGCAGCCTGTGCCCATTTTTGTAAATAACGTTTTGTTGGAACAAAGCTATACCCATCATTTCCATGTTATCTGTGAGGACTTCCGTGCTGCAAACACAAAGCTGAGTACTTAGGGTAGTGACTCTCTTGCCCTCCAGGCCTAAAATAGTTGCTTGTGTGGATCCTTACAAGAGTTTGTTGGTTCCTGTTGTAAAAGAAAAGGCATGGATTCTAGAAAAGCTCCCTTTTTCCCTTGCTCTAGGCTGATTTTCCCTCCATTCCCTCTGCCCTCCTCAGCCCCTCCAGGCCCATATGCACTCAATGCTCGGTTACTAAGACCCTGACTCTCAACCTCTCCTGACAGTCGCGTTTCCTGTACTTACTACATGTCCTTTAGTTTCTTCTTGCCGCCATGTACATGAGAGGCAACCTGGGAGAAGGTGAATCTTTTTTTTTTATCCTTTAGAGTTAAGATAAAACACATTCATTTATTATCTCCTCTGACAACATCCTGAAACTTTTACAGTGGTGGAGATAGAGAAATTTAACCCCAAATTTGAATTTTTCTTGTCCTAACCTACCTGCTGATGTAAAAAAAAAGGTGGCTTTCCCTAAGTAGGTATTTTGGATGAATTTGATAATTCAATGCAGTTTGGGGAGTGACTATTGATCTGAGATTGGACATCAAAGGCTTTCTGACGAACAATGTCAGCGTAGACATTCAAATGCCATTGCCGTGGGTCACAGCCACCAAAACACTTGCGTCACATCTACCCTTGATAGGATGAGGAGAAAATGCCAGGTTTCTGGTTCCCATTAAGATGTTTTGCTGCTTTGTTTTGTTTTTCCTTGGCCCAGTTATATGCAATTGCAGTAAAAGATCTAATAAGAAAGAGTGACCGGAGCTACAAAGTGAAATCCCGCAACAGCACTGTGGAATACACCCTGAACAAGTTGGAACCTGGAGGGAAATACCACGTCATTGTCCAACTAGGGAACATGAGCAAAGATAGCAGTATAAAAATTACCACAGGTGAGCAGGAGGGGGCTGAGGGGCCTTCCCACACAGCAAGGCCCCTGTGTGCTGATGGGCCACCTTGACACATGGAGTTTCCATTAGAAACTACACAGGATATGTTGGCACCACTGTCCAGTGCCCATGCAGGGCTGAGCGGTGCGCGGGTTCCAGGATCTGGGCTGCAGGTGGTGGTCAGGGCACCAGGTTGGGCAGCGGCCTTCATTTTCACCTTCTCTAAGTCTTCTACTCCCCTGTCTCCTGTCTGGAGAGAAGAGCAGGGATGCCCAAGACAGGGACAAAAGTTGAGTATTTGCCACGAAAGCCAAATATTGCATCCAAGGACTTGGGCTGACGTCACAGTGGTTCTTTGTGCAGCAAGATATGGAGAAATGGAGGGACACCAATAACTGGGCAGCAGAATTTAGGGGACTTGTGTGAGCACAGGACTGGCTCGACAGTCAGGCTGTAGTCAGAAAGCAGGCAGTAAACTCAGTTATCCTGGACAGCAGCAGACAGGATCAGGAGGGCAGTCAGGCAGCCCATCAGGCTGGCAGTGTGACAGTGGGCCTAGGCCCAACTCCTTGGCCACAGGGGGCTTTGTCTTCAGGCAGAGATCCTGGCAGGCTTATCAACCAGGGTCTCTTCCCTTCTTTTCTCTTCCCTTTCTATGCCGTCCCATCCCCACCATGTCCCCTTCCTCTCTTCCATCCCTTTGCCCTCCTCCTCCTCTGTTCCCTCCCGTCCTCTCATTTGATTTTGGCCATCCTTGGCCCAAGAACTACTAAATTAGATGCTGTCCAAGTTTCTTGGCTAAAGCTTTTATAAGAACAGCAAGAGATGCCCTATAGAGCATAGCCCGTGGCAGACATACTATTGGCTTATGTGTGTTGCACAGTTCTTCCTGGATCCTGTCAAGGTAGCATTATTTAATCTCCCTTTAATGGATGAAAAAACAAAGGTTCAAATGTGCAAGCACTAACTGTATCCTGTTTCATCTTCAACTTTCAGTTTCGTTATCAGCACCTGATGCCTTAAAAATTATAACAGAAAATGACCACGTTCTTCTGTTTTGGAAAAGTCTTGCTCTGAAGGAGAAGCATTTTAATGAAAGCAGGGTAAGCACCTCCCTCATTCTCAAGGACTTCGGGAATCTCATTGAAATGCTGTTTTAGAGATGAGCTCATTAACAGTATGCTGGCATAGATTGAGTAAAAAGAATAGGACAAGGAAGTGAACTTGAGAATTAAAGGGTCATTTTCTGTGGGGTTGCTAATTAGTGAAAAGTTTATACTGTCCATTAAGATGAGAATCTCTGCACTAAGCACTTTTCATTTTCTGAACTTGTCTTCCCCGGTAGAGAGGGAAACGCGCTGGAGCTTGCTGTGCCTCCTGAGGCCAGGCTGGGCTTGAGCTTTGGAACCAAGGGCTCCTCTTTCTCAAACAGTATGTGGGGTGACTGTGGCTCTAGAACCGGGCAGCAAAACTGCTTCCTCAACCTGGCATCCCATCCGTTTCTTTCCAGAGAAATTCCAGGACCAGGAAGTACTTGAAGATAATCTGTTGACATATGAAAAACACCTTTTTATTTTGTTTCCTTCCTGGCAGATCAATTACTGCATTCATAGTAGGCAACTGGACGAGGACAGGGATCTGGGAATAGATTTGCTGCTTTAGGGTGGACAAATTCCTGAGCAGACTGGGTTGGCCCCCTTGTGAGCAAATCAAATGAGCTAAACAGAGTCATAAATCTCCTGCTTTTACCTTGAGGAATCTGCAAAGAACCCTTGGGATCCAAATAGTCCGTGTAATGCCAGAAGCAAAGTTAAATTAAAATTAGAAAATTCTCACAACTCTGACATATAAATGGTTAATATACTTAAATATTAAGTGTTCAAATCAATTCAAAGAGAAATAGTGTCATTTTGAAAATGGTACAGTTAAATTTAAAAAAGACACAAAAGACAGAAAGATTCTACTTCACTAGTAATACAAACAACAGAGTTATGACACTTGCACACTCTACTGGCCAAAGTTTTGGGGGAAGTCTATTACCAGTCTGAGTGATAGTGGGTGAGACTAGTCTGGGAGTATAAGTGGGTTCAACCTTCTATAAGACACTTTGATGATATGTATCAAAAGGTGTTCACCCTCTCTTGCCCAGCAATTCTTAGAGAATTTGACTCGCAGTAAACAATGCGCATAAAGAACTTCCATACAAGGCCCTTCAGGGCAGCATTATCAGTAGTAAGAAAGAGCACTAGTGAAATCAGCTATGGATGGTTGATGCTTTTTCTTTATACTTTTATGTATTTTGCAAATAGGCTACACCAAATCTGTATTAGATGAAAATCAATAAATGCTAGTTTAGTGCAAAGAACGCAGGGCTGATATTCCAGGCAGGTGGTATTGGAACCCCCAGTTTGACGGCCGGTTTTCCTCAGGGGATCCTCCTGGGAGGCAGTGAAGTCAGTATTCCGGTCCCAGTGGAGGGTTTGACATAAGCATGGCACGTTCTCCTTGCCTTCCTCTGAGTAAGTTTAGAGAACGGGCAGGTCCAGGAATGGATACCAGGACACCATGATTATGCCCTGATGCCTGGTGTATGGGGTTGGGTAACGTGGGCACTTGAATGCTTGGATCAGACAGGAGTCCAGTTAACAGTCCTGCTCCTGGTCAGCACGCTGGGCCAGAGCTCTGCCAAGAGACGTTTTCTGCACAGGAGACACCTGAATAGGCGCCTGCTTCACACTCTCCTCCAGTGACTAGGGCTGGAGCCTGCTGAGGTGCTTCTAGATTCAGGGTCAGGCTGGGCTGGATTAAGAGCTAGAAATTGAGGAGACAGGAAGTGAGCTGTGGGCTGACCATGGAGTTCCCACAGATTGTTCTAAGGAGAAATATCCTGTCTTTTCTAATGCAAGGTTCTTTTTCTTAACCCTTTGCCAGAATCCATAACAACTTGTATTCATTATTTAGTAAATAAATCCCACTACAGTGAGCTGTTGTTAAATTGTCCTGATTCTTTGTGGCCTTTAATATTGTGTGAGTGGCCTGCTGTCATGAACCTTGACTTTGGACCAAAATATCTGTTAAAGTGACTTTTGTGAGGGCTACATTTCATATTTCCACTGTGCATATCATAAGTGGGCGTGGTAGCTATTTGAGACGTTTGGAATGGAAAAATTCCACCACCCCCCCTTTTTTTGAATCCAATATCTTAGTGGTCAGGTAAAAACTAGCAAGAAACCCAAAGCGCTTTACATGTCCATCAGGCCTGCATGAAGGAGCTCACATCAAGTTGGAGCATGTAATAGAAGCTGGCAGTTCTGTCTTTGACCGTCTGAGCAGGCCTCTGTGTTTATTTTCAGGGCTATGAGATCCACATGTTCGACAGTGCCATGAACATCACCGTTTACCTTGGGAATACTACTGACAATTTCTTTAAAATTTCCAACCTAAAACTGGGTCATAATTATACTTTCACTGTCCAAGCCAGATGCCTTTTTGGCAGCCAGATGTGTGGGGAGCCTGCTGTGCTGCTGTATGATGACCTGGGGTCTGGTAAGTCGCTGTTGTTGCCTGCTTCCATGTTCAGTTCTGGGGAAACAGGCCAAGGATACAGAAAGGTTTGATGAATATGTGTCTTTCCAAAATGCATTTAAAATAGTCTTTCAGTTCAGAAGAAAGTCATTTGTGTGTCAACTTAACTGATGCTGATTTACTTAACAAGTACTTACTAAACCAGGCCTGGCATGAGGAGCTGGGGTGATCAGCTGACCCCATTCTGAATATAGAGTGCAAGAAAGGGAAAGTTAACAGGTTTGTTTCAAAGGGGGGGTTCTCTTTGGGGAACACTAGGTGAAGAACAGTTTGTCATTTGTTTTTTGAAGGACTTTTCAAAACCTCCAATTCTTCAAGTCAGCCTTTGTCCTGATTTTTCCCCATCATCTATCTTCACTGTCCACCTCAGCTCAGGGCCTGGGTTTGGCCTCAGAGCTCTGTTGTTTACATAGAACTTCTGCCTGGGTGGTAGCAGGTTGGCCAGGATTCCAGCAGAAGGTGCTTTGCTGGTCTTTGTAGTTCCTTTGATTCCTAGCCAGAAACTCACCAGGGTCCACACCACAGTCTTGTGCTGGGTTGTTCATTCTGTCATATGATGCTTGCCTGAGTGTGTTCCAGTGAAGGCTTAGCCCTGTTGCTTCCCTAAAAAAGGGAGGTCCAGCAGTAAACAGACAACAAATTCTTGTTAACCTATTGGTTCCTGATGAATCTCCTTTTTATGAATAACCAACTAGTGATCTGTGAAATAATAGGCTTTGGGAAAACTCAGGACACCAGCCAGCTGCCTTAACAAAACTGAGATCCTCAGAACTCTCGGCCTATGTCTGGTTCCTAGGTGTTTAGCCTCCCGATGGTACTGCGGTGGGGATGAGCGCTCACGCACTCCTGTTGCCTCTACCGTGCTAGCTTCCTCTCAACCTCAGATCTAACAAGAATGCTCATAGAGACCTAGACTTAAAAACGTCCACTTTGCTTCCTTAGGGAACACTGACTCCTGAGTTCCCTCCTCCTGCCTCAGGCTCTGATTTATCCCTTTTCTGCTGTAAACAGCCAACTGCTTTCAGGGAGACCAGCTCTAACTTAAGGGGAGATGGCTTTGCTTGAGAGCCCTGGTGGTATAAATCTGCCCATACATCATCCAGTGCTAGCATTTAAGTCATTGTTAGGTGATAAAACCCCAAATGGCTTTTCAAAGATCTTGAAAAATGTAAAATATGTATGAAAAGCTTTCTCTCGCTCTCTCTCTCCCCACCTTCCAACCTCCCTCCCTCCCTCCCTCCTTCTCTCTTTCTCTCTCTCTCTCTCTCTCTCTCTCTCTCTCTCTCTCTCTCTCTCTCTCTCTCGCTCTTATTTAAAAAAAAAAAAAAAAAAAAAACCTGAACCCTCATAAAACTTCATGAGCTGTTAAGTCAGTATTGTAGTAAAGGAATCTTGTTTGTATCACTTAATGGAGCTTCAGGTAATTGCAGTTCAGAGTGACTTTGGTGCCAAGTAGGGAGAAATAATTGCAATCTCGTTAATTAGTGGTCTGATTTCACATCCTCTTATGTAAGGCAAGCAAGTGGTCTTAAGTAATAATGCTAATGAAATCAATGTTGATACCCCAACAAAGGTCTCCCTTCCAAGAGATTATCTAAATAACCAACAAGGCAGTGATTAGGAGTCTAATGTAATTACCGTATTTGCATGCACAAGGCCCGTGGTCTAGCTGCTCGCGGCGAGGAGCCGGGAAACACTCCGGCTTCATGTGCAGGAACATGTCATGCCGGGCAGGCACTGTGGGTAGCAGTGGCAGATGCCCGGCTGCTTGGGTGGGTGGGATCTGGAGGAGTGTGGCCTGATCCGCCTTCCGGCCCTGAGACAGGCGGCTCATGGATTGGCATCTTGCCTTGGCAGGTGGGGATGCGTCAGCGTTTCAAGCTGCCAGATCCACTGACGTCGCTGCCGTGGTGGTGCCCATCTTGTTCCTGATCCTGCTGAGCCTTGGGGTCGGGTTTGCCATCCTGTACACAAAGCATCGGAGGCTACAGAGCAGCTTCACTGCTTTTGCCAACAGCCACTACAGCTCCAGGCTGGGTTCTGCCATCTTCTCCTCAGGGGATGACTTGGGTAAGTGGGGTGGCTCCAGGACTCCTCTCCCAGGGCGGACACCCATAGCCGATGATGTCAGCTCACCTCTGACGCTAGAGGAGCTACTCATGAATCATCCCATCCCACTGCTTTGGGTCAAAGCAATCCAAGCCTTTCGCTTTGAACTTGCTCCCAAATGAAAATACCAGAATTGTCTTCAATCATGTGGTCCTGGTCCGAGACAGGGAGTACCTTTGTGGAAGAACCAGTAGGAACTTGCCTTGCTCAAGGATAGACAGGCTCTGGGCTTTGGATACACCCAGGGTATTGGCCAGTTTTCAAGAATTTCCAAACCTCCCCCTCCTTCACAGCTCTGGAGCGCAGGCATTTTTGGGATCCCAGGCAAGAGAAAAAGCCATAATTTCCCAACAGGCTTCTATCCAGTGAAGCCCGTCCCATCTTTGTTTCTCTTTCTGATTGTGAGTGCAACCTTACCCGCCATTCCTCTTTCCTGTGTCAGTGAGCTCGGCACAGGAAAAGATGGAAATAGTTTTCTATAGAGGTCTGTACACTCAAACTCCTGTGTGCTAATCGAGCTGGTAGACAACACAATGCAGTAGGTGTGTTTGGGGGCCTCCCCCATACTCAAGAGTGCTAAATGTGCATTTACATATTTGTTTCCTATAAACTAGTTGTAATTTCTGTTTTGTCTGTAAAGGCAGTACATAGTCCCATTCACTGGCTGCTTTTTTTTTTTTTTCCTTTTCTTTTTCAGCCGTGTCGCTCGCGGTTAAAAATGAACCCCAAGGCCATGCGCAGGCCGTGGGGGCTCAAAGGCGGGGTGCGTTCACTGGCCATTTTTGATCAGCTCTGCTCCCCTTCTCAATTTCCTTTCTTGCTTAATGCAAGTACTTGGATGGCCTTACAGGAATGGAGTGGGTTCTTGGCCTTTGTTCTTGGGGGCAGAAGGCACCAAACCCACTCCGGGGCCATGTAGTGTTCCCTTCCCCCATGGCAGGTCAGCCACACTTGCATGAAAGTGTGCTGGGGGGGGACATGAGGAGACAAGTTAGTGGGGGAGGTTGTCCTCAAATTGCTCAAACCCCTCCAAGGCCCTTTTCCTCAGGACTGTGGGTTCAAAGGAGAAAGCAATGAAGTTGACTATGCCAATTCAGGGTATAGATAAATCAAGCTGGAGAGCCAAACCGCCTATTGGACTTTGGTACCTCTAAGAAATCTAAGAAAGAGGTATTAAGATCCTCTTCCGTCTTTGGTCAGGCTCCAGCTACCATTAAAATAGCGTTGGTCACCCACTGATGGGGAAGAAAGTGACCCAGGAGTGTCAAAGAGAAGTTGGGCTGGGTGTCCGCGTCCATGATTGTGCTGGCTGGCCACTGGGCTGACTTTCCTAGCTGGGGGTTGTCACACAGTGGGGGGCATTTGGGGCCTGGTAGAAATGCACTGAAACTCACCAAGGAATGACTGTTTGTCTTTAGGGGAAGACGATGAAGACGCTCCTATGATAACTGGATTTTCAGACGACGTTCCAATGGTGATAGCCTGAAAGTTTTTCTCACTAGAAACCAAATGGTGTAAATATTTTATTTGATAAAGATAGTTGATGGTTTATTTTAAAAGATGCACTTTGAGTTGCAATATGTTATTTTTATATGGGCCAAAAACAAAGCAAAAACAAAAAAAAAAAAAAAGGAGAGAAAGGAATGAATAAACTTTGTAGTAATCAACTGTGAACTTCAAGCCAGGTTAATTTCAGTAACCAAACTGCTTCGATTTGACATTAATGTAGTCTTACAGGGCTGTGCTTGCTGGGCATGCTTTTAAGTCTGTGAGATAATTTTGGTTCAATAAACTGGTCATTCTTTTTATTTTTCTAAGACACAGAAATGTATTTAATAAAAACTTCAAGACAGAGTGACGGGTGGAAGCCCTGAAATTTTGAACTTTGTTTGGGTTTAGTTTATATGAAAGTATGTGGGTGTGTTACAGGGGAAGCTTCTTTTGTGTTATTTTGTTAATTTATTGGGACTCTGTATAAAGCAGGGCTTTCGGCCCATCTGACATCACACATGTTTCGAGCCCCTCACCCGTCGGGTTGAGGGGTGGGGAACAGAAGCAGTTTTGTTGCCATTCCGGAAACGATCCATTTTTGTTCGCGTGCGTGTCACATAATGGCATCTGGCCGGAGGGGGCACTGAGTCATCGCCCCATTTCAGCTCAGCAGAGCTGCAGCTGGGAAGCCCCGCGAGCAGCCGCTTCCTTGCTCTGTTCATTGACGGTAGCTTGCTGTATCCGCCTCTGTACCAGATGAGCTTTCAGAGCTACAAAGCGGTAACGCTGCTTTATGATTCACTGGTGTCATTGTCGATGGCAAAAAAGTCGCTCTGCTTGAGGGAGAGTTCTAGATCTGCGCCATGATAGATACACTGGCAAATAGGGTACCTAATTTTTCCATTCTGGATTCTTTGCTTTTAACCACTGAGAAACCTCGAATGTAAAACTTTGTGTTTGTGTTGAGGTAGCCATGTGTTGTCCTGAAAAGCTCCATGCTGATATATGCAGCCATTTTAAATTGGGTCAGTGCCTTCTCTTTTTTTCTGCCACCTCTCTCACCCGTGCCCCTGCCTGATTTAAAGAAAAAATGCTGTTTCACTTTCACAGGGGTGCAGGAGAGCTGCGTGTTTGAGGCTATTCAAGCTAATTCTTAGAAGCAGCAGTACTAGAGCTTATTCTCTCTGTAAAATGAGGGGGGCTTTCTCCCCGCCCCCACCCTTCTGCCTTTAAATGTCCCTCCACCCTGTATTAAAATTAGGGCCGCATGACAGACATGTGGTCCCACTGGGGCCCCCACCTTTCAGCCTGAGTGTCGTGGCCCCCCCGGTCTAACATTGCTGTGACTTCTGTGTGAACCTCACCACCAGGCTTCTCCCCACTGAGAAGCAGTGAGCAGTGGGGCTGTTGCAGAGCCAGGCTTCTGAATACGTGTCCTTCATAGTCAAGCTTCGTAAAACCCCATCTCTTAGATGTGCGGCATCACCTCACAAGTATTTGCTTTCTTTTAACCAAAAGTATCATTCTTGGGTGAGGGTACAGTTTTCTTCTACTTAGTGATTGTTGGGAAAACCAAGAGCCAATTAAACTAGTTTTGAGCATTTTTTTAATTTATATGTATATATTTTGGATGAGTATTTTAAACTGTAGACAACTTAGTGTGTCGTGTGTGGGTCGGGGTCCATTTGGTTTTTAACAAGTGGTGGTAACGATGACCCTACTTCCAGCATAGTTTCTTTCCTAGCTCTCGCTTTTGTTTTTTTTTTTTTTTTCAAAGACTGGAATTTCTTTGGCATCATCTTGTCTTACCTTGGAGTTTTGTTCAAAACTCCAAACCCTACCACCTCCTCTCTAATAAGCTCTTTAAGTCGCTGAAAGATTAACAAGCCTAGTGGGAGGCGAGTCATTCAATTGAACCACTAGAAAATATATTTTCTTTTCTTTTTCTGCCAACTTTTTGGTGGCATTTGCACACACGGATGTAAAAGGCTTGGAGACTTTATTTTCAATTATTCCATAGGCAAGCCTTTTATGGAGCATATGTCTCCAGTTGGCAACTTGCGATATTCTTGAGCGGCTAGTTCTCGTTCCCAGTGCCTCCCAAAGCTTTGTCCCCAGTACTGTAGAGACCGGCCATCACCCCTCTCTTTGGAAAATGCCACTGTGCTGTCTGAGACAAAGCAGCCTTTTAGGGCTAGAGTATTTTATATAAACAGAAGAGCTAAGTTCCTGAAGACTAAGCTAGATAGATGCAGCTATGTGTAAATTGTATATTTTTATGAAATGTTGAAGCACACACTCTGTTTCCCTCTGCATAGCTTTGTGGGGTTTGGTGACTTCTGCCATCTGCAGGAGTCCAGGGGTTGGAGAGCCAGTAGGAAATGAAAACAAAAACTACATTCAGCCTTTGAAGGTGACCAGATAATTGTCTTCACTGCAACTAGTGTGAGGCCCTGATTATGAAAAAGGGATTTCCATGCCGCATTGGAGATAACACCTCAAATATTCACACTGTACAGGGGAAATGTTTTATTCAGTCCTGGGATTCATTCACATGTCAGGAGCCCCCCTCCATGTGGACCTCTAATAGACCATTACAATTCAGTGGGCAGGGGGAGTGTGTTCAGATTTTCTCTGGATGCTGATTTTTGTCCCTGTATATGTTGAGTGACCACCACCCCCACCTTGAGCATAATGAGACATGGGTCCATGTGGATGAAATGACACTTCTGCAGAGGATTCCAGGGAGAAGCTGTGTCTGCACACCTGTTTCCAGGTGTTCTAGTGACTACTGGCTGCTTTGGAGAGCTGGGTAAACAGTTAGGAAGCTGGTAACTGGTAGAAACTTCTGGCCTTGGGAAGAGTGGCTCCTGAGTGTCCAGTAGTGTCACTAGACTGGGTGGGACAGATGTGGGATAAGCCCAGTGCTCCCTTAGGCACGGTGGGGTGCCCCATTAGACTGAGCTATAGCTCAGTCAATAAGGAATGCAACCTTTCTCCAACCAGTGGCCATTTTGCCAAGGGGTGGTAGGAAAATTGGGGAGAACAATGGTAAGGTGATCACCTTACACATAAGTCACCCATTTATCCTCAGAATCCTGCCTTTACGTATCCACCCGGCCACTCCATCCAGTCAGCTTACATTCCCAGTGCTTCCTTGACGACAGAAACCCCATCCTGTCAGTATGGTTGGTCACTTTCCCATGAAGGGGGTTATGGTAGATCCTGAAAAGTTTCCCCTTCCTTCGGCAGAGTAGGAAGGTCCCTCAGAGAAGGGATCCTCCTCCACATTGATTTTAGGAACTGACTCTCAAGCTCTGTGCAGAATCTTCACTTGTTTTGGGACTGTATCTTGACATTCCTATTATGTTATTTTTTAAAACTGGAGTGTGTGCTGCCTTTCAGGTACAATTTTTGTGTAATAAAAGCCAGTGCATTAAGTTTATATAGACTACTTTCTATGCAAGACTGAGGATATGGACTAGCTAGCAAGAGAGATGTAATATTAAGTACACGGATAATAAACACGTTTCCAGATGGGGGATCACCACTGAGCATGGGTTGAGCGGGAGGCTATGTTTCTGCCCACTGATTTTGAGCAGTCATAATAATTAAATCATCAGAGCCAAGTAACCCAAGAATGGTATTAGTTTCATGTATAATAGCTCAAATGGAATCAGTGTGAATGCTAAAGTGGAACATTATTCTCAGATATTCCATGTCATTTCTCATTTAAAGACCTGTTACAAGTTATTAGAAACTTTAGGCAAAAATCAAAAGTATTTGCAGCAAAATAAAGGCCTACTCTGCTCTTATTTAAAGTGAAACACTGTAAACTTGTTTCTCTCCAAAGCGAAATTAGGTATTTATGATTTCAATTGCCTGGATAAGTTTCCAAATCACTAATTTATGCTGAAGATTTTACTATATTGCACAATTTTAAGACAATTTTGATCTCAATGTCAACTTTTTTCACTGAATAAAAATTTAACTGGGTCAAGAAAACACCTATTTGAAAATCCACTCTCTATGCGTGTCTTGAGTTGTTCTTCTGAGTGCAATAAAGATGGTTAATACAGTCTCTGAACCCCGTTTGATTTGTCTGTTTTAAAAGGATGTTTACTTCATAGATGAGAGAACACCGAGACCTGGAATCATTTTGGCTTTAACAAGCTGGTCTCAGATGGTGAATCCTTGAAGAACACGATGCCTTTGTGTTGACTGAGGACTGGGGAAATGGCTTGGTGGCTGTTTTGAAGTAAATAGAATGATTCCACAGGGGAAGTGATGGAAGTGGCTTCCTTACAGCTGTAATTACATTTGCTAAGAAGGCAATTTTCAAATCTAAGCGAAGAGCACAACAGTCTGATGAGCTGCATGGCAAAGATCATTTCCAGGAGTTTCCATAGGCAGTGAGGTCTTGTGATGGATGCTGTACTTTCTGTGGTTGGTGAATGAGTGGCAAATGAAACAAGTCAGGATTGGCAAGTATGGGACTGGGAGGTGTTTTAGATTTAACAGCACTTTTTAGTGACTTTTTATTGAGCCAAAAATGAAATTATGAAGTGTCCCAATTTGCAGATGAGGAAAAGAGGCTCAGAGAGGTTAGGTGAATTGCTTAGGGTAAACCAGAGCGTTGATGGCAAACTCCCGCTCAAAGGCCAGGTATTCTGAATCTGGATCCTGCTCTGTCTCAGTGTGCATACTACCACTTGGGTGAATTTATCTGTTCATAGACTCGCCCTTAAATTTTTAGCCTTATATGACTTATTTTATTAGCACAATAGTGAGTTCATCTTGGGCAAACGTACCTTAACCGAACTTGTAAGACTATAGGCAACAAAATGAAGCCCATCTATTAACATGGGCAATAGAATGTTAGCACTGAAGGTGCATTGGCTGCCTCTAGAGAGGTCTACCAGAAAGCCAGTCACATCTAGATGGTTGCTCGGTGAGCACTGGTTGAGAATAAAGGAAGTGGGAGGGGTCCAGGTGGAAGCAATGATTGCCTGATACTGATCAGACAATGAATGGATGAGTGATTGACACTCCACTAGAGGCATAAACTACCCCTTCTGAAGATAGTTTTTGAAATCTTCAGACCACAGCTCCCTGTATCCATTTCTGTTTAAGAAGTTCTTGCCGATGGGGATTTAACCCTTGTAGTCTATTTGATAAAGTTTCTCCACAGGGCTTGAGCACCGCCCACATCTGCCACCCAGACTTCATCCTCTGTGTTTTGTGGTTGAGAATACTCCTCCTCTTTACACAAACATTCCATGGTTAATGTTGGTGTACTCTTTACTCTGGAAGGACACTATTTTTGAGCCCTAGAGGGAGACACTTCAATGAAGCTCCAAGTTCTGACGGCATCTGTCAGCTAAGAGTATCTGGTTCCCCAGCAACAGCAAATTTAAAATGGAAAGAGAATACTAAAGACAGACACCCTGATAATAAAATAAAAGCTAAGAACCTTACTGTGAGGCAGCAGAACACCTTCATTAGAGACAAAGGAAATAAACAGATATCTTGTTGGGGGCATTTACTCTCTATAAGCCTGATAGGGACAGAATCCTACAAGTTTAGTAGTCCAGTTGATTAGAAAAATAGTTCATTTGTATTGAGCCCCTATTCTTTGCAAGTTACAGTGCTAAACTTTTTTTTTTAATTTAGAAGTGATTTATTGATTTAGATACTCATTTTTAAGAACTGAGGGAAATCATTTCTGAGCAAGTAACATCTCCAAGATCTCATATGTGGTTAATGGTGGAGCCGAGAGTCCAACTTAAATGTATCTCCATTCTAGCGTTTGTGTTTTTATTTATGCTACTTTGTCTTTTGGTACTTTAGAGGTCTGTAATAGCAATACCCTTTAGGGAATTCAAAGGCAGTAGTACTTTTAAAGGAATCCTACCAGAAAGATTAAAAATGACACTGGAAACTTAAAACTACATACTAAAATTTCTTTGCAAATTTTATGGAGGACAAAATCATTCCCTACTGAAGCTAGATTAATGAAGTCTTTTTTTTTTTAAATGTTTTTTTTTTTTTAAAAAAAGATTTATTTATGTGTACAAGAACTGGAGTGTAAGCCAGAGGTGTGGGGTTTGGGGGTGGGGGGTGAGTGAGGGGATTCACCAGAGACAGAATGAGGAGCAGAACAGGCAGATCTACTGAAATACACTACTGAGGGAGCAGGGGGCAGGACAGGAGAGGTCTGCTGTGCCATGTGGGTCAGCTCCCTGGCCAGCCGGCCTGGGATTGAACTGGTGCTGCATTAGCTGGCCATAGCTTGATAGCGCTGTCTTTAACCCTTCCAGGAAGGCCCAGGAAAATGTTTTTGTAAAGGATTCAATAATTAACAAAATGGAGGATTTCTTTGCCTTTCTACAACCCAGTTAGATTTTTATCAAAGTTCTCTGCATCTTGGGAAAGAATGTTCAGTGCACCTTTCATTCACCTTTATTTATGTACCCAGTGGAAGACACCATCACAAAATGTTCTGTTAGGGCAATAATGGGGCTAGCTCAAGACCATCAGGGTCCCACCAAAAGGAAGTGGCTGCCTTTTTTTCACCCAGCTCTAACTGGCTTTCATGCTCGTGCCCCATTAATTTTTTTAAGAAAGATTATATGTAGGGCAATTTGAGTCTGCAACAATCTACAAAAGAACAATGACATTAGGCTTTTTAATATGCTAATGTTATCATTGTAATGTCGCAACCCTATTTAATCCCAAAATGACAACTGGTACTGTTTGGGAATATTTGTATGAAAACAATGACATTTCATATTTAAAATGGCATCAGCAAACTTTGAGGAAGAAAAAAAGGCCTCAGATTTAAATGTAAGTCAGCCTCTTATGAAATTTGCCCTGTGGCTCCACACTAGTCCACAAAGCTTTCAGGATGGATTGAATAAAGAGGTCTCACCATTAAAAGCCTCCCTGGTGGCCCAAGGGATTAAGCACCATACTATGAAGCAATCCGCAGCCTCTGCAGCACGAGTTTGATCCCCGGCCAGCCAGGGAGAAACCCACATGGCAAGGCAGACCTCTCCTGTCTCACCCGCTGCTTCCCTCAGCAGTGTGTTTCATTCAATCTGCCTGTTTTGTTACCCACTCTGTCTCTGGTGGATCCTCTCACCTCCCACATCTCTGGACTGTACCCCAGCTCTTGTATGCATAAATAATAAAATAAAATCTTAAAAAAAAACCCCAAAACTTGCTTCTCAATTTCTCTCTGGCAGAAGCAGAAGCGATATTAGTTACCTAGGGATTGATCAAGCCCAAGATGGTGCTGAATTGTTTAGGAGTGTGTGTGTGCATGTGTGTTTTATGGAATTTTCCATAGACAGCAGATAAACAATGCAAGGACATCAAGCAGACTTCATAAACTCCCCTTGTACCAAGGATTAGGGCATCTTCAAAGGAGGAAATTTTATCCACATCTAAGGGATTCAAGGACCACCCAAAAGGTAGTCAAAAACATTTTGGTCAATGATAGTAAGTCGTAATAGCTAATATGTAAATATGTAGCAAATATGCATGGTACATGCCGGGATTGTTCTGGGGATTTCTTACATATTTATTTAATCTGCACAACAATCCTTTGAGGATGATGTTATTATTCTCACTTTATAGATAAGGAAACTGAAGCACAGAAAGGTTAAGAAATTTGCCCAAGGTCACAACAGCTAGTAAGGCAGGACTGAGATATAAACCAAATCACTAGGACCTCCCTAGTGGTGCAAGGGGTTAAAGCAGAGCGCTGTGAAGCTATCTGCAGCCTCTGCAGCTCGATCCCTGGCTGGCCAGGGAGCTACCCACATGGTGTAGCAGACCTCTCCTGCCTCGCCCACTGCTCCCCTCAGCAGTGTATTTCAGTAGATCTGTCTGTTCTGCTCCCTGCCCTGTCTCTGGTGGATCAGAGCTCTCACCCCCCACACCTCTGGTCTGTACCCCAGTTCTTGTATACATAAATAAATAAGTCTTAAAAAAAAAAAATCACCAGACTCCAGAGTCTGTGCTTTTAATGATGTCACACACCCATTCCAAGTGACCCTTTTGATAACCAGATTTTTCTTTTTGGATTATGAAAGAAATTTGGATCTACTCTAGGCATATTAGGAAAATAAAGACATAAAGAAGAAAATGAGATTTCCTTTTGATCTTTGAGATAACCACAGTTACCATTTGGTCCTTTATCCCCTTTTTCTATAATGACAATTGCATCTGCTTACAGTTCTGTGGTTATGAAGACAACCAAGTTCATATGGGGGAGTTTCCCAGAATGCTGCTCCTGTTAGGTCCTGGTTCCAACCACAAGGGCAAATCTGAATTCAGATCTCAGAAACAGAGGGATATCCTTTCCCCTCTGTCCCTGTAAGCAGCTGAAGAGCAGCGAAACCAGAGAATCTTTGTCACCAGGTCCCCAGCTGGATTTCTGCCTGCATCATGGTCAGCTGCTTTGACTCCTCTTTCACACTAATGAAACTTGTAGGATTTATTTGTGTCACTTCATTAGCTCTGGCTCACTGAGGTTGCCCAATTCAGCGTCTTGCTGTTTGGCGCATAGGAGAAGCTGCTATTAACTCTTCCCACCAAAGAAAACAGCAGACAGGAAGGATTTATAAGTAAAAGATGACTCGCAGACATGGTTGTCATGTTAAGCGTGTTTGGTCCAAGAGCAACCTGGTTCAAAGGAGGTGCCTGAACTCTACGGAAGAACAAGGGGCAGTCTAAAGCCTGCTGTATTAGCAAGGTGGTGGGATCTGTTTGCATGTGTCTGTGATGGAGTAGAAGGAAAAGAAGGAATTGAAAGCTGCTTTAGAGGGGGCCTCCCTGGTGGCGCAAGGGGTTAAGATACAACCTGTGAAGCAATCCTCAGCCACTGTTCACGAGTTCGATCCCCCGGCAGGCCAGGGAGAAACCCACATGGCACAGCAGACCTCTCCTGACTTGCCCGCTGCTCCCCTCAACAGTGTATTTCAGTCAATCTGCCTGTTCTGCTCCCCACTCT